TTGGCGGCCTTAAGTTCCAACCAATGGCAAGCTTTGAGACGTTCCTCACCCCAGGGCTCGAAGTTCTCATGAAAGAAACTCTCGGTGATTGTTGAGACCATCGACCCGGTATCCACCAGACATGGTACGGGGGCGCCACCCATACCAACGTCGATGTGTGGACATGTGGAGATGAGCTTCTGAACGTCTTCCAACCTTACCCTAGGATCTCTTGAGCCAGTAGATGCCCCACCCGAGCTGTGGCCCGGCACCGCGGTGGGCGCTAGTTTTCCGACGGCTGACGTGATGGCCCATGACCCCGCGCAGCTGAGTGTGGCCGGGACGGCATACGTGGCCCATCACACTCTCTGGCCATGTGTCCGGGCTGTTGACAACGATGGCAAATGATGGGCGCGGATCGTGGAGAGCGGCCACGGGGTTGAGGAGAGTGATTACGCTTGTGGAGACTTTGCAACTGAGCCATGCTTGTTGTTAACTTGTCCAATTGCTCCTGCTGTCGTCGCAAAAGCTCTTTCATCTCACTAACTTCCGAGGTCGGCGGATGGTAACCCGACCGCTGGCCGCCACCCTGCACCATGTACTGAATACCAACAGCCGAGGGGACAGAATTGCTTCGGCCACGCACAACCGCTGGCAGTCCTTCACGTTCCCACCTAATAGCCTCGCCTCTGACGTCCAATAACGTTGCCTCAGGGGCCTGTCTCACGTATTGTTTTAACGAACGCCGAAGGTCACAATCTAAAACCTGCTCGACAAATTGATCACGCAACAAGATTTCGGAATTTGGCATGTTATTTGGAGCGCGCTGTTTTACCTTTTCCATCAGTGACCTGAGAGCGAGTGAATATTCCAAAAGTGTCTCTCCCTCTTGTTGACGACGGGAAAAAAATGCTTCCTGCAGTGCTACATAGGACTCGGCGCATCCATAAAGATCCTGTAAGATTGCTTTAATTTCGATCGGGTCACTTCGTTCTTCTGCTGAACGAAACTTAATTTCATCGCGAGCCTCCCCTTGCAAATGGTCATAAAGAAAAAATGCCTGGTCTGCCAGTGACAAGTGTCTGGCCCGCACACACGCCTCTGCTTCTTCGAGCCATTCCCCTAAATGAATTCCCACCCTGCCCCTGAACATAGGGCATTTTCGGTCCCTGGGGACAAAAACTAACCGGTCAATGCTCGGATTACCTCGGCTAGAGTTAGGGGAAGGTTCGCCTGCCGTGGCGGATGGCCCAGCGGGAGCACCTGCCCCAGACTGAGGGCGCTCTTGACGCAACCTTTCATTTTCGGCACGCAACTGTGCTACCGCTTCTTGCAGTTCTCGCAACTGTTCCTCCATGGGTGAAACAGTATAAAAAAAAAATCAAAAACGAAAACAATTGCTGCTGTTGTTCCCAATAACAATTCACATTAACCAGACTAGAGGCATAAAAGTGGCAGTGTTTACCTCTACCAATGGCAGTAGCTACCCAGCAAGATTGCTCAACAAGCAAAATACTCTGCAAGTAATGATTCAAAACACACACAAAAAAAAACATGCAATGTAAAAAATGTAATCACAGCAAATGTAGAACATGCAATGTAAAAAATGTAATCACAGGAAATGTAGAACATGCAATGTAAAAAATGTAATCACAGGAAATGTAGAACATGCAACATATATACACAACACAGCAAAACGTTTAACAATATATTACTTCTGAATCGCTACCCCCCTTCTAACAGCATGAAAGCCAAGGAAAGTGTCACCCTAAACCACTACACCACTGTCACAGTCATAAACTCTCACTGCACTAATCACTAAAAAAATAACAGTCTTTGTCCCATCTCAGTTCATCCTGTCAGCAACGCCAAATGTAGCGACGAGCGGTTCCGTAACCACGGAACAGGGTTACAAAATCTAAAACAATGACCCTAATTTAGTTGCCACAACGCCACCCTGGAATTTCAGGTCCAGGGACCTGGATAGAAAACTAAAGAGAATTGAAATTTCACCCCGCTAAGGTCACACAGGTTCGACAGAACTGAGAGGAACGACAGACAAAAAGCACGATTAATTTACATTATGTTTATTTTTAATTGGAAATAAAGTTTACAAAACTATTTAAAATTTTTAGTTATAAATTGTTTAAAACGCACACACACACGCAGTCACACCACTCACTCAAACACGCACCCAAATCAAATGTACAAAACCAATAAACCAAAAAAGGTGGTTCAAAACATGTGCAGCCTGTTTGGGAACATCAGGAGCTTTGTTACCTTAAAACTTTTCGTTCTTCGGAGCGCCTTTGGGACTCCGTACCTTTGACTCAATACTCCAAAAAAAGTCTATATAAGGGACCAGTCCTGAGTGGAGAGGTTCAGTCGGAAATCGATGTGGGAGGAAGCGAAACTTGACCCAGTCCTATGTAGCAACGATTAGAATCTAGTTACTAAATACACAATGGGGAAACCACAGCGCAGAGGTGCTCTACTTACCTATGTAGCACCCAGAAGCCTGCATGGAACAAGCAGCGGAGATGAACGGCGGTACGCCGTGTCCGTGCTCTTCGCACCGGCGTTACTACAACGGAGACGCAGGAGGTAAGACCTCGCACTCGGCCAAGTGGGTAAGCTTGAATGCATTAAATAACTGCTTACCGGAGACTGAAGCTGATCAGGCGCAGGGCATATTACACGCCGAGATGAGGAGCTGACAAACGGAGCGAAGCCACACGTTGACGCCAAGGTCCAACACCGCGTTTATGACAAACCGCGGTTCGGAGGTTGCACTACGCTTTTAAGAGTGCTGTCTCGGCTTTACATTGTGATTTTAGTGGGTTGTCTGTGGCTTCGGTCCAGCTCCTCAGTGTCACGCGGAGGGAAGAGGCAAAAGGTGAGAGAAAGCGCACCCGCAGGAGTTTCCCCAATCAAGGCTCGGGCGCGGCGTGATTGGACTGCCAGCGGGGGCAAAAACACGTCTGCAACATAAAACACGTCTGCTGCAACAAAGTCCTGACATGATAAAAACACGCAGTGTTTTCCCACAGTGTTTTGAAGGCAATGTGTGGTGGTCGTCGGCGAGGGGGGGGGGGGGGGGGGCACCGGGGGTCGGGGGGGGGGGGGTACAGTTGTATGAGGACAATCTTGAGGTCCATGAATTCCATGAATTTCGTCGCCACACCTTTTTACAGTAATAGTTACAGCGATCAAATGTGACATGTTTTGACAATTTTTAGGCAAATTTTGGACCAAAATGGACTGCTTTAAATCAATATTTCCTACAGTAAAAAGTTTTCTCGGTCTTTTGTACTGTGGTAGAGGGCACTCATGAGGTTCGTGAATCAGTGAAAATTAGTCGCACATTTTTACAGTTAATGCTTACAGTAGATCAAATAGTGACATGTTTGACTATTTTGGAGTATGTTGACCAAAATGGTACTTTACCACATCTAACTTCTCAATATTCTTTTTTTTTTTTTACAGTATTTTTAAAAGTGTCTGCCGTCCTTTGCGTACAGTGGGTAGAAGGCAATGTTGAGGGTCTGGGAATCCAGGAAATCAGCTTGCCACACCTTTTTTTTACCCGTGAAAACGTTTTTACAAGTCAGATCAAATGTGACATGTTTTGACCATTTTTAGGCTTTTTGGACAAAATGGTACTTTTTTTAAATCAATATTTCTCAATATTTCTACAGTTAAAAAGTGTCTTGTACTTTGGTACAGTGGTAGCGGACATTTGTGGTCAGGAAATCCAGTGAATTAGGTCGCACACCTTTTTACAGTAAAAGTTACAGTAGTCAAAAGCTGACATGGTTTTGACTATTTTGGAGGTATTGTGGACCAAAATGGATACTTTCCTATATTTCTCAAAATTCTACAGTACAAAGTTTCTGGTCCTTTGGGTCTACAGTGGCAGAGGGCAATAATAAGGTCATGAGTCAAGTGACAATTAGTCCTGCACACTTATTCCAGTACCATAGTTACTATACTCTTGAAAAATTGCACTAGCCGGACAAAACTTGTGTACTTCTATAATGTAAAACAATTAGAGTGGCTATCCTCCTGATGACTCACAATCTGCCGGTAGGAAGGAATCGTCGGGGAGCTGGTGGCTTTCGTGGTGCCCGTGTGGCATTCTATAAGGTTCTTAATCACAAACACGTGTCTCCCTGACCCCAGCTCGCTTTCTGTTCGATAAAAAATGGGTGACTCCGAAAAGGACGTTCGCTGTTACCGTAAGATTCAAAACAAAACGCGCACGTCTTTTCCCCCGATGCGGGGCCGCATGTTATTAGAGGGAAAGATGCGGGCCACTTTAACGCGGTAAATGAATGAACAAGTGCTTACAGCGATGATCGGCTGATGCGAGGACGCGAGACACGCGGTGAGTGCACGAAGGGAAGGCGGCTGTGGGTGTGTGAACGGTATTCGTATGTGGGGAGAGACGCGTAGCTTGAGTGAGAGTTCACGAAGGGCCGCCAAATTTTTCTAAACCCCCTCCCCGCTGGTCAAATTGACCGCTTGCGGCGGCACTTAGCCGATTGACTGTTATAAAATAGCGTAACAAAAAACAATCGGCTATATAATACTACGAAACGCATTTTGTGGCGGAGCCGGGTCTCTAATCTGTTGACGGTGCCGCCACAGTTTAGTCTCATGTGTGGGATACACTGACACGGTTCTCGCTCGCCAACAAACACGTCTGCAACAACACATCTGCTGCAACACGTCTGCTGCAACAACACGTTTGCAACAATACATTTGCTGCAACAACAAGTCTGCCTGCATCAACCGTCTGCTGCAACAACACGTCTGCTGGCAACAAACACATCTGCTGTAACAACACGTCTGCAACAACAGTCTGCTGCAACAACACGTCCTGCTCAGCAACAACCACGCCTGACTGCAACAACACGCCTGCTCCAACAACACGTTGCTGCAACAACACGTTGCAGCAACTCAACACGTTGCGCAACAACACGTTTGCAACAACCCGCCTGCATGCAACAACAGCCTGCTCAACAACAGCCAGCTTGCAACCAACAGTCTGCTTGCAACAAACACGTCTGCAGCAACAACACGCCTGCTGAACAGCACGGCTGCAGCAACACCACGTCTGCTGCGACAAAACGTCTGCGCAACAACACGTCTGTTGCGACACACACACCTGCTGCCGACAACACGGCTGCTGCCACCACGCTCTCCATGCTCCAAAACACTGCCTGCTCCAACCACCCGTCTGCAGCAACAACACGCACTTTTTTTACTGCGACAAACGGCACTGCCAAAGCAAACAACACGTCATGCTTGACAACCGTCTGCCAAGCCACAACATGTGCTGCAGCGAACATCACGACTGCATGCGACAACACGTCTGCTGCCCAACAACACGTCTGCAACAAACACGTATGCTGCGCGACAACACGTCTGCTCGCAACAACAGTTCTGCTGCAACAACAAGTCTGCATGCAAAAATAACGTAGCTGCAACAAACACGTCTGCCTGCAAACAACACGGTCTTCTGCAACAACACGTCTTGATGCACAAACACGTATCTGCAAACACCACATTTGCTGCAACAAACCGTCTGCAACAAACACATCTCGCAGCTCACTACAGTCTGCATCAACCACGTATGCATGCAAACAAAACGTTTGCAAACAACACACTCTGCATGCACAACAAGTATGCTGCAACAACACGTCGTGCTGCCAACACAGTAGTACTGCTGCCAAAACACCCCGCTCTGCTGCAACAACAGTCCTGCGAACAAAACATCTGCTGCAACAAACACGTTTTGCAACAAACACATCTGCTTTGCAACAACACGTCTGCCTGCGAACAACACGTCTGCTGCTACAAACGGTCTGCTGCGACTACACGGTCGCTGCAAACAACACGTCTGCAACACACACGTTTGCTGCGACAACACAGTCTGCTGCAACAACACGTCTGCTGCAACAACAGTTCTGCTGCAACAACACAGTCATGCGTGCAACAACACGGTCTGCTGCACACAACTAGTCTGCCAAAACAACCATCTGCTGCCAACAAACACCTCTGCACCAACACACTCTGCTGCAACAACACCGTCAGCAACAACACGTCTGACAGCAACAACACGTTGCAACAACACATCTGCTGCAACAAACAAGCTCTAGCTGCAACAACCCCGTCTGCGCCAACAACACGTCAGCTGCAAAAACCACGTCTGGCCTGCAACAGCACGTCTGCAACAACACATTGCTGCAACAACTCGTTTGCAACAACCACATATGCTTGAACAACACGTTTGCCCACAAAATGATCTGTGCCAAAACCACGTCTGCCGCAACAACACGTCTGCTGCAACAGCACGCCTGCTAAGCCACCAAACACGTCTGCTGCAAAAAACACGCCTGCGAGCAACAACCGCCTGCTGCAACAACACCGTCTCGCAACAACACGTCTGCATGCAACCAACAACACGTTGCTGCCAACAAACACGTTCTGCTTCGCCAAACAGAACCGTTTGGCAACCAACACAATCTTTACGGCAACAACACGTTGCTGCAACAAACACGTCTGAGCAAACAACACGCCTCGCTCCAACAACACGCTTGCTGCCAAGTACACGTATGCCTGCACAACACGCCTGCCTGCAACAACACGTCTGCTTGCAACTCAACACGTCTGCTGCCTAACAACACGTTTGGCCACAAACATCTTCTGCAACAACCTCGTCTGCAGCAACAACCACGCCTGCTCAACAACACGCGTCGCTGCCACAACAGTCTGCAGAAAACAACACAGCTGCTGCAACAAACACGCCTGCTCCAACAACACGCCTGCTGCAACACACGTCTGCAGCAACAACACGTCAGCCTGCAACAACACGTTGCTGCAACAAACGTCTGCAGCAAACAACACGTCTGCTACGCAACAAAACACGCCCTGCGCCAACAGCACGCTGCAGAAACAACACGCTCTGCTGCGACAACACGTCTGCTGCGACCACACGTTTGCAGGCGGACAACACGCCTGCGGCAACACCGCCTGCTGCAAGACAATACGCTGCTCCAACCACCCGCCTGCTGCAACCAATACGCTGCAACACCGACACGCCTGCTGCGACAACACTGTCTGCAGCCACCAACGTCTGCTGCAACAAACGTCTGCTGCGACAACACTGTCTGCTATGCGAAAACACGTCCGCTTGCAACAACACGTCCGCTGCAACAACACGTGCTGCGACAAAAGTTCTGCTGCGACAATACTGTCTGCTGCAACAACATGTCTGCTGGCAAACAACATGTTTTGCTGCAAACAAACGTCTGCTGCAAACACACTCTGTAACAACATCGTCTGCTGCAACCCACACGTCTGCTGCAACACGCCTGCTGTATTCACACGTCTTGCAGCAAACAAAACACGTCTGCTGCAAAAACACCGTCCTGCTGCAACAAACACGTCTGCTGCGTAACAACTACGCCTGCTGCAACAAGCACGCCTTGCAGCAACAAACGTTGCTGCGACAACACGTCTGCTCGCGACAAACCAGTCTGCTGCGGACAACAATGTCAGCAGCACAACACGTCTGCTGCGACAACACGGCTCTGCTGCGACAACACTATCTGCTGCTCGACATCACGTTCCGCTGCCACAACACGTCCGCTGCTACAACACGCCTTGCTGCGACACACACGTCTGCTGCTGACAATACGTGGTGCAACAACACGTCTGCCGCAACAACAATGTTTGCTGCACAAAGTCTGCTGGCAAACACACGTCCTGTAAACAACACGTCTGCTGCAAAACACGTCTGCGTAACAACACGCTGCTCGCAACCGCACGCCTCGCTCAGCAACCAACACAGTCTGCTCGACAACCCCGTCTGCTCGCACCGAACAAACGGTCTGCTGCGACAACACGCTGCTGAGGACATACACGCCTCGCTCATACCACACGCCTGCTGCAACACACACGTCTGCTGCAACAACACGTCTGCGCAACAACACAGTCTGCTGCAACACACACGTCTGCTGCAACAAACCCGTCTGCAGCAACAACACGAATCCCTGGCCTCTGCAACAAACGCCCTGCTGCAACAAAAACACCGTCTGCTGCGTCACTACTTCTGCTGCAAAGACAGTCTGCTTGCCAAACAACACCTGTCTGCAACAACCGACTAGCTGCAATCAACACGTCTAGCCGCTTTAAAACACGTATGCTTGCAACAACACGTCTGCACACAAAACCTTGATGCCAACAACACGTCTGCATAAACAAATCTGCTGCAACAACCGTCTGCAAACAACTCATCTGCTGCAAACAACACGTCTGCAAAACAACACGTCTGCCGCAACAACACGTTTGCAACAACACATCTGCTGCAACAACAATGTCTGTTTTTCTTCCTTCTCTTACTGCAACAACGACGTTGCTTGCTAACACACTGTCTGCCTGCAACAACACGTCTGCTCAACACATCTTGCAGCGACAAACGTTCTGCAACAAACACATCTGCGCAACAACACGTCTGCCTCGCAACACGCCTGCTGCACAGCACGTCCTGCTGCACAGCTCTGCTGGGCAAAAAACAACACGTTGCTGGGACAAACACGGGTCTGCACCAACACCATCTGCAGCGACAACACGTTGCTGCAAACAACCACCGTCTGCTGCAACACGCTGCCATTGCCAACAGCACGTCTGCTGCAACAGCAAGTTTGCTGCAACACGCCTGCGTGCAATAACAAGTCTGCTGCAAAAACCCGTCGCTGCTGCACAACACGTATGCTGCAACAATCATACTGCTGCAACAACAACGGCCTGCTGCAACAACACGTCTGCACACAAACACGTCTGTAACAACACGTCTGTAACAACTACGTATGCTGCCGGACAAACAGCCTGCTGCAACCAACGCGCCTGATCTGCAACAACGCAGCCTGCAGCAACAAACGCCTGTGCAGCAACACGTCTGCTGCAAAAACACATCTGCTTGCAACAACCCCGCCTGACCTGAACACCACGGTCTGGCAACACACATCGTCTGTAACAACACGTCTCTGCTCTCGACAACACGCCTGCTGCAACAACACGCCTGCCTGGCCACACCACGCCTGCTGCGACAACACTTCACAGTCTGCATGCAACACACGCCTGCTGCAACACACGTCTCACAACAACATTCATGTAACTAACGTCTGTAACAACAAGTTGCCATTGCGACAACCGCCTGCTGCAACAAACAGCCAGCTGCGACCAAACCGCCTGCCTGCAAACATCACGTCTGCATGCAACCAACACGCCTGCTCTGCAACAACACGTCTGCAACAAACACGTCTGCTTGCCAACAACACGTTGCAACCACACGTTTGCTGCGACAATACTGTCTGCCTGTAACAACTGCTTGCTGCAACAACACGTCTGCAACACACGTCTGGCTGCAACAACACGTCTGCTGCTAAAACCCACGGACGGCAGCAACAACCATGTCTGCTGCGACAACCACGCGCCTGCCTGCGACAACAGCACTGCTCGCAAACAAGCGCCTGCGAGCAACAACAACACGTCTGCTGCAACACACATCTGCTGCTAACAACACGCGCTGCTTGCAACAACCACGTCTCGCAACAACATGTCTGCAACACACACGTCTTTAACAACACGCGTCTTTTGCTTGCGGACCAACACGCCTGCTGCAACAACTACGCCTCGCTCGACATCCAACCACGCCTGCTGCAACAACACGCATGCATGCAACAATACGCCTGCTGCGACAACCACCGTCTGCTGCCACCAACACGCATGCCTGCAACAACACGTCTGCACACAACACGTCTGTAACAACACGTCTGTACACATACAACACGTCGCAGCGACAACACGCTGCTCTGCAACAAACACGCTGCTGCATACAAAACGCTGCTGCCTTCACACACGTCTGGCATGCAACAACACGGCTGCTCTGCCAAAACCAACACGTCTGCAACAACACGTCTGCCTGCAACACACACGGTCTGCAACAACACGTTTGCTGCGACAATACGTCTGCTCGCTGTACAACCACGTCTGCTGCAACAACACGTCTGCAACCACAGTCTGCTGCAACAAACACGTCTGTGCTAAAAACACGCAGTGTTTCTCCACAGTTGTTTGAAGGCAATGTGTGGTGGTTCGTCGGCGGGGGGGGGGGGGGGGGGTGGTGGGGGGGGCGGACCAGTAGGTTGAGAGACAATTCTTGAGGTCATGAATCCAGTGAAATTAGTCGCACACCGTTTCTACAGTCCATAAGTTACCAGCAGAACAAAAGTGACAAGTATTCTTTGACAATTTTTTAGGCTATTTTGGACCATACATGGCTGCTTTTTAAATCATATTTCTACGAGTAACAAGGTTTCTGGTCTTGGTACAGTTGTAGCGGGCATATCATGAGGTCGTGAAATTGCCAGTACTGGAAATTAGTCGCACCCCTTTTTACAGTACAAAGTTACAGTAGATCAAAAGTGACATGTTGTGACTATTTTGGAGGTTATTTTGGACAAAATGGCTACTTTACCTCAATATTTCTACATATTTCATACCAGTTTAAGTGTCTGGTACTTTGTACAGTATGAAGAAGGCAATGTTGTGGGTCATGAATCCAGGAACTCAGTTGCACACCTTTCTTTTTACAGTGAAAGTTACAGTAGATCAAAATGTGACTGTTATTGACCATTTTTTAGGCTATTTTGGACCAAATATGGCTACTTAAATCAATATTTCTCACATATTTCTACAGTAAAAGTGTCTGGTCTTGGTACAGTGGTAGAGGACAAGCTTGAGGTCATGAATCTGTGCATGAATATGTCCGCAACACTTTTTAACAGTAAAAACAGTTCACAGTAGATCAAAAGTGACATGGATTTGACTATTTTGGGAGGTATTTTGGACCAAAATGGCCTAAACTCTCTACCTCTAATATTTCTCAATATTTCTACAGTAAAGTTTCTGGTCTTTGGTACAAGTCGGGCAGAGGGCAATAATAAGGTCATGAGTCAAGTGAATTCAGTCGCACACCTTATTCAGAAAAAGTTACTATCACTTGAAAATTGGACATAGCGGACCAAATTGTGTACTCCCTCATACATGTAACCATTAGATTGGCTATCCTCCTGAGGACTCACAATCTGCCGGAGCGAAATCGTAGGGGGTTGAGGCTATGTGCTGCCGGGGTGCATCTCTATAAGGTTTTTAATCACCAAAAACGAGTCTCCCTGACCCCAGCGGCCGCTTTCTGTGTCGATAAAAATGGGAGACTCGAAAGGACGTTCCGCTCGTTACCGTCAGTTCTCACAAAACGCGCACCGTTCTTTTCCCCGATGCGTGCCGCATGTTCTAGAGCTGAAAGATGCGGGCACTTTACCGCGGTCAACATGAATTAGCCACAGCTGCTTACAGCGTATGAACGCTGATGGCAGACGGAGGACACGCGGTCTGTGCACGAAGGGGAGGGCTTGTGTGGGAGTAGGTCTCTGGATGTGGGAGAGACGCGTAGCTGTGTGAGAGTCTACGGAATGGCAGCACATTTTTAAACCCCCTCCCCCGCTGTCAAATTGCACCGCTGCCGCGCCGGCAGCTAGCTATGCATGTTTTAAATAGCGCTAACAAAAAAAGTAGATATAATAATACGGAACGCATTTTGTGGCGGGCGGTCTCTAATCTGTGTCGGTGCGCCACAAGTATTAGTCTATGTGTGCGGAAACACTGACACGTCTGCTGCAAACAACACGTCTTGCCACAACACATTCTGCTGCATCACGTCTGCTGCAACACACGTTTGCAACAACACATCTGCTGCAACAACAAGTCTGCTGCAACATCAGTCTGCTGTCAACAAACACGTTGCTGCAACAACCACATCTGCTGTAACAACACGTCTGCACAACAGTCTGCTTGAACAACACGTCATGCAGCAACAACACCCTGCTTGCAACAACACGCCTGCTCCAACAACCACGCTAGCTGCAAAACACGGTCTGCAGGCCACAGCACCGTCTGCTTGCAACAAAACCACGTTTGCAACGCTAACTACGCCTGCCTCCTAGCAACAACCACGCCTCGCTCCAACAACACGCCTGCTGCAACAACACGTCTGCTGCAAACAACAGTCTGCAGCAACAACACGACCTGCAGCAACAGCACGCCTGCAGCAACCACCACGTCTGCTTCGACAACACGTCTGCTGAACCTACACGTCTGTTGCGACAACACACTGCTCGCGGACAACCACGCCTTGCTGCAACACGCCTGCTCAACAACACGCCTGCTGCCACCAAACGTCTGCATCAACAACACGCCTCTTTGCGACAACACGGCTGCAGCAACAACACGTCTGCTTCGACAACACGTCTGCCATCAACAACATGTCTGCTGCGACAACAACGGGGACTGCTGCGGGGACACACCGTTGCTGAAAACAGGTCTGCAACAACAAAGACTGCTGCGACAACACAGTTCTGCGTGCAACAACAACGTCTGCTCTGCAAAAAACACGTCTGCTGCAAACAACACGTCTGCTGCACAAAACGTCTGCTGCAACAACACGTCTGCTGCAACAACACGTCTGCTGCCACAAACACGTCTGCAAAAAAAACCCAATCTGACTGCAACACCACAGTCTGCAACAACACCAATCTGCTGCAACAAGCACGTCTGAACACACACGGGTCTGCTGCAACAACACGTTTGCTAACCAACACCATCTGCTGCAACACACAGTCTGCTGCAACAACCCGTCTGCGCGCAACAACACGTCTGCTGCAAAAAACACGTCTGCGCAACAACACGTCTGCAACAAACTCATCTTGCGGCACAACCGATTTGCAACAACAATCTGCTGCAACAAACACGTTGCTGCAGACAACTCTTCGTCTGCTGCGACAACCGTCGGCTGCTTGACAACACAGTAGCTGCAACAAACGTCTGCAACAACACGTTTGCTGCGACAACACGTTTTCATGCTGCAACAACACGTCTGCTGCACCAACCACCGTCTGCTGAACAACTCGGTCTGCTGCAACACAACGTTGCTGCAACAACACGTCTGCAAAAAACACAATCTGCTGCAACAACAGTCTGCATCAAAACGCTCCTCTGCTGCAACTAACACGTCAGCAACACCACGTCTGCTGCAACAACACCGTTTGCATCAACCACAATCTGCCTGCGCAACAACAAGCTCTGCTGCAACAAAACACGTCTGCTGCAACACAGTCTGCTGCACAAACCCGTCTGCTCAACAACACGTCTGCAACAACACATTGCTGCAAAACAACACGTTTGCAAACAACACATCTGCATGCAACAACACCGTCTGCTGCAAAACACGTCTGCTGCAAAACACGTCTGCCGCAACAACACAGTCTGCTGAACGCACGCTGCTGCCACAACACGCGTCTGATGCAAAACAAAACGCCTGCTGCCAACAATACGCCTGCTGCAACAAAACATCTGCAACAACACGTTGTGCAACAACACGTCTGCTGCAAACAACACGTCTGCTGCACAACACGTTGGCAACAACACATCTGCCTGGGCAACAAACCGTCTGCTGCTAACAACCTACGTCGCAGCACACCATATCTATATACCACACAGCACTGCTCCAACAACACGCTAATGCTGCCCTGAGATCACCCGACCCGTCTGCTGCAACAAACAGCCTGCTGCTACTCACAACACGTATGCTTGCAACAACACGTCCAGCTGCAAAACACGTTGCAACAAACACATCTGCTGCAACAACACGTCTGCCAGCAACAAACTCGCCCTGCTCCAAATACAACACGCTTGCAGCCCCATCACGTCTGCCTGCAACAACACGCCTGCTGCCAACACACGCCTGCGTCCAACAACAGCCTGCTTGCAACAACCCGATCTGCAGCAACAACACGTCTGCTGCAAACAACACGTTGCTGCAACAACACGTCTGCTGCAAAAACACGTCTGCAGCAACAACACTCCTGCTGCAATCAGTCACGCCAGCCAGCAACAAACAGTCTGACTGCGGACAACACGTCTGCTGCGACAACACGATTTGCTGCGACAACACGCCTGCTGCACAACTCGCCTGCTGCAACACACGCTGCACCAACAAACACGCTGCTTGCAACAATACGTCTGCAAAACAACAACACGCTGCTGCGACAACACGTCTGCAGGCCACACACGACTGCTGCAAACAACACTGTCTGCTGCGCAACCCGTCTTGCTGCGGAAAACCACGGTCCGCTGCAACAACTCGTTCCGCTGCAACAACCCGCCTGCTGCGCCTACACGTCTGCAGCGACAATACGTCTGCTGCAACAACACGTCTGCAGCAAAACTGTTTTGCAGCAACAAACACGTCTGCTGCAAACACACGATCTGTAACAAACACTGGTCTGCTGCAACTAAACGTCTCGCTCGCAACACGTGCTGTATCAAACCGTTGCAGCAACAACACGTTGCAGCAAAACACGTTCTGCAGCAACACACCACGTCTGCAGTAACTCCCCGCCTGCTGACAACAGCACGCCTGCTCTAAGCAAAAAAACAGTCTGCATCGACAACACGTTGTCGCTGCGACAACACGTGCTGCGACAACCCTCGTCTCTGCAGCAACCCACGTCTGCTGCGACAACACGTCTGCAGCGACAACAACCTCTGCTGCGACAAACACTCCGTCCGCGACCCTTCCCACTGCCAACAAACGTCGCTGCAACCAACACTAGCCTGCTGCGACAACACGTCTGCTGCGCCAAAGTTGCTGCAACAACACGTCTGTCTTGCACCAAACATGTTTGCTGCAACAACACGTCTTGCTGCAAACACACGTCCTGTAACGAAAACCTGATCGTCAGCGGGCAAAATCACGTTGCGTAACAACAGCCTGCTTCAACAGCACGCGCTGCCCCGCAGCCCACAACACGTCTGCCTGCGACAACACGTCTGCTGCGGACAACAAATGTCGCTGCGGTCAACACGGCCTGTGAGACAACACGCCTGCTCCAACAACACGCGCCTGCGTTGCAACAACACGTCTGCAGCAACAACACGTCTGCAGCTAACAACCACGTCTGCTGCAAAACAACACGTCTGCTGCCCAAAACCGTCTGCAGCAACAACACGTCCTCGCTGCAACAACCCGTGCTGCAACAACACAGTCTGCTGCCGACAACGAAGTATGCTGCTCCCCAGAACCGTCTGCTGCAAACCCGTCTGCGCACAACACGTCTGCTGCAACAACACGTCTGCTGCTCAAACACGTCTGCTGCTAACAACACGTCAGCAACAAAAACACTCTGCTGCAACAACACACGTCTGCAACAAAACATCTGCTGCAACAACAAGTCTGCAACGTACCATCTGCTGCAACACCACGTCTGCAAAAACACGTCTTCTTGAACAACACGTTGCAACACTCCAATCTGCTCGCAACACAACAAGTCTGCTTGGCAACAACACGTTGCTGCAACAAACACGTCGCTGCAACCATCACGTCTGCAACAAAACATCTGCAGCGTCACCCGTCTGCAACAACACATCTGCCGCTACCAACACGTCTGCTGCCAACACGCCTGCTGCAACCAGCACGTCTGCTTGCAACCCCGTCTGCTGCAACAACACGTATGCTGCGGTCAACACCGTCTGCAACAACACCTCTGCAGCGCAACACGTCTGCTGACACACAACCACGTCTGCTGCAACAGGCCTGCTGCAACAGCCACGTTTCTCGCATGCAACAGCAAGTTTGCTGCAACACGCCATGCTGCAATAACACGTCTGCTGAAAAAAACACGGGTCTGCGGCAACCAACACGACTCGCTGCTACACCACATGCAGCAACAACACGCCTGCTTTTGCAACAACCCGTCTGCAACAAAACGTCTCGTACCACCAACACGTCTGTAACAACACGTCTTGCTGCCGACAACAGCCTGCTTGCAACACCGCCCGCCAGCCATGCAAAACGCGCCGGCAGCAACAAACGGGCCTGCTGCAGCAACACGTCTGCTGCCCACAAACACATCTGCGCAACAACACGCCTGCTGCAACACCACGGTCTGAAACACAACGTCTGTCACAAAACGTTCTGCTTCGACAAACACGACCTGCTGCAACAACACGCTGCCTGCAAACAACACGCCTGCTCCCGACAACACGTCTGCTGCGAACAACCGACGCCTGCTGCAACAACACGTCTACAACAACACCCCTCTGTAACACATACACGTCTGTAACACCACGTCTGCTGCTGGACAACACTGCTGCTGCCAACAACACGCTGCTGCGACAAACACGCCCTGCTGCCAACCAACACGTCTGCTGCCAACAACACGCCTGCTGCAAACAACACGTCTGCCAACAACACGCTCTGCTGCAACAAACACGCTCTGCAAACAACACGTTTGCTGGCGAGACAATACGTCTGACTGTAACAACTGCTTGCTGCAACAACACTGTCTGCAAACCAACACGTATTGCTGCATACAACACGTCTGCTGCTAAAACACGAACTGCTTGAAAACAAGTCTGCTGCGACAAAAACACGGCCCTGCTGCGGACACACGCCTGCGCAACAACGCGGCCTGACAGCAAACAACAACACGTCTGCCTGCAACAAACCCATCTGTGCAACAACACGCCAGCTGCAACAACACTTCGTCTGCAACACATGTCTGCAACAACACGGTCTGTACACAACACGTTGCTGCAGACACACGGCCTGCTGCAAACAACACGCTGCTTGCAACAACACGGCTGCTGCAACAACTCACGCCTGCTGCCACAACACGTCTGCTGCGACAACAGTCCTGCTGTCCACAACACGCCTGTCTTCAACCAAACACGTCCTGCAACAACACGTCTGTAACAACCAGTCTGTCAACAACCACGTTGCTGCGAACACGCATGCTGCAAACAACACGCCTGCCTGCAACACAACGCCTGCCTGAGTCAACACGTCTGCTGATACAACACGCCTCTGCAACAACACGTCTGCAACCAAAACACGTCTGCTGCTACAACCACGTCTGGCAACAACAACACGTTTGCTGCAGACACTTACGTCTGCTGTAAACAACACGTCTGCTGCAACAACACTGTCCTTGAATCAACACGTCCGCCTGCAACAACACGTCTGCTGCTAAAACACGCAGATGTTTCCCACCGGTTTTGAAGCAATGTTTGTGGTGGTCGTCGGCGGGGGGGGGGGGCGGAGGGAGGGAGGGTGGGGGGTACATGGTAGAGATGGACACTCTTGGAGGTCATGAATCCAGTGAAATTAGTCGCACACCTTTTTCCAGTAATAAGTTACCGCAGGATCAACGTGACCTGTTCTTGACAATTTTTTAGGCCTATTTTGGACTCAAAATGGGCTGCTTTAAATCATATTGCTACTAGTAAAAGTTTCTGGGTCTTGGTACAGTGTAGTAGGGCAATCATGTGTCGTGAATACAGTGATATTTGAAGTTCGCAACCTTTTTAAGTAAAATCAGTCACAAGTGACAAAAGTGACATGTTTTGACTATCTTTGGAGGTATTTTGGACCAATATTGGCTACTGGTACTCAATATTTCTCAATATGCTTCTACAGTTTAAAAGTGTTCTCGGTATTTGGTACAGTGGTGTAGAGGCATGTTGGAGGTCATGAATCAGTGAATGTAATCCGTTGCCAACACCTTTTTTAAGTGACAAGTTACAGTAGTTCTAAATGTCTCCTGGTATGTGACACAGTTTTGACCCATTTTTAGGTATTTTTGGACAAAATTGGCTACTTTAAATCAATATTTCTTCAATAAATTTCTCAGTAAAAAGTGTCTGGTCTTTGGTAAAGTGTGTAGAGGACAAGTCTTTGAGGTAATGAATCCAGTGAAATTAGTCGCACACCTTTTTACAGTTAAAAAAGTGTAAGTAGGATCAAAAGTGACAGTATTGACTATTTTGGAAGGTATTTTTGGACCAAAAAATGGCTACTTTACCTTCAACTATTTCTCAACTATTTGTACAGTAAAAGTTCTGGTCTTTGGTACACAGTGGCACGCAGCGGCAAATTATAAGGTCAAAGTGTCAAGTGAAATTAGTCGCACAACCTATTCCAGTAAATAGTTACAATACTTGAAAATTGCACAAAGCGGACCAAATTGTGTACTTTTTACATTGTAAACAATCGAGTGGCTATCCTCTGAGGACTCACAAATCTGCCGGAGGGAATGTAAGGAGGGCTGGTGCTTATGTCGTGACCGGGTTTCTGGGCATTCTTCTCTATAAGGTTTTAATCACAAAAATCGTGTCTCCCTGACCCCAGCGCGCTTTTCTGTCTCGATAAAAATGGGTGCACTTCCGAAAGGACGTTCCGCGGATACCGTCAGTTTCATCAAAACGAGCACCCGTCTTTTCCCGATGCGGGCCCGCTTGTTCATAGAGCTGATAGAGCGGGCACTTTACCGCGGTAACATGAATAGGACACAGCTATGCTTACAGCGTCATGATCGCTGAGGAGGACGGAGACACGCCGGGTGCTGCAACGAAGGTGGAGGGGCTGTGTGTGTGTAGGTTCATGTATGTGGGAGAGAGGTAGCTTGAGTAGGAGTTACGAAGGGCCGCCACATTTTAAACCCCCCCCCTCCCCGCTCTGTCAAATTGCCCGCTGCCGTACCGGCAGCCCCCCCAACGGCACTCAGACGATAGCATGATTTAAATAGCGTAACAAAAAAATATATTATTATATCACGTAAAAGCATTTGTGCGCCCGCGGCGGTCTATCAATCTGTGTCGGTGCGCACATGATTAGCATTACGTGTGGGGAAACACTTGACCACGTCTTATGCAACAACACGTCTGCAACAACCACATCTGCTGCAAAACGCCTCTGCTGCAACAACCTTTGCAACAACACATCTGCTCTGCAACAACAAGGCTGCAGCCAACAAACACGTCAGCTGCAACAACAGTTGCTTGCAACAAACTACATCTGCCTGTACACAACACTTCTGCACACAACAGTCTGCTGCAAAATCGTCTGCAGCAACAACAACGCCTGCTGCAAACACCTCCTGCCTCCTAACAACACGCTTGTGCACAATACACGTCTGCGTAGCAACAACACGCTCCTGCTGCAACAACACCGTTGGCCACCAAACGCCTTGCGGCCAACACACACGCCTGCACCAACAACGACGCCTGCTGCAACAACCGTCTGCTGCAACAACAAGGTCTGCCAGCAACAACACTCCTGCCCTGAAAACAGCACGCCTGCAGCACAACAGTCTGATGCGACAACAGTCTGCCTGCAACAACACGTCTGTCTGCGACAACACACCTGCTGCGACAACACGCCAGCACTGCAACACGCCTGCTCCAACACACGCCTGCTGCACACACACGTCGCTCCCCTAGCAACACACGCCTGCTGCGACAACACGGCTGCTTCAGCACACACAACGTCCATGCTTCGACAACACGTCTGCAGGCTAACACATGTCTGCTGCGGCAACCGACTGCTGCGACAACACCGTGTCTGCAATGCAGACAACACGTCTGCAACAACACGTCTTGCTGCGACAATCACGTCTTGCTGCAACAACACGTCTGCTTGCAACAACCACGTCAGCTGCCAACAACACGTTGCTGCACAACCACGTCAGCTGCAACCACACGGTCTGCTGCAACACACGTCTGCTGCAACCAACGTCTGGCAAAAAACACATCTGCTGCAAACACACGTCTGCAACAAACATCTGCAGCAACAACACATGCTCTGCAAACACCACGTCTGTCTGCACCAACACGTTGACAACACACACTGCTGCCAACCAACAAGTTGCTGCAACAACCATGGTCTGCTGCATCCACACGTCTGCCCTGCAGAAAACACGTCTGAACTGCTCAACAACCCGTCTGCAACAACACATCTGCTGCAACCAAACGTTTGCAACCACACATCTGCCGGCAACATAGTTGCAGACGACACAACCCTGTTGCTGCTGACAACACGTCTGCCTGCGACAACACGTCTGCTGCCAACTACACCGGTCTGCACACAACCACGTTTGCTGCGACAAACCACGTCTGCTTGCAACAACACGTCTGCTGCAACAACACGTTGCTGCCACAAACACGTCTGCTTGCAACAACACGTCTGCTGCTCACAACACGTCTGCAAAAACACATCTGCTGCAACAACACGTCTGGCAACAACAATCATGCTGCCAAACAAACGGTCTGCAACAACACGTCAGCGCACCAACCACGACTTGCCAACAACACATCTGACCTGCAACACCCAGTCGGCTGCAAACAACAGTTGCTGCAACAAAACGTCTGCTGCAAAAACACGTCTGCTGCAACTACAACGTCTGCAACAACCCATTCTGCGCAACAACACGTTAGCAACAACACACTCTGCTAGCAACCACACGTCTGCTGCAACAACACGTCTGCTGCAACAACACGTCTGCAGAAACAACACGTCTGCAGCAACAGCACGCCTGCGTGCCCACAACACGTACTGCTGCAACAACCGGCCTGCTTGCACAACACGCCTGCTGAAACCCACATCTGCAACAAACACGTCTGCTGCAAACAACACGTCTGCTGCAATCAACACGTCTGCTTGCAACAACACCGTTGCAACACACCCATTGCCGGGCAACAACAGTCTGCTGCAACTACACCGTCTGCAAGCAACAACACGCCTGCTCGCATACAACACGCTTGCTGCACGACACGTCTGCTGCAACAACACGCCTGCTGCAACAAAACACGTTGCTGCCAACACCATACGTCTGCATGCAACACACGTTTGCAACAACACATCTGCTGCAACAATCCCGTCTGCAGCTAACAACCCGCCTGCCTCCAAAACCCGCTTGCTGCCACAACACGTCAGCTGCAAAACAGCCTGCTGCAACAACACGCCGGCTTACCAACAAACACGCCTTGTGCAACAACAGTCTGCAGCTACAACACGTCTGCCTGCCACACACGTCTGCATGCAACAACAAGTCTGCTGAACAACACGTCTGCAGCAACAAACGAGCTGCTGCATCAGCACGCCTGCACGCTGAGCAACAACACGTCTGCTTGCAGACAACATGTTGCTGCACAACACCGTTTGCTGCGACAAACACGCCTGCTGCAAACAACACGCCTGCTGCAACAATCCTCCGCTCGCTCCAACAAACCGCCTGCCTGCAAAATAGTAGCCACAACAACACGCTGCTGCGACAACACCTCTGCGCCACAACACGTCTGCTGCAACAACACGTCTGCTGCGACAACACGTCAGCTGGCGACAAACACGTCGCCTGCAACAACACGTCCGTGCAAACACCCACGCCTGCAGCCGACAACAGTCTGCTGCGACAATACGGTCATGCTGCAACAACACCACGTCTGCTGCAACAATTGTTTGCTGCAACAACAACGTTGTATGCAAAACCAACGTCGTAACAACATGTCTGCTGCAACACACACGTCTGCTGCAACCACGCTGCTGTATCACACCGTCTGCTAGCAACAACACGTCTGCTGCAAAACCTCGTCTGCTGCAAAATCACGTCTGCAGTTAACAACACCACCGCTGCTGCAACCGCACGCCTGCAGCAAACACCCGTTGCATGCGACAACACGTCTGCCTGCGGACCAACACGTCTAGCTGACGAACAAACAGTCTGCAGCAACAAACACGTCTGCTGCGGACATCCCAAAACGTTGCTGCGACAACACATCTGACTGCGGACACACGTCGCAGCAACAACACGTCCGCTGCAACAACACGCCTGCTGCGGACCAGACAAGTCTGCTGTTTTTGTCGGAACAATACGTCTGCGCTGCAACATCACGTCTGCTGCAACAACATGTTTTGCATGCAACAACACGTCTGCTGCAAACACACGTCTGTAACAAACACGTGTGCTGCAAAAAACAGTTGCAGTAACCAACACGCCTGCTGAAACAGCACGCCATGCAGGCGCACAACACGTCTGCTTTGCGGCCAACACGTCTGCTGCGCAAACGTTCTGCTGCGAACAACACGCTGCTGAGACAACACGCCTGCTCCAACAACACGCCTGCTGGCAAACAACACGTTGCAGCAAACACACGTCTGCTGCAAACAAAGTCTGCTGGCAACACCACGTGGCGGCAACAACACGTCTGTCAGCAACAACCGCCTGCTGCAACAAACCACCGCCTGCCTGCAAGACACCACGTCTGCCTGCGACAAACACGTCTGCTGCATACCAGAACGTCTGCTGCACACACGTCTGCAAACCAAAAGTCTGCTTGCAACAACACGTCGGCGTAAAACACGTCTGCTGCAACAACACGTCTGCAACACACACATCTGCGGCAACACACTTCTGCACAACACATCTGCTTGCAACACAAGTCTGAACAACACTTCATGCTGCAACAAAACACGTCTGCAAACAAAACACGTCTGCTGCAACAACACGTTTCAAAAAACAATTGCTGCCCAACAACCAAGTCTGCTGCAACAACACGTCTGCTGCAACACACGTCTGCTGCACACACGTCTGCAACAACACATCTGCAGAGACACACAGTCTGCAACAAACACATGCCGCAAACAAACAGTCTGCTGCAACACGCCTGCTGCAACAGCAGTCTGCATGCAACACCGTCTGCTGCACACAACTCGTCTGCTGCCCCCGACAACACGTCTGCAAACAACACATCTGCTCGCGACAACCCGGTCTGCGTGCAACAAACGTCTGCATTGAGACAACCGCCTGCTTAGCAACAGACACGTCTGCTGCAAAGCAAGTTAGCTGCAACACGCCTGCTGCTCATACCACGTCTGCTGCAAAACACGTCTGCAGCAAAAAAACAACCAGTCTGCTGCAACAACACATCTGCTGCCACAAACGCCAGCTACTGCAACAACACGGTCTGCAAAAAAACACGTCTGTAAAAACCACGTCTGTAACAACACGTCTGCTGCGACAAACGCCTGCTGCAACCAACGCGACTGCTGCTGCAAACAAGCGCCTGCAGCAAAAAACGCTGCCTGCAGCGAACACTGTCTGCTGCAACAACACATCTGCGGCAATACAACACGCCTGCTGCAACAACTCGTCTCAACAACACGTCTGCTTCACCAAACGTCTGCTGCCGACACCTCGCCTGCCAGCCACAACAGCCTGCCTGCAACAACCACGCCTGCTGCGACAACACGTCTGCTGCAACAACACGCTGCTGCAAACAAACACGTCTACACCAACAGGTCTGTAACAAAAGTCTGTAACAAAACGTCTGCTAGCGACAACAACGCTGCTGCCCAAACACGCCTGCTTCGACAAACGCCTGCTGCAAACATCAACGTCTGCGCAACAACACCGCCTGCTGCAACAACACGTCTGAACAACACGTCTGCTGCAATAACCCGCGTCTGCCAACAACACGTTTGCTGCGACCAATACGTCTGCTGTAACAACACGCTTGCCTGCAACAACACGTCTGCCAAACAACACGTCTGCTGCCAACAACACGTTGCTGCTAAAAGACGACTGCTGCAAAAACACGTCTGCTGCGACAACACGCCTGCTGCCGACAACACGGCTGCTGCAACAACGCGCCTGTGCAGCGCACAACAAACACCGTGCTGACACACACCATCTGCTGCAACAACACGCTGCCTTGCAACAACACGTCTGCAACTACATGTCTGGCAACAACACGTCTGTAACAACACGGTTTTTGCTGCGACCCACGCCTGCTATGCAACAACACGCTGCTGCACCACCCACGTGCTGCAACCACCCACGCCGGCTGCATACAACACGCTCTGCAGCGACAACACGTCTGTTCTTTTTCTTCTTTACAGCCCACAACACGACTGCTGCAACACCACGTTCTGCAACAACCACTAGTCTGTAACAAACACGTCTGAAAACACACGTCACTGCGACAACTCGCCTGCGGCAACAACACGCCTGCAATGCAACAAAACGCCTGCAGCGTCACAGTCTGCGTTGCAACAACACGCCTGCTGCAACCAACTCTGACACAACCCCGGTCTGCTGCAACAACTCACGTCTGCAACAAAACGTTTGCTGCGACAATACGTCTGCTGTAACAACCCGTCTGCTGCAACAACACAATTTCGTTGACAACAACACGTCTGCTGCCAACAACACGGTCTGTGCTAAAACACGCAAAGTGTTTCCCCACAGCGTTTGAGGATTGTGTGGCTGGTCGAGGCAGGGGGGGGGGGGAGGGGAGGGGGGGGGGGTGGTACAGAGCGTAGAGGACAATCTTGAGGACATGAATCCAGTGAAATTAGTCGCCCACCTTTTACAGTAATAAGTTTACAGCCAGATACAAAAGTGACTGTTTTGACAATTTTAGGCTATTTTGGACAAACAATGCCTGGCTTAAATCATATTTCCTACAGTAAAAGTTTCTGGTCCTTTGGTACAGTGGTAGAGAGGGCAATTCATGAGGTCGTGAATCCAGTGAAATCCTAGTCGCACACCCTTTTTCAGTTAAAGTTACAGTAGCTAAAGTGACATGTTTTGACTATTTTGGAGGGTATTATGGACCAAAAAATGGAATACCTTGTACCTCAATATTTCTCAATAATTTCTACAGTATAAAAGTTGGTCTGGTCTTTTGTAAGTTGTAGAAGGCCATGTTGAGGTATGACATCCAGTGAATTCAGTTGCACACCTTTATACAGTTGAAAAAGTACAGTAGGATCAAATGTGACATGTTTTGACCATTCTTTTAGGCTATTTCTCGGACCAAAATGGCTACTTAAATCAATACTTTCTAAAGATTTTACAGATTAAAAGTGTCCTGGTCCTTTGGTCCAGTGGTAGAGGACAAGTCTTGGAGGTCATGCAATCCAGTGAAAATTAGTCGCTCACACCGTTTTACAGTAAAAAGTTACAGTAGATCAAAAGTGACATGTTTTGATATTTTGGAGGTAATTTTGGACCAAACTGGGATACTTTACCTCAATATTTCGCTATATTTCTACAAGTTTAAAGTTTCTTGGTCTTTTGGTTACAGTGCAGGAGGGCAATCATAAGGTTATGAGTCAAGTGAAATTTGTCGCACTACTTATTCCAGTAAATGTTACATACTTGTATATTGCCACTACGCGACAACTTGTGTCCTTTATACATGTCAACAACTAGATGGGCTACTCCTCTCTGAGGACTCACAATCTGACGGGAGGAAATCGTAGGGGGTGGTGCTATGTGTGCCGTGTGGCATCTCTATAAGGTTTTAATACAAAAACGTGGTCTCCCTGACCCCAGCGCGCTTTCTTGGTTCGATAAAAAATGGGTGATCCGAAAGGACGGTTTCCGCTGTTACCGTACGTTCTCACACAAAACGGCACCGTCTTTTCCCGTATGCGGGCCGCATGTTCCTAGAGATGAAAGATGCGGGCACTTTACCGCGGTAAATGAATGACACCGCTGCTTACAGCGGATGATCGTGATGGACGACGGAGACACGCGGTGTGCCCGAAGGGGAGGGGCTGTTGTGTGTAAGGTTCTGTATGATGGGAGAGACGCGTAGCTTGAGTGAGAGTTAAGAAGGGCGCCACATTTTAAAACCCCCTCCACCGCTGTCAAATGACCGCTGCGGCTGGCATACTCGACGGATGCATGTTTTAAAAATAGCGTAACAAAAACAAATATATATTTAATACGAAACGCCATTCTTTGGCGGGCGGTCTCTATCTGTGGCGGTGCGCACCAGCTTTAGTCTATGTGTGGGAAACCCAGACCACGTCTGCTGCAACAACACGTTGCAACAACACATCTGCTGCAAACAAGTCATGCTTGCAACTAACACGCTTTCAACAAACACATCTGCTGGGCAACAACAAGTCTGCTGCAACAACACGTCTGCTGCAACAACACACGTCTGCTGCAACAACACATCTGCTCTGTAACAACACTGTATGCAATCACGTCTGCTGCAACAACATGTCTGCAGCAACAACACGCTGCTGCAACAACACGCCTGCTCCAACAACACGCTTGCTGCAACAACACGGTCTGCCGCAACAACAGTCTGCTGCAACAACACGTTTGCAACACACGCCATGCTGCAACAACAGCCTGCCCAACAACCACCGCCAGCTGCCAAACAACACCACGTCTGCTGCGAACAACACGTCTGCAGCTACAACAGCCTTGCTGGCAACAGCACCGCCTGCAGCAACAACTCGTCTGTGCGACAACACGTCTGCTCTGCAACAACACGTACTGTTGCGACAACACACCTGCTGCGACAAAAAAATACACGCCTGCTGCAACAAGCCAGCTCCAACAACACGCCTGCTGCAACAAAACGTCTGCTAGCAAAAACACGCCTGCTGCACAACACGCTGCAGGCAACAACACGTCTGCTTCGACAACACGTCTGCAGCAACAAACAAGTCTGCGTGCGACAACACGACTGCTGCGACAAACGTCTGCTGCAACAACAGGTCTGCAACTCCACGTCTGCTGCGACACACTTCTGCTGCACAACACGTCTGCTGCAACAACACGTCTGCTGGCAACAACAGTGCTTGTCAAAAACAAACACGTCTGCTGCAACAAACTTCTGCTGCAACAACACGTCTGCTGCAACAACACGTCTTCAAAAAACCACATCTGCTGAAACAACACGTCTGCAACAACACACATCTGCCTGCAACAACACGTCTGCAACAAACACGTCTGCTGCAACAACACGTTTGCAACAACACATCTGCTGCAAACAACAAGTCTGCTGCAACCAAAACACACAGTCTGCTGCCACAACACGTCTGCGGCAAAAAACACGTCTGCTGCAACCACACGTCTGCACAACCATCTGCTGCACAACTCGTTTGCTACAACACATAAGCTGCAAAAAACCGTCTGCTGCGACAACACCGGTTCTGCATGCGACCAACCAGGTTGCTGCGGACAACACCGTCTGCTGCAACAATCGTCTGCAACAACACGTTTGCTGCAGACAACACCGTTCTGCTTGCAACAACAGTCAGGCTGCAACAACAGGTCTGCTGCTAAAACAGTCTGCTGAACAAACGTCTGCTGCAACAGACACGTCTGCAAAACACATCTGCCTGCCCAAACACGTCGGCAACCAACACATCTGCTGCAACAACCCGTCTGCAACATCAGTTGCGGCAACAACCCACGTTTGCAAACAACACATCTGCTGGCAACAACAAGTCTGCGCATCAACAGTCTGCTGCAACAACACGTCTGCTGCAAAAAAACAGTCCTGCTGCAACAACAACGTCTTGCAACAACACATCGGCGGCAACAACATCGTTGCAACAACAATCTGCTGCAACACACGTTGCTTGCAACAACACGTCTGCTTGCAACAACACCACGTCTGCAGCAACAACACGTCTGCTGCAACAGTACGCCTGCTGCCACAACACGTTCTGCTGCCAACAAATGCACGCTTCTGCAACAACACGCCTGCTTGCAAAAACAACACAACTGCAAACAAACTCGTCTGCGGCAACAACACGTCTGCTGCAACACACACGGTCTCGCTGAAACACCCAGTTTGCACAAACAACTGCGGCAACAACACGTCTGCTGCAACAACACGTCTGCTAGCAACTAACACGCTGCTCCAACCAACCCGCCTTGCATGCCACGACAACGGTCTGCTGCAACACACCCTGCTGCAACAAACACGTCTGCTGCAACAACCGCTCTGCTGCAAAACACGTTTTGCAACAAAACATCTGCTGCAACAAACAGTCTGCAGCAACAACACGCATGCTCCAACAACCACGCTTGCTGCCACAACACGTCTGCTGCACAAACAGCCTGCTTGCAACAACCGCCTGCTCCAACAACCACGCCTGCTGCAACAAACACGTCTGCTGCAACAACACGTTGCTGCAACAAAACCCCGTTCTGCTGCAACAACACGTCTGCTGCAACAAACAGCGTCTGCAGCAACAACACGCCTGCTGCAAACAGCACGCCTGCAGAACAACACGTTGCTAGCCCGAAACAGTCTGCTGCGACAACACGTTTGCTGCGACAACAGCTGCTGCAACAACACGCCTGACTGCCACAACGCCTGCTCCACCAACACGCCTGCTGCAACAATTCCGTCTGCGCAACAACAACACGCCTGCTGCGACAACACGTCTGCAGCCACAACACCGTCTTTGCTGCAAACAACACGTCTCTGCGACTCGACCCACGTCTGCTGACGAAACATCAGACCGCCTGCAACAACACGTCCGCTGCAAACAACACGCCTGCTGCGAAACCACCGTCTGCTGCGACCAATACGTCTGCCGCACCACGTCTGCTGCAACCAAGCTGTCTGCCCTCATCCCCACAACACATGTTAGCTGCAAACAACAACGTCTGCTGTCAAAAACAAGTCTTTGTAAGAACATGTCTGCTGCAACAAACACGTCTGCTGCAAAACGCCTGCTGTATCAACACGCCGGCCAGAAACAAACACGTCTGCTGCAAAAACACGTCTCGCTGCACCAAAACCAGTCTGCAGTTAACAAAACACGGCCATGCTGAACAGCACGCCTGCAGCACAACACCGTCTTCTGCTGCGAAACACGTTCTGCTGCGCAACAGTTGCTGCGAAACACGTCTCAGCAAAACACGTCTGCTGCCGACCACACGTCTGCTGCCGACAAACACATCTGCTGCGGTCAACACGTCCGCTGCAACAACACGTCCGCTGCAACAAACGCCTTGCTTGCGGACCACACGTCTGCTGCGACAATACGTTGCTTGCAACAACACGTCTGCTTGCAGCAAAATGTTTGCAGCAACAACACGGTCTGCTGCAAAACACACGTCGTGTAACAAACGATCTGCGCAAAACATGTCAGCTCAGTAGTAAAACGGGCCTGCTGCAAACAGAACGCACTGCACGCAACCACACGGTCTGCTGCGACAACACTTCTGCATGCGACAACACGTTGCTGCGACAAAAACGCCGTGCTGAGACAACAGGCCTGCTCAACAACAGCCTGCTGCAACAACACAGTCTGCAGCACAACGAGTCTGCTGCAAAACACGTCTGCTGCGAAACACACGGTCTGCTGCGCAACAACACGTCTGCAGCACAACACACGCTGCTGCAACCTACACGCTGCTGCAACAAAACGTCTGTGCGGACAACACGTCTGCTGCCACCGAAGTCTGCTGCAACCAACACGTCTGGCAACAAACACGTCAGCTGCAACAACTCGTCTGATGCTAAAACACGTCTGCTGCAACAACACTTCTGCAACAAACACATCTGCTTGCAACAAACGTCAGCAACAAACACCTCTGCTGCAAATCAAGAACCCGTCTGCAACAACACATCCTGCTGCAAAAACACGTCTGTCACAAACGTCTGCTGCAACAAACGTTTGCAACACACATCAGCTGCAAACAACAAGTTGCTGCAACACAACGTCTGCTGCAACACAAACGTCTGCTGCAGACAACCGTCTGCAACAACACAACGGCTGCGACAACCCACCAGTCTGAACACACACATCTGCCGCAACACATGTCTGCTGGCAAAAACACGCCTGCTGCAACAGCAGTCTGCTGCAACACGTCTGCTGCAACACAGTCTGCTGCGACAACACGGTCTGCAACAACACATCTGCAGCGACAACCGTTTCCTGCTGCAACAACACGTCTGCTGCTAACACGCATGCTGAAAACAGCAGTCTGCTGCACAGCAAGTTTGCCTGCAACACGCTGCTGCAAGTAACACGACTGCTTGCAAAAAACACGTCTTGCAAAACACGTCTGCTGCAAAAACACATTGCCAGCAAACAACACGGCCTGCTGCAACAACACGTCTGCAACACAAGACTGTAAAACACGTCTGTAACAACACGTCTGCTGCGACAAACACGGCCTGCTGCACCAACGCGCCGCTGCTCCAACGCGGCTCAGCAGCAACAAAACGCCTAGCTGCAGCTACAGTCTGCTGCACACAATCCATCTGCTGCAACAACACGCTGCTCAAACAACACCGTCTGCAACGAAAAGTCTGTAACAACGACGTTCTGCTGCGACAACCGCCTGCTGCAACAACACGCCTGCATGCAACAACCCGCCGTCTGCGTTGCGAACACGTCTGCTGCAACAACACGCCTGCTTGCAACAAACACGTCTACAACAACCAGATCGTCTCTGTAACAACACGTCTGTAAAAACACGTACAGCCTGCGACAACACGCTGCTGCACACAACACGCCTGCTGCGACAAAAAACGCCATGCCTCAACAAACCACGTCTGCTGCAACAACAGCCTGCCTTGCCAAAACACGTCTGCAAACACGTCTGCTGCAAAAACACGGCGTCTGACAACAACACGTTTGCTGCGACAATACTTCTGCATGTAACAACACGCTTGCTGCAACACACGTCTGCAACAACACGTCTGCTGCAACAAACACGTCTGCTGACTAAAACACCAGACTGCTGCAACAACACTCTGCTGCGGACAACACGCAGCTGCGACACAACACGCCTGCTGCAAACAACGCGCAGCTAGAGCAACAACAAACAGTCTGCTGCAAAACAACACATCTGGCTGCAACAACACGCCTGCTGCAACTACAACGTCAGCAAACAAATGTCTGCAACAACAGTCTGTAAAAACGTCTGCCGCGACAACACGCTGGCTGCAACAACACGCTGCTTGCAACAACACGCCTGCTGCAACCAACACGCCTGCTGCAACCACACGCCTGCTGCGACAAAAACGTCTGCTGCCACAAACACGCCTGCTGCAACAAAGTCTGCAACAACAACGTCTGTAACAACCACGTCTGAACAACAGACAACTCTGCTGGACAACACGCCATGCTGCAAAACAACCCGCCTTTTTACTTGACAACAATAACGCTGCTGCGTCAACAGGTCTGCTGAACAACAGCCTGCTGCAACAACAAGGTCTGCAACAACAGTCTGCTGCAACAAACGTCTGCTAACCAACACGTGTGCTGCGACAATACGTCTGCTGTAACAACCACGTTGCTGCAACCTCAACAGCACGTCTGGCAACAACACGTCTGCTGCAAACAACCACGTTGCTGCTAAACACGTCGTGTCTTCCCCAGGTTTTGAAGGCTTGTGTGGTGGTCGTCAGGCGGTGGGGGGGGGGGGGGGGGGGGGGGGGGGGTTACAGTAGGGCTAGAGGACATCTTTGAGGTCATGAATTCCAGTGAAATTAGTTCGCACACCTTTTTACAGTATAAGTTCAGCAGATCAAAAGTGACATGTTTTGACAATTTTTAGGCTATTTTGGACCCAAAATGGTGCTTTAAAATCACATATTTCTACAGTTAAAGTTTCTGGTCTTTGGTACTAGTGGGAGAGGGACTCAGAGGTCGTGGAATCCAGTGAAATTAGTCGCACACCTTTGTTTACAGTAAAAGTTACAGTAGATCAAAAGGAAATGTTTTTTGTACTATTTTGAGGTATTTTGGACAAATGCGCTACCTTTACCTCAATATCTTCTCATTATTTCTACAGTTAAAAGTGTCTGGTCTTTGGTTACGAGTGGTGAAGGCAATGTTGAGGGTCTTGAACTCCAGTGAAGTCAGTTGCACACCTTTATACAGTGAAAAGTTACAGTAGATCAAAATAACGGTGACATAGTTTCTTGTCCATTCTCTTTTCTAGGTATTTTGGACCAAAATGGCTACTTTCAAACAATATTTCTCAATATTTATACAGTAAAAAGTGTCTGCGTCTTTGGTACAGTGGTAGAGGACCAATCTTGAGTTATGAATCCAGTGAAATTAGTCGACTCCTTTTTACAGTATAAACAGTTACAGTAGATAAAACGAGACATGTTTTGACTATTTTGGAGGTTTATTTTGGACCCAAACTGGCTTACTTTACCTCAATTTATTTCTCAACTATTTCTACCGAAAAAAGTTTCTGGTCTTGGTACAGTGGCACGAGGCATAATCAGGATCATGAGTCACGTGAAATTAGTCGGCACACCTTATTCCCAGTAAATAGTTACAAACTTGAATAATTGCACTAGCGGACAAATTGTGTACTTTTAACATGTAAACCAATAGAGTGGCTATCCTCCTGAGGACTCACAATCTGCGAGGAATCGGAGGGGGCTGGTGCTCTGGTGTGCGGTGGTGGCTCTCTCTTATAAGGTATTTAATCAACAACAAAGTGTTCCTCCCCTGACCACAGCGCGCTTTAATGTTCGATAAAAATGGGTGACTCAGAAAGGACGTTCCGCTCGTTACCGCAAGTTCTCAACAAACGAGCACCGTCTTTTACCACAGATGCGGGCCGCATGTTCATAGAGCTTGAAAGATGCGGGCCACTTTTACCGCGGTAAAATGAATAGGGACACAGTGCCTTCCGCGATGATGCTGATGGGTGAACAGGAGACCACGCGGTAATTTGTGCACGAAGGGGAGGGGCTGTGTGTGTGTAGGTCTCTGTATGAGGGAGAGACGAGGGTCGCGGTAGCTGAGTGAGAGTTACGAAGGGCCACCACTCATTTTACAACCCCCTCCCGCTGTCAAATTGACCGTCTGCGGCTGGCACTAGGCGATGCATGTTCTTAAATAGCGTAACACAAACATATATCTATAATAATCGAAACTGCATTTTTGTGGCGGGCCGGTCACTAATCTGGTCGGTGCGCTAAAACGATTAGTCTATGTGTGGGAAACACTGACTCGTCTGCAGCAACAAACAGTCTTGCAAACATCACATCTGCAGCAACACGTTGCTGCCACAACACGTTTGCGCAACAACACATTGCTGCAAACAACAAGTCTGCTGCAACCACTTCTGCTGCAACAACACGTCTGCTTGCAACAACACATTGCTGTAACAACACGTCTCTGCAACAACATGTCTGCTGCAACAACACCGTTGCAGCAAAACACGCCTGACTGCAACACCCACGCCTGCATCCCAACAACACGCTTGCTGCTAACCAATTGGTCTGCTGCAACAAACGTTCTGCAGCAACAACACGTTTGCAACAACCACGCCTGCTGCAACAACACGGGCTGCTCACAAACAACACGCCTGCTTGCAACCAACACGTCTGCTTGCTAACCAACACGTCTGCAGAGCAACAAACGCTGCTGCCAACAGCACGCTGCAGCAACATCGCAGTCTGCTGCGGACAACACGCTGCTGCAACAACACGGTATGTTGCCGACACACACACCGCTGCGACAACACGGCCTGCTGCAACACGCTGCTCCAACAAACAGCCAGCTGCAAACAACACGTCTGCAGCAACAACACGCCTGCTGCGACAAACAAGGCAGGCAGCAACAAACACGTCTGCTTCGACAACACGCTCTGCAGCAACACATGTTGCTGCGACAACACCGACTGCTGCGAAAAACAGTCTGCTGCAACACCACGTCTGCAACAACCGTCCTGCTTGCGACAACACGTCTGCTGCAACAACACGTCTGCCTGCAACACCCGTCTGCGTGCAACAAAACACGTCTGCTGCAACAACACGTCTGCATGCATCAACACGTCTGCTGCAACAACACAGTCTGCTGCAACAAACACGTCTGCAAAAACACATCTGCTGCAACAAACAGTCTGCAACAACACATCTGCTGCCAACAAACACGTCCTGCACAAAACCCGTCTGCTGCAACAACACGTTTGCAACAAACCATCTGCTGCAACCAACAGTCTCTGCTAACAACACGTCTGCTGCATAACAACACGTCTGCTGCGCAAAAAACACGTCTGCTTGCAACACACGTCTGTGCCACAACACATCTGCTGCAAACAACCGTTGCAACAACCCATCTGCTGCAACAACACCAGTCTTGCTGCGGACAAACACGTCTGCTGCGGAAAAACACGTCTGCTGCGACAAACCGTAGTCCAAACAACACGTCTGCAACCAACACGTTTGCTGCGACACCCACGTCTGCTGCAACCTACACGTCTGCTGCAACAAAACACGTCTGCTTTCAACAAACAGTCTGCTGCACAAACACCGTCTGCTGCGAACAACACGTCTGCAAAAAACACATCTGCTTGCAAAAACGTCTGCAACCACCCACATCTGCTGCCACACACCGTACTGCAACCCGAACACGTCTGCTGCAACATACACGTTTGCAAACAATCACATCTTGCTGCAACAACGACGTCTGCTGCAACAACCCGTCTGCTGCCAAACAACACGTCTGCTGCAAAAAAACACGTCTGCTGCAACACGTCTGCACAACAACACATCGGCTGCAACAACACGTTTGCACAACAATCTCCTGCAACAACACGTCTGCCTGCACAACACGGTTGTCTGCAGCAACAACAGTCTGCCGCAACAACACGTCTGCTGCAACAGCACTTCCTGCTGTCCACAACACGTCTGCTGCAACAACTACGCCTGCTGCAACAACACTCCTGCTGCAACAAACACATCAGCAACTATACACGTCTGCTGCACCACCACGTCTGCTGCACACACACACGTCTGCTGCAAACAACACGTTTGCAAACAACAATCTGCAGGCCAACAAAACAGTCAGCTGCAACACAAGTCTGCAGCAACAACAAAACGGCCTGCCCTCCAACCAAACTACGCTTGCGGCCCGACACGGTATGCTGCAAACAACACAGCCTGCTTGCAACAACACTGTCTGCTGCAACAACACGTCTGGCTGCAACCAACACGTTTGCAAACAACACATCTGCTGCAACAAACACGGCTGCGCATACAACACGGCCGCTCCAACAATCACGCTTGCTGCACAACCACGTCAGCTGCAACAACACAAGGCTGCTGCAACAACACGCCTGCTCCAACAACCTCCTGCTGCAACAAAACGTCATTGCAGCCACAACAGTCTGCTGCAACCAACACGTTCCGCTGCAACAAACAGTCTGCTGCAACAACACGTCTGCCGAGCAAACAAGCCGGCGCTGCAACAGCACAGCCTGCTAGCAACAACACGGAACGTCTGCTTGCGACAAACTCGTCTGCCTGCGACAAACACGCATTGATCGCGACCAACCACGGCTGCCTGCAACAACACGCCTGCTGCACAACTCGCCTTGCTCACAACACGCCTGCTGCCACAATACGTCTGCAAACAACAACAACGCCCTGCTGCGGACAACAGTCTGCAGCCACAAAACACGTCTGCGTGCAACCAACCCGGTATGCTGCGAAACCACGTCTGCTGCCGGCGAAAACACGGGTTTCACTGCAACAACTACGTCCGCTGCAACAACACGCCTGCTGCGGACAACACGGTCTGCTGCGACAATAGTCTGCTGCAAACAACACGTCTGCTGCAACAACATGTTTGCTGCAACAAACACGTTGCTGCAAACACACGTCTGAAACAACATGTCCTGCTGCAACAACACTGACGTCTGCTGCAACACGCCTGCTGTGATCAACACGTCTGCAGCAACAACACGTCTGCCTTGCAAACACTAGTCTGCTGCAACAAAACGTCTTGCGTAAACAACACGCCTGCTTGCACAGCACGCCTGCCTGACAACACGTCTGCTGCGGAAAACAGCGTCTGCCTGCGACAAACGTCTGCTGCGACAACACTGTCTGCAGCAACAACACGTCTGCTGCGACAACACGTCTAGACTGCGACAACACATTGCTGCGACAACACAGTCACGACTGGCAACAACCTGTCCGCTGCAAACAACACGCTGCTGCGACAACACGTTGCTGCGACAATACGTCTGCTGCCACAAACTACGTCTGCTTGCAAACAACATGTTTGCTGCAAACAACACTCTGCTGACAAACACACGTCTGTAAACAACAGCTCTGCTGCAAACAAGTCTGCAGTACACAACACGCTGCTGCGCAAAACAGCACGCCTGCAGCAACTACGTCTGTGCGACAAACGTCTGATGCGGACAAACACAGTCTGCTGCCGACAACACGCTGCTGAAGACCAACCCGCCTGCCTCCCAACAACACGCCTGCTGGCAACAACAGCTGTCCGCAGCAACAACACGTCTGCTGCAAAACAACACGGATGCTGCAAACAACACGTCTGCTGCAACACAACACGTCTTCAGCAAACAACACGCCTGCCTGCAACATCACGCCTCGCTGCAACAACACGTCTGCTGCGACAACCGATAGTCTGCTGCAAACCAGACGTATGCTGCAAAACACGTCTGCACACAACGTCTGCTGCAACAACACGTCTGCTCGCTAAAAACACGTCTGCTGGCACACCCCTGTCTGCCAAACACACACATCTGCTCCAACAACCGTCTGCAACAACACATCTTAATGCAACAACACGTCTGCAAACAACACATTCTGCTGCAACAAACACGACTGCCAACAACACGTCTGCCTGCCAACAACACGTTTGCAACAACACATCTGCTGCCACCACAAGTAGTCTGCCTGCAACAAAAACACGTCTGCTGCAAACAAACGTCTGCTGCAGAACCAAACACGTCTGCAAAAACACATCTGCCAGCGGCCAACACAGTCTGCAACAACACCAATCTGCCGCAACAAACACGTCTGCTGCACACGCTGCTGCAACAGCACGTTGCTGAAAACAGTCTCAGCACACAACAGTCTGCTGCGGACAAACGTCTGCAACTAACACATCTGCGCGACAACACCGTCTGGCGTGCAACCACACGACTGCCAGCAACAGCCTGCTGCAACAGCACGTCTGCTGCATCAGCAAGTTTGCTGCAAACAGCCTCTGCAATAACACGTCCTGCTGCAAAAAACGTCGCTCGCAACACACACGTCTGCTGCCACACACATCTGCTGCAACACCCACGCTGCTGCAACAACACGTCTGCAACAACACGATGTAACAACACGTCTGTAACATAACACGTCTGCTGCGACAACACGCTGCCTGCTGCAACAACTGCAGCTGCTGCCAACAACGCGCCTGCAGGCAACATAACGCTGCATGCAGCAACACGTTCTGCTGCAAACACACATCTGCTTGCAACAACACGCCTGCTGCAACAACACGTCTGCAACAACAGTCTGTAACACCGTCCTGCAGCGACAACACGCCTTCCTGCACACAACCCGCTGCTGACAACAACCCGCCTGCTGCCGAAAACGACGTTGCTTGCAACACACGCTGCTGCAACAACACAACGTCTACGCACACACGTCTGTAACCAACACGTCCTCTAAACAAACACGTCTGCTGCGACAACACGCCTCGCCCCTGCAACAACACGCCTGCTGCGACAAAAGCCTGCTGCAAACCAACAGTCTGCCAGCAACAAACGCCAATGCTGCAACAACACGTCTGCATACAACACGTCTGCTGCAACAACACCGGCTGCAACAACAGTGTGCTGCGACAACTACGTCTGCTGTTAACAACCGCTTTGCTGCAAACAACACGTCGCAACACACACGGTCTGCTGCACACCGTATGCAGTAAAACACGACTGACTTGCCCAACAACACCGTTTCTCGCCGACAACACGCCTGCCTGGCGACAACACGCCTGCTGCAACAACGCAGCCTGCAGCCAACAACACAAGTCTGCTGCAACAACTAACATCTGCTTGCAACAAACACGCCTGCTCTGCAACAACAAAAAAAAAAAAAAAAAACCAATCACCCCAAAAGTCTGCAACCAACAGGTCTTGCAACAACCACGTCTGTAACAAACGTTGCTGCCGACACCACGCATGCTGCAACAACAGCCTGCTTGCAAACAACAAGCTGCCATGCAAAACAAACGCCTGCCATGCAACAACACGCCTGCTGCGACCAAAACTCGTCCTTGCGGCCACAACACACGCCTGCTGAAAACAACACGTCCTGCAACAACACGTCCTGCTAACAACTACCGTCTGCTAACAACACGGTCTGCTGCGACAAACACGCTGCCATGCAAAAAACGCCTGCTTGAACAAAGATTGCTGCCGGTCAACACTGTATTCTGCAACAACCACGCCTCGAAGCACACAAACATGTCTGCATCAACAACGTCTGCTGCTAACAACCCGTCTGCCAACAACCGTTTGCTGCGACAATACGTTGCTGTAACAAACACGGTCTGCTGCAACAACACGTCTGCAACAACACGTCTGCTGCAACAACACGTTCTGCTGCTAAAACCACGCAGTGTTTCCCACAGGTTTGAAGGCAATGTGTGGTGGTCGTCGGCGGGGCGGGGGGGGGTGAGGGGGGGGGAGGGGGCAACTGGGGTAGAGACATCTTAGAGGTCATGACTATTCCAGCTGAAAATAGTCGCACAACCTTATTACAGTAATATGTTACAGCAGATCACAACAAGGTGACATGTTTTGACAATTTTTAGGCTATTTTGACAAAATGGATGCTTTAAATCAATATATTCTACAGTTAAAAGTTTTGGTCTTTGGTACCAGTGGTAGAGGGCAATCATGAGGTCGTGAATCCTGTGAAATTAGTCGACACACACTTTTTACACGTAAAAAAGATTCGTTATAGATCAATAGAGACATGTTTTGATATTTTGGAGGTATTTTGGGCACAAAATGGCTACTTTACCTCTATATTTCTCAATAATTTATACAGTAAAAGTGGTCTGGGTCTTTGGTACAGTGGTAGAACGGCATGTTGAGGTCAAGAATCCAGTGAAATCAGTGCACACCTTTTTACAGTTGAAAAAGTTACAGTAGCTCAATCTAGTGACCTGTTTTGACCATTTTTTAGGCTATTTTGGACCAACAAATGGCTACTTAAAATCAATATTTCTCAATAATTCTCCAGTAACAGTGTCTGCGCGTCGTGGTCTACAGTGGTAGAGGAACATATCTTGAGGTATGAATCCAGTGAAATTCAGTCGCCCACCTTTTTACAGTTTAAAAAAGTTTACAGTGATCAAAAGTGACATGTTTTGACGATTTTGCGAGGTATTTTGGACCAAAATGGCTACTTTATCATCAAATATTTCTTTCAATATTCTCTACAGTAAAGTTTCTGGTCTTTAGACAGTGGCACAGAAGTGGCAATAATATGGTCCATGAGTTCAAGTGAAATTGAGTCGCAAACCTTATTCAGTAGTAAATAGTCTACTAACTTGAAAATTGCACTAAGCGACCCAAATTGTGTACTTTATACATGTAATCAATAGAGTGGCTATCCTAATGCGGACTCACCAGTCTGCGGAGGAAACGTAGGGGGGGCTGGTGCTATGTTGACGAGGTGGGCATCCTCTTTAAGGTTTTAATCACATAAAACCGTGTTCCTGACCCCAGCAAGACGCATCTTACTGTTCGATAAAAATGGGTGATCTACGGGAAAGGACGTTCCGCCTTTGTTACGCGTTGTTCTCAACAAAACGCGCCCCGTTTTTCCCCGATGCGGCCGCCTGTTCATAGAGCTGAAAGATGCGGGCCACTTTACGCTGGTAAATGAATAGACACAGGCTGCTTACAGCGATGGACGCTGATGGAGACGGAGACACGCGGTGGGCACGAAGGGGAGGGGCGTGTGTTGTGTAGGTCTCTGTATGTGGGAGAGACCGCGTAGCTGAGTGAGAGTTAGAAGGGCCGCCACAAATTTTAACCCCCCTCCCCGCTGTCAAATTGACCGCTGCGGCGGCACTAGACGATGCTGTTTTAAATAGCGTAACAAAAAAATATATATATTAATAATACGAAACGCATTTTGTGGCGGGCTGTCTCTAATCAGTGTCGGTGCGCACAGATTCGTCTAAGGTGGGAAACCACTGACACGTCTGCTGCAACAACCGTCTGCAACAACACTATCTGCTGCAACACTTGTCTGCTGCAACAACCGTTTGCAACAAACACATCTGCTGGCAACAAAACAAAGTTTCTGCTGCAACACAAGTCTGCTGCAAACAACACGTCTGCAGCTAAACAACACAGCTAGCTGTAACATACAACTACGTCTGCAACATCACTTTGCTGCACACAACACGTCTGCGCAACAACACCGCCTGCTGCAACAACCACCGCCAGCTCCTACAACACGCTTGCTTGCAACCAACACGTCTGCAGAACACCACGTCTGCTGCCAAAAACACGTTCTGCAACACACGCCTGCTTCCACAACCTCGCCTGCTCCAACAACAGGCCTGCTGCAACAACACCTTCGTCTAGTAACTGCAACAACCGTCTCGCAGCAACAACAGCCCTGCTGGCAACAGCACGCCTGCGAGCACCAAACACGTCTGCTGCGACAACACACCGTCTGCAGCCAACAAAACAGCTCTGCTTGCGACAAACACCCTGCTGCGACAACACGCCTGTGCCAACACGCCTCTCCAAAAAACACTGCCTGCCCTGCTCAAAACACCGTCTGCAGCATCAACACGCTGCTGCGACAACACGGCTGCAGCAACAACACGGCTGCTTCGACAAACCACGTCTGCCGCAACGAACCATGTCTGCTGCGACAAACACGACTGCTACTTTTAAACTTTTCTTTCTTTTCTTCTCCTACTGCGGACAACACAGTTGTTTTTTTTCTTTTTTTTCTTTTTTTACTGCAACACACGTATGAAAACAGTCTGCTGCGACAACACGTCTGTGCAACAACAAGTCTGCGTGCAACAACAGTCTGCTGCTCAACAACACGTCTGCTTTCAAAAACGTCTGCTTTGCAACACCCCGTCGGCTGCAAAACAACACGTCTGCTGCAACAACACGTTGCAAAAACACATCTGCTGCAAACACCTTACCGTCTGCAACACACATCTGGCTGCACACACACGTCTGCAACAACACGTCTGCTGCAACAACCCCGTTTGCAACTACACATCTGCATGCAACAACAAGGTGTTCTGCTGCTCACAAACACGTTGCTTGCAACAACACGTCAGCTGCAAAAACCCGTCTGCTGGCAACAACTACGTCTGCAACAACACCATCTGCATGCAACAACACAGTTTGCAAACAACACATCATGACTGCAAACAACACGTCTGCCTTCGACAAAACCCGGTTGCTGCGACAACACGTCTGCTGCGACATACAAGTCTGCCTGAAACAACACGTCTGCAACAATCACGTTTGGCTGCGACACCACGTCTGCTGCAACACACACGTATGCTGCAACAACACGTCTGCGCAACAACACGGTCTGCGCAAACAACAACTTCTGCTGCAACAACACTGTTGCAAAAACACATTGCTGCAACAACACGTCTGCAACAACAACATCTGCAGCAACAACCGTCTCGACCCCCGTCTGTTGCAACAAACAGTTTGCACAACAACCCCATCTGCTGCCAACATCAAGTCTGCTGCAACAACACGTCATGCTTCAACAACCGTCTGCAGCCACAAAACAGTCTGCTGCAACACACGTCTGCAACCACACATCTGCTCCAACAACACGTTAGCAACAACACAATCTCGCTGCAACAACACACGTCTGCTGCAACAACACGTCTGCTGCAACAACACGTCTGCAGCAAACACAACCAAAGTCTGCGAATGCAACAGACCACGCCTGCTGCCACAACCCGTCTGCTTGCAACAACACGCCTGCTGCAACAACACGCCCTGCTGCCGAAACCACAATCATGCAACACAACGTTGATGCAAAACACGTCTGCTGCAACAACACGTCAGCTGCAACACACTTTTGCAAACTAACCACAACTCTGCGGCACATACACGTCTGCTGCAACAACACGTCTGCTCAGCCACAACACCGCCTGCTCCAACAACACGCTTGCTGCACAACCGTCTGGCTGAAACAACAGCCTGCTGCAACAACACGTACTGCTGCAAAAACCGTCTGCTGCAAACAACACGTTTCAAAAAACAATCTGACTGCAACAGAACGTCTGACAGCAACAACACGCCCTGCTCCAACAAACACGGCATTGCTGCCACAAAAAACTGATCCTGCCTGCAACAACACGCCTGCTGCAACAACACGCCTGATCCAAACAACACGCTGCCTCGCAAACAACCGTCTGCAGCAACCAACAAACACGTCTGCTGCATAACACACCGTACTGCTGCAACAACACGTCTGCAGCAACAACAGGTCTGCAGCAAACAACACGGCCTGCTGCAACAGCACGCCTGCCAGCAACACCCACGTCTGCTGCGACACTACGTCTGCCGCGAACAACAGTTTGCTTGCGACCAACACGCCTGCTGCAACCACACGCCGGCGGCACAAACCAGCCTGCTCCACACAAACACCGCCTGCGTGCAACAAAACGTCACGCAACAACAACACGCCTGCTGCGAAAACACGTTGCAGCCACAAACACGTTTCTGCTGCAACAACGTCTGCTGCGACAACACGTTGCTGCGGCCCAAACACGTCCGCTGCAACCGTTACACGTCCGCTGCAACACACGCCTGCTGCGACAACAGTATGCTGCGGAATAGTCTGCTGCAAAACAAGTCTGCTCTGCATCAAACATGTTTCGCTCGCAACAAACACGTCTGCTGCAAACCACACGTCTGTTAACAGACTGTCTGCTGCTAACAACACGTAGCTGCAACACGCCTGCTGTATCAAAAACGGTCTGCCGCAACAACACGTCTGCTGCAAACACGGGTCTGCTGCAACAACCAGTCTGCAGTTACAACACGCCTGCCTGACACAGCCAAAGACTGCCAGCAACCAACAGTCTGCTGCGGACAACACGTCTGCTGCGAACAACAAGTTCTGCTGCGACAACACGATCTGCGTAGCAACAACACGTTGCTGCGAACAACACGTGTCTGCTGCGACAACACATCTGTCTACTGCGACACACGTCCGCTGCAACAACAGCTCGTTGCGACCGCTGCAACAACACGCCGGGTGCCGGACAACCCGTCTTGCTGCGACAATACGGTCTGCTGCCAACAACCCGATCTGCTGCAACAACATGCATGTTTAGCTGCTAACAACACGTCTGCTGCAAACACACGTCTGTAACAACACGTCTGCTTGCCAAAACAGTCTGCTAGTAACACCCACGCCTGCTGCCACAGCACGCCTGCAGCAACAACACGTCTGCTCGCCGGCAACACGTCTGTGCAACAAACACGGTCTGCTGCGACAACACGCTGCTGAGACAAACACCGCCTGCTCCAACCACCCACGCCTGCTGTCAAACACCACATCTGCAGCAACAACACGTCTGCTGCAACAACACGTCTGCTGCAACAAAACACGGTTCTTGCTGCAACAAACACGTCTGCAGCAACAACCGCTGCTGACAACAAACACGCCTGCTGCAACCTACCCACGTCTGCTGCGAACATACGTCCTGCTGCACAAGAACGTCTGCCTGCACCAACATCGTCTGCAACCAACAGTCTGCTGCATTCAAAACACGAATGCTGCTAACCACGGTCAGCTGCATCAACACGTCTGCAACAACAACATCTGCTGCACAACACGTCTGCTAACAAAACACACTCTGCTTGCAACAACACGTCTGCAACAACACATTCTGCTGCACAACACCGTCTGCAACAACACGTCTGCTTGCAACAACACGTTTGCAACAACACACTGCAGCAAACAACAAGTCTGCGCTGCAAAAAAACACACGTCAGCAGCAACAACAGTCTGCTGCAAAAACACGTCTGCAACAACAAACTCAGCAGCGACAACCCGTCTGCAACAACACATTGCCAGCAACAACACGTCTGCTGCAACCCGCCAGCTGCAAACAGCACGTCTGCTGCAACACGTCTGCTGCCAACAACCGTCATAGCTGCGACAACACGTCTCGCAACAACCCATCTGACTGCGACAACACGTCTGCTGCAACAACACGTCTGCTTGCAAACACACGCTGCTGCAACACACAGCACGTCTGCTGCTAACAGCAAGTTGCTGCAACACGCTGCTGCCAATAACACAGTCTTCTGCAAAAACACGGTCTGCTGCAACCAACACGTCTGCTGCACAACAATCTGCTGCAAAAAAACAGCTCGCTGCCCAACACTGTTCAGCAACAACACGTCTGTAACTACCACGTCTGTAAACAACACGTCTGCTGCGACAAAACACGGCCTGCTGCACAACGCGCCTGCTTGCTACAAGCGCCTGCAGCAACAAAAGCCTGCATGGTCCACGCAACCACGTCTGCTGCAACAACACCAATCTGCTGACAACAACACGCCTGTCTGCAACACAACGTCTGCAACACCACCGTCTGTAACAAACACGTCTGTGCGACAACACGCCTGCAAGCACAACACGCCGGCAGCAACAACACGCTGCTGCGACCAACTACGTCTTTGCTGCAACAAACACGCTGCTGCAAACATCATGGTCTCCAACTACAGCCGTCTGTATAAAAAACACGACTGCTAACAACACGTCTGCTGCGACAACAGCCTGCTGCAACAACACGCTGCTGCGACAAAACGCTGCTTATTGCAACAACACTCTGCTGCAACAACACGACCTGCAATGCAATAACTACGTCTGCAAACAACACGTCTGCATGCAACAACACCGTCTGCAACAACACGTTTGCTCGACAATACTGTCTGATGTTACCAACACGCTTGCTGCAACACAAACACAGGTCTGCAACAAACACGTTCTGCTGCAAAACAAACAAGTCTGCTGCTAAACACGTACTGCTGAACAACCACGTCTGCTGCGGACAACACGCCTGCCTGCGTCAACACGCCTGCATGCAACAACGCGCTGCTGAAGCAACAAAACACGTCTGCTGCAACAACACTGTGCTGCTACAAACACGCTGCTGCACCAACAGTCTGCAACACCTGTCTGCAACAAACGTCTGTTAACACACGTCCTGCTGCCGGCCAACACGCCTGCTGCACCAACCACGCCGCTTCAACAAACACGGCCTGCTGCAACAACACGCTGCATGCAAACAACACGCCTGCTGCGACAACCGTTTGCTGCCACAACCAGCCTGCGCAACAACACGCGTCTGCAACAACTCGTCTGTTATAACAAACTTCTGTAACCAACAAGTCTTGCTGTCGACAACACGCCTGCTGCAAACAACACGCTGCTGCACAAAACGGCTGCTGGAGTCAACCATGTCTGAAGCAACAATCACGCCTGCTGCAACCACACGTCTGCAACAACAAGTCTGCTGCAACACACGTCTGCCACAACACGTTTTGCTGCGTCAATAAGTCTGCCTGTAACAACACGTCTGCTGCCACAACACGTCTGCAACAACACGTGTCGGCTGCAACAAACACGGTCTTGTGCTAAACCGCAGTGTTTCCCTCACAGGTTTGAATGGGCAAATTGGGGGTAGGACGTCGGCCGGGGCGGGGGGGGGGGGGGGCGGGGGGGTTACGTGGTAGAGGACATCTTGAGGTCATTGATATCCAGCTGAAATTAGTCGCACACCTATCTTACAGTTATAGTTACTGCTCAGATCAAACCAGTGACAATGTTTGAAAATTTTTAGGCTATTTTGACCAAACTATGGCTGCTTTAAATCCATATTTTACAGTATAAAAGTTTTTGGTCTTTGGTACAGTGGTAGAGGGCATCTGGAGGTCGTGTAAATCCAGTGAACTTTTTCGCACACATTTTACTTAGTAAAAACGTTACAGTTAGATAAAAGTGACATGTTTTGACTATTTTATAGGAGTATTTGGACCAAAATGGCTACTTATACCTCAAGTATTTCTCATAATTTCTGACAGTTAAAAAGTGTTGGTCTTTGGTACAGTGGTAGAAGGCACGTTGAGGTCATGAATACAGTGAATCAGTTGCAAACCTGATTTACAGTGAAAAGTTACCGTAGATCAAAAGTGACATGTTCTTGACCATTGTTAGTCTATTTTGGACCAAACAATGGCTACTTTAAAATCAATATTTCTCATATTTCTACAGTAAAAGTGTTCTGGTCTTTAGGTACAGTGGTAGAGGGACAATCTTGAGGTCATGAAATCAAGTGAAATTAGTCGCCACACTCATTCTTTCAGTAAAAAGTTTAAGTAGATCAAAATAGTGACATGGTTTGACTATTTTGGTGTATTTTGGACCAACATGGCTACTTTACCCTCAATATGTTCTCATATTTCTACAGTTAAAACAGTTTATAGGTCCTCTTTGGTACTCAGTGGCAGAGGCATTAAGCGTGGCAATAATAAGGTCATGAGTCAAGTGAATTAGTCGCACACCTTATTACAGTAATAGTAGTTACAATACTTGAAAATTGCATAGCGGACCAAAATTGGCTGTACTTTATTACATGTAAACAATAGAGTGGCTATCCTCCTGGAGTGAGGACTCACAACGAATCTGACCGGAGGATCGTAGGTGGCTGGTGGCTATGTGTGCCGCGGTGGCATCTCTATAAGGTTTAATCACAAAAACGTGTCTCCCCTGACGCCCAGGCGCGTTCTGTTCGATAAAAATGGGTGATCCGAAAGGGACGTTCCGCTGTTACCGTAAGTTCTCCACAAAAGGCGCACGATCTTTCCCCGATGCGGGCCGCATGTACATAGAGCGGAAAGTATGCGGACCCACTTTCACCGCGGTTAAATGAAAGACACTGCGCTTACAGCGATGATCGCTGATGTAGGACGGAGGGACACGCGGTGTGCTCGAAGGGGAGGGGCTGTGTGTGTGTAGGTCTCTGTATGTGGGAGAGAACGCGATTGCTGAGTCTGAGAGTATCGAAGCGCCGCCACATTTTAAACCCCACCCCTGCTGTCACAATGACGCTGCGGCTACCACCACCCCCCCCCCCGGGCATAGACGATGCATGTTTTAAATAGCGTAACAAAAAATTATATATAATAATAATTCGACAACGCATTTTGTGGGCGGATCGGTCTCTAATCTGTGGCGGAGCGCCACAGATTAGTCTATGTGTGGGAACCACTGACAAGTCTGCTGGCAACATCAAGTCTGCAACAACACATCTGCTGCAACAGATCTGCTGCTAACAACACAGTTTGCAACAACACATCTGCTGCAACAACATGTCTGCTGCCCGAACTCAAACACTCACGTCTGCTGACAACCTCTAGTCCTGCCTGCAACAACAATCTGCTGTAACACCCGTCTGCAAAACACGTCTGCTGCAAACTCACGTCTGCAGCAAGCAACACGCCTGCTGCAACAACACGCCTGGCACCAACAACACGCGCTGCAACAAACACGTCTGCAAGAGCAAACAACACGTCTGCTGCAAACAACACCGTTGCAACAACAGCCTGCTGCAACAACAGCCTGCTTCCAAACAGCACGCTGCTGCAACAAACAGTCTGCATGCAACAACACAGTCTGCAGCAACAACACGCCAGCTGCCAACGCACGCCTGCTATGCACACATCAGTCTTCTGCGGACAACACGTCTGCTGCAACAAACCGCACGTCTGTTGCCGACCACACCCCTGCTGCGGACAAACACGCCTGCTGCAACGTCTGCTCAACTAACAGCGCCTGCTTGGCAACAACACGTCTGCAGCAACAACACGCCTGCTGCGGACTAACAGGCCTGCAGCAACACCACGTCTGATTCGACAACACAGCACCGTGGCAGAACAACATGTCTGCTGCGACAACACGGACTGCCGGCGAAAAACGTCTGCTGCAACAACACGTCTGCAACAACACGGTCTGCTGCGACAACAGTCTTGCTGCCACACCACACGTCTGCTGCAACAACCGTCTGCTGCAACAACACGTCTGCTGCAACAACCCCGTTGCTGCAACAACACGTCTGCTGCAAACAACACGTCTGCATGCAACATCACGTCTGCAAAAACACATCAGCTGCAAACAAAACTGTCTGCAAAAACAAATCTCTGCCACAACACGTCTGCAAAAAACGTCTGCTGCAACAACACGTTTGCAACTACATCATCAGCTGCAACAACAAGTCTGGCTGCAACAACCAGTCTGCTGCAACAACACGCGTTGCTGCAAAAAACACGTCTGCGGCAAAACAACACGTCTGCAAGCACAATCTGCTGCTACAACACGTTTGCAACATACACATCTGCGGCAACAACGTCTGCTGCGACATCAAACGTGTTTCTGCTGCGACAACACGTTCTGCTGCCGACCAACACGTCTGCTGCAAAACACGTCTGCAACAACCACGTTGCTGCGACACACGTACTGCTGCAAGACAACCCTTGTCTGCTGCCAACAACAGTTCTGCTGCTCAACAACACGTCTGCTGCAACAACACGTCTTGCCTGCAAAACACGTCTGCAAAAACACATCTGCTGCACAACACGTCTGCAACAACCACATCTGCTGCAACAACACGCTGCAACAATACAGTCTGCCTGCAACAACACGTTTGGCACAACACATCTGCTGCAACAACAAGTCTGCTGCAACAACATGTCTGCCTGCAACAGAAAAACCGTCTGCTGCAAAAACACGTCTGCTGCAACAACAGTCTTGCCAACAACACATCTGCAGCAACAACCACGTTTGCAGCAACACATCTGCTGCCAAACAACCCGTATGCTGCAACAACACGTCTGCTGCAAAACACGTCTGCTGCAACAACACGTCTGCTACATGCAACAGCACGCCTGCTGCCACACACGTCTGCTGGCAAACAACCACGCCTGCTTGCAACAACACGCCTGCTGCACAACACATTGGCAAACAACAGGTCCGCTTGCCTAACAACACGTCCTTACTGCAACAACACGTCTGCTGCTGCAACAACACGTTTGCAACAAACACATCTGCCGGCTAACAAACCCCCCAGTATCGTGACAAACAACCCACGTCTGCAGCAACCACACGCCTGCTCCAAACACACGGCTTGCTGCCACGACACGTCAGCTGCAACAACACGCCTGCATGCAACAAACACGTCTGCCTGCAACAACACGTCTGCTGCAACAACAGTTTGCAACAACAATCTGCTGCAAACACACGTCTGCCGCTAACCACACGCCTGACTCCAACAACCGCTTGCTGCCACAACACGTCTGCTGCAACAACGCCTGCTGCCAACAACACGCCTGCCTCCAACAACACGCTGCTGCAACACACGTCTGCAGCCAACAAACAAGTCTGCTGCTAAAAACAACACGTCTATGTGCAAACAACACGTCTGCTGCAACAAACGTCAGCAAGCCACAACACCAACAGCCTGCTGAACAGCACCGCCTGCAAGCAAACAACACGCTTGCTGAGACAACGTCTGTGCGACACCAGTTTGCTGCGACAACACGCTGCTGCAACACACGCTGCATTGCAACAACACGCGCTGCTCCAACAACACGCACTGGCCTTTAAAACAATTGCAACAATACGTCATGCAACAACAACACGCCTGCTGCGGACAAACACGTCTGCAGTCCCAACACGTTTCTGCTGCAACAAACAACACGTCTGCTGCGACAACACTTCTGCTGCGAAAACACGTCCGCTGACCAACAACACGTCCGCCCAGCAACAACACGCCTGCTGCCGACAACACGTCTGCTGCGACAATACGTCATGTCTGCAACAACACGTCTGCTGCAAAACATGTTTGCTGCAACGCAACACGTCTGCTAGCAAACACACGTCCTGTAACCAACATGTCTGTGCAACAAACACGTCTGCTTGCACCCTGCGCTGCTGTGATCAAACGTCTGCAGCAACACCACGGTTCTGGCTGCAAACACGTCTGCTGCAACACACTGTCTGCTGTTAACAACACGCCCTGCTTGCAACAAGCACGCCTGCAGCAACACACACGTCCTGCGGCGACAACCACGTCTGCTGCGGACAAAACCGTCTGCTGCGAACAAAACACGTCTGCAGCACAAACACGTCTGCTGCGACAACACGTCTGCTCGCGGACAACAACATCGCTGCGACAAACGTCCGCCTATGCACACAACACGTCCGCCTGGCAACATCACCGCCTGCTGCGACACATGTATGCTGCCGACAATACGTTGCAGACAACAACAACTGTATGCTGCAACAACCATGTTTGGCTGCAAACAACACGTCTTGCTGCAAACACCGTCTGTAACAAACACGTCTGCTGCAAAAAACACCGTCTGCTTAGAAACAAAACACGCCTGCCTTCAACAGCACGCCTGCCAGCAAAACACTGTCTGCTGCCGAACAACAGGTCTGCTGCGACTACATGTCTGCTGCGACACCAGCTGCTGAGACAACGACGAGCTCCTAACCAACACGCCTGCTGCAACAACACGCGTCCTGCCAGCAACAACCCGTCTGCTGCAACAACAAGTCTGCTGGACAACAAATCACGTATGCTGCAAAACACGTTCTGCCCAGCAACAACATCGCTGCTGCAACAACCGCCTGCTGCAACAACACGTGTCTGCTGCGGAAACCAACGTCTGCTGCTAAGAAGGTGTTTTTACTGCAACAAACACTGTCTGCATACAACACGTTCGGCTGCCAAACAAACACGTCTTGATGCTAAACACGTATGCTTCTGCAACAACACGTCGGCAACAACAACATCTGCTGCAACAACACGTCTGCAACAAACCACATATTGCTGCATAAAACAGTCTGCAAGCAACAATTGCTGCTAACAACAGGTCTGCAACAACACGTTGCTGCAACAACACCGTTTGCAACAACACATTGCTGAACAACAAGTTAATATCATTTACTCTCTGCTGCAACAACACGTCTGCTTGCAACAACACGTCTGCTGCAACATCACGTCTGCAACAACACATCTGCACGCGACAGACCACTTGTCTGCTACAAACCACATCTGCGCCAACACTCGTCTTGTGCACACGCTGCTGCAACTAGCAACGTCTGCTGGCATCTCTGATCTGCTGCAACAAACGTCTGCTGCGACAACACGTCTGCAACAACACATCTGCAGCGACAACACGTTCTGCACTGCAACAACAGGTCTGCGTGCAACCGCCAGCTGCAAACAGCAGTCTGCGTTGCAACAGCAAGTATGCTGCAAAACGCCTGCTGCAATAACACGTCTGCTGCAAAACCATGTTGCTTGCAACACACACGTCTCTGCTGCCACAGACACATCTGCTGCAACAAACACGCCTGCTTGCAACAACACGTCTTGCAACAAAACGTCTGAAACAAACACGTCTGTAACAACTCGGTCAAGCTGCGGACAACAACGCATGCGTGCAACAACGCGCCTGCTGCAACAACGCGGCCCTGCGAGCAACCAAATCGCCTAGCTGCAGCAACACGTCTGCTGCCACAACACATCTGCTGCAACAACACGCTCTGCTGCAACAAATTCTGCACATCACGTCAGCTAACAACACGTTGCTGCGAAACCCGCTGCTGCAAACAACAGCTGCAGTTTTTTTTACAACAACACGCTGCCTGCTAGACAAAAACGTCTGCTGCAACAACACGCCTGCTGCCTAACACATCACGTCTACAACAACGTCTGTAACACAACGCTCTGTAACAACAGCTCTGCTGCGGACAAACCCGCCTGCTGCAACAACACGCCTGCTGCGACAAAACGCTGCGTAGCAAAACAACACGTCTGCCTGCAACAACACGCTGCTTGCAAACACCACCGTCTGCCAACAACCGTTCTGCCGGCAACATACCAGTTGCAACAACACGTTTGCTGCGACAATACATGTATGGCTGTAACAACACGCTTGCTGCAACAACAGTCTGCTAAACACCACGTTGCTGAAACCCACGGTCTGTGCTAAAAACTCGACTGCTGCAAAACAACACGTCTGTCTTTACTGCGACACCAGCCTGCTGCGACAACAACGCTGCTGCACCAACTCGCCTGCTAGCACACAAACCGTCTGCTGCAACAACACATCTGCTAGCAACAACCGCCTGCTTGCACACAACCACTTCTGCAAACACCATCGTCTGCAACAACACGTCTGTACCAAATAACGTCTGCTGCGGAAAACAAGCCTGCTTGCAACAACAGCTGCTTGCAACAACACGCCTGCTGCAACAACCGCTGCTGCAACAACACGCCTGCTGCGAAAAATACACGTCTGCTGACACAACCGCCTGCTCTGCAACCAACACGTCTGCAACAAACACGTTCTGTAACAATCACGTCTGTAACAAAACGTCTGCTGCGTAACACGCCTGCTGCAACCAACACGCCTGCTGCAACAAAACGCGGGACTGCTGCGTCAAACACGTCTGCGCAACAACTCGCCATGCCTGGGAACAACACGTCTGCAACACACACGCACTGCTGCAACAACCACGTCTGCAACACAACTAGTTTGAGCTGCGGACAATACGTCTGCTGTTACACACGGTCTGCTTGCAAAAAACACGTCTGCAAAAACACGTCTGCTGCAACATCGACGTCTTGCTGCTAAACACGCAGTGTTTGCCCACAGGTTTGAGGCAATGTGTGGTGGGTCGTACAGGCGGGGGGGGGCGGGGGGGGGCGAGGGGGGGTACAGAGGTAGAGGTCTATCTTGAGGTCATGAATCCAGTGAAAACTAGGTCGCACACCTTTTTCAGAATAAGTTTACAGCAGATCAATGTGACATGTTTGACAAATTATTTAGGCTCTATTTTGGACCAACATGGCTGCTTTAATCAATTATTTATACAGTAAAAAGGTTCATGAGTCTTTGGGTTACCAGTGGTAGAGGGCGCAATCATGAGGTCGGAACAGTGAAATTAGTTCGCACACCTTTTTACAGTAAAGATACAGTAGATCAAAAGTGACATGTTTTGGACTATTTTGGCGGTCATTTTGGACCAAAATGGCTACTTTACTCACTATTTCTCAATGTTTCTACAGTAAAGTGTCTCGGTCTTTGGTAACAGTGGGTAGAAGGCAATGTTGAGGTCATGATCCAGTGAAATCAGTTGCACACTATTTACAGTGAAAAGTTACGTCGATCAATATGGTGACATGTTTTGACCTTTTTAGGCTATTTTGGACAACTGGCTACTGTTTAAATCCAATATTTCTCTATATTGTACGTAAAAGCTGTCTGGTCCTTTGGTACGATTGTAGAGGACAATCTTGAGGGTCATGAATCCAGTGAAACTAGTAGCACACCCTTTTTTACAGTTTAACAAGTTACAGTAGATCAAAAGTGAATGTTTTGACTATTTTCTGGAGGTTTTTGGACCACAATATGGCTTTACTTTACTCAAAATTTTCAATATTTTACAGTAAAAGTTTCTGGTTCATTGGTACAGTGGCAGAGGGGCAATATTAAGGTCATGAGTCAAGTGAAATTAGTCGCATCACTTATTCTAGTAAAACGTTACAATACTGAAAATTGCACTAGCGGACCCAATTGAGGTACTTTATAATTTGTAAACAATAGAGTGGCAATCCTCCTGATAGGACTCACAATCTGCCCGGCAGGAATCGTAGGGGGTGAGTGCTATGTGCTGCCGGGTGGCATCTCTAATTAGGTTTTAATCCAAAAACGTGTCTCCCTGACTCCAGCGCGCTTTTGTTCGATAACAATGGGTGACTCCTGAAACCGGGAACGTTCCGCTGTTACCGAGTTCTCAACAAAACGCGCACGTCTTTTCCCCGCGATGGGGACCGCATCATCGTTCATAGAGCTGAAAGATGCGGGCTACTTTACCGTCGGTAACTGAATCAGACACAGCTGCTTACAGCGATGATCGCAGATGGAGACGGAGACACGCCCCCCGGTTGGGGCACGACGGGAGGGGCTGTGTTCTGCTGTGTTGGTCTCTGTAATGTGTGAGAGACGCGTTGCTTGAACTGAGAGTTACGAAGGGCCGCCACATTTTAAAACCCCCCTCCCCGCTGTCAAATTGACCGCATGCGGACGGCACTAGACGATGCCCATGTTTTAAATCGGCCGTAACAAAAAAAAATATATTATCTAATAATACGAACCGCATTTTGCTGGGCGGGGTGCGGTCTCTATCTGTGTCGGTGGCCAAGATTGTCTATGTCGTGGGGGAAAACATGACACGTCTTGCTGCAACAACACGTATGCACCACAACACATCTGCTGCACCAGTCTGCTGCAACAAACACGTTTGCAAACAACAATCTGCAGCAACAACCAAGTCTGCTGCAACACCACGTCTGGCTGGCACTTAAAACAACACGTCTGCCTGCAACAACACATCTGCTGTAACACACACGTCTGCAACAACCGTCTGCTGCAACAACACGGTTGCTATGCAGCAACAACACGCTGCTGCAAACAACACGCCTGCTCCAACAACAGCTTGCTTGCAACACACAGTCTGCAGCAACACTTCGTCTGCTGCAAACAACACGTTTGCAACAACACGCTTGCTGCAACAACACGCCTGCTCAACAACAACGCCAGCTGCATAACAACACGTTGTCTGCAACAACACGCTCTCTGCAGCCAACAACCACGCCTGTCAGCTAAAGCACGCCTTTGCAGCAACAACACGTCCTGCTGCGACAAAAACGTCTGCTGCCAACAACACGTCTCGTTGCCGACACAAACACCTGCTGCGACAACTACGCCTGCTGCCAACACGCTGCTTCCAACAACCACGCTGCTGAACAACACGTCGGCAGCAAACAACAGCCTGCTGGAACAACATCGCTGCGAGCAACAACACGTTGCTTCGACAACATTGTTCTGGGTCTGTGCAACAACCATGTCTCGCTGCGACACACGACTGACTGCGACAACACGGTCTGCTGCCAACAAAACGTCTGCAACAACACGTTGCTGCGACAACAGTCTGCTGCAACAAACGCGTCTGCTGCAACAACACGTCTGCTGACAACAACACGTCTGCTGCAACAACAGTAAGCTGCATACAACAGTTGCTGCAACAACACGTCTGCTGCAACAACCCACGTCTGCAAAACACATCTGCTCTGCCAACAACTAGTCTGCAACAGACACATCTCTGCAACAACACGTCTGCAAACCACAGTCTGCTGCAACACACGTCTTGAACAACACACTCCGCTTGCACAACAAAAGTCTGCTGCAACCAACCACGTCTGCTGAAACAACCGTATGCTGCAAAAAACACTGTCTGCTAGCAAACAACACGTCTGCAAAACAAACAATCTCTGCAACAACACGTTTGCAAAAACACATCTGCTGCAACAGACACGTTGCTGCGACAAACGTCTGCTGCGACAACAGTCTGGCTGCGACAAAGTCTGCTCCACAAACACTGTCTGCAAAAACACGTTTGCTGCGACAACCACGTCTGCTGCCACAAACGTCTGCTGCAACCAGAACACGTCGCGTGCAACAAACGTCTGCTGCACACAACACGTCTGCTGCAACAACACGTCTGCAAAAACCACATCAGCTGCAAACAAACACGTCTGCAACACACATCAGCTGCAAAACACGTCTCGCATACAACACGGTCTGCTGCAACAACACGGTTTTGCAACAACACAGCTGCTGCAAACAACAAGTCTGCGCCACAAAACGTCTGCTGCAATACACACGCGTCAGCTGCAAAAACACGTCTGCTGCAACAAACACGTCTGCACAAAACATCTGCTGCAACAAAACCGTTTGCAACAACACAATCTGACTAGCAAACAAACACGTCTCCGTCTGCTGCATACAACACGTCTGCTACAACAACAACGTCTGCAGCAAACAACACGTCTGCTTGCACCAGCACGTCCTGCTTTCCACAACACTGTCGGCTGCAAACAACCCGCTGCCAATGCTTCAAACACGCCTTGCTGCAACAAACATCTGCAACAACACGTCTGCTGCCACAAACACGGCTGCGTTGCTAAACAACACGTCAGCTGCAGAACACCACGTTAGCAACACACATCTGCGGCAAACAACACGTCTGCTGCAACAAACACGTCTGCAGCAACAACCGCCTGCTCCAACAACAACCGCTGGCTGCCACGACACGTCTTGCTTGCAAACAACAGCTGCTGCATCATACCGCACTGCTGCACACAAAACGTCTTGCCTGCCACACACGTTTGCAACAACACATCTGCTGCAACAACACCGTCTGCAGCAACCAACACGGCCTGCTCCAACAACACGCTTGCTGCCACAACAAGTCTGCAGCAACAACCGCCTTGCTGCAACCACACGCCTGCTCCAACATGAACACCGCCTGCTGCAACAACACGTCTGCAGGGCACACACAAGGCTGCTGCACACAAAACGTCTGCATGCACACTCGACACGTCTGCTGAAACAAACACGTCTGCGCAAAACAACACGCTGCTGCAACAGCACGACTGCAAGCAACAACACGTCTGCTGCGACAACTAGTCTGCTGCGAAACACCGTTTGCTGCGACAAACACGCCTGCTGCAACACACGCCTGCTGCAACAAACGCTGCTCCAAACCAACTCCACGCTGCTTGCAACAATACGTCTGCAACAACAACACGCTGCTGCGACAACACGAGTCTGCAGCCACACCGTAGGCGCACGCACACGTCTGCTGCGAACAACACGTCTGTTGCGAAAACACGGTCCGCCTGCCAACATCCACGTCCGCTCGCAACAACCGCCTGCTGCGACACAACACGTCTGCTTCGACACATACGTCTGCTGCAACAAACCGTCTGCTTGCACACCAACATTGTGTGCTGCAACAAAAAACGTCTGCTGCAAAACACAGTCTGTAACAAAAGTCTGCTGCAAAACACCGTCTGCTTGCAACACGCTGCTGTATAACACGGGTTCCTGCTCAGCAACATACACGTGTCTAGCTGCAAAACACGTTGCTTGCAACAACACAGTCCTGGACTATTATCAACACGCCTGCTGCAAACCGCAAGCCTGCAGCAAACACCAAGTCTGCTGGAACAACACGTCTGCCGACAACAGTCTGCGGCGACAACAGTCTGCAGCAACAAAACACGTCTGCTGCGACACACAGTCTCGCTGCGTGCAACACATCTGCTGCGACAACACGTCCGCTGCACAACACGTCCGCTGCACACAACACGCCTGCAGCGACAACACTGCTGCTGCGACAATACTTCAGATGCAACAACCGTCTGCTAGCGACAACATGCTTTGCTGCAACAACCGTCTGCTGCAAAAAACACACGTTCTTTAACAAACACGTCTGCTGCAAAACACCGTCTGCCAATAAACAAACACGCTGCATGCAACAGCACCACGCCTGCTAGCACACAACACGTCTGCATGCGACATACACCTGTCTGCTCCGACCACACGTCTGCTGCGAACAAACACGCCTGCTGAGACAACCCGCCAGCTCCAACAACACGCCTGCTGCAACAACAGCTCTGCAGCAACAACACGTCTGCTGCAACACACGTCTGCCCGCAACAACACGTTGCTGCAACCAAACCCGTCAGCAGGCAACAACACGCGCTGCAACAAACACGCTGCTGCAACCAACACGTCTGCTGCCGACAACACGTCTGCCTGCAACAGAAAGTCAGCTGCAAAAAACACGTCTGCAACAACAGTCTGCTGCTATACAACACGTCTGCTGCTAACCACGTTCTGCATGCAACAAACACTCTGGCACCAACACATCTGCTGTCAACAACACGTCTGCAACAACACATCTGCTTGCAACAACACGTCTGCAACAAACACTCAGATGCAACAACACTGTAGCAACAAACACGTCTGCTGCAACAACACGTTCTGCAACAACCATCTGCCGCAACCACCCAAGTCATGCTGACACAAACACGTTGCGTGCAACAACACGTCTGCTGCAACAACACTGTCTGCAACAACACATCTTGCTGCGACCAACACTGTCTGCAAACAACACATCTGCCGCAAAACACGTCTGATGCAACACGCTGCAGCAAACTGCACGTCTGCTGCAACACGTTGCTGCACAACACGTTCTGCTGCGACAACCACGACCCTGCAACAACACATCTGCAGCTGACAACACGTCTGCGTGCAACAACACGTCTGCAGCAACACGCCTGCCTGCAACAGCACGTCTGCTGCACAGCAAGATTGCTGCAAAACACGCCTGCCTGCAATACACTGTCTGCTGCCAAAAACCCGGTCTGCTGCAACAACACGTCTGCTGCAACAACCACATCTGGCTGCACCAACACGCCACTGCCCTGCAACAACACGTCTGCAACAAACACAACACGTCTGTAACACACGTCTGTAACCACAGTACTGCTGCGACACAGCCTGCCGCTGCAACCAACGCGCCTGCTGCAACACCGGCCTGCATCAACCAAAACGCCTGCTGCAGAACACGTCTGCCTGCAAACAACACAACTGTCTGCAACCACACGCTGCTGCAACAACACGTCTGCAACAACACGTCTGTAACACCACGTCTGCTGCGACCCACACGCCTGCTGCAACAACACGCTGGCTGCAACAAACGCCTGCTGCCGCACAACACGTCTGCTGCAAAACAAACACGGCTTGCCTGCAACAACACGACAACACAAACACGTCTGTCACAACTCCTCAGTAAACCACACGTCTGCTGCGACAACCCGCTGCTGAACAACACGCCTGGCTGCGACAAAACGCCTGCTGCAACAACAGTCGTGCTGCCAACAACCACGCCTGCTGCACACACGTCTGCAAACATCACGTCTTGTGCCAAACAAACACGTCTGCAACAAACGTTCTGCTGCGACAAATACGTCTGCAGTAACAACACGCTTGCTTGCAACACCACCGTCCTGCCACAACCATTCTGCTGCAACACCACGTCTGCTGCTAACAACCACGACTGCATGCACAACACGTTCTGCCTGGCGAGCAACACCGGCCTGCTGCGACACCACCCGCCTCTGCAACCCCGCGGCTGCCGCAACAACATCAATGTCTGCCTCAGCCTCAAACCCACTGCTCAAACAACACATCTGCTGCAACAACCCGCTGCTGCAACAACACGTCTGCACAACAACATGTCAGCAACACACACGTCTGTAACCAACACCTGTCTGCTGCCGACCAAACGCCTGCTGCAACACACCTGCCTGCTGCTACAACACGCTGCATGCAACAACACGCCAGCTTTGCAAACAACACCGCCTGCTCGCGGACACACCGTCTGCTTCCACAACACGCCTGCTGCAACAACACGTCTGCAAACAACACGTCTGTAACAACACTTAGCGTCTGTAACAACTCGTCTGCTGCGACAACACGCAGCTGCAACAACACGCCTGCTGCAACAAAACGCCTGCTGCGTAGTACAACATCGTTGCAGAACAACACGCTCCCGCTGCAACAAACAACGTCTGCAACAACACCGTCTGCTGCACAACACGTTGCAACACAACCAGTTTGCTGCGACAATACGTCTTGCTGTCAACAACACGTCTGCTGCAACAACCGTTGCAACAACACGTTCTGCTGCATACAACCGTCTGCTGCTAAAACACGCAGTGTTTCCCACAGGTTTGAAGGCAATGTGTGTGTGGACGTCGGCGGGGGGGCGGGGGGGGGGGGGGGGGGGGTACAGTGGTAGAGGACACTCTTGAGGTCATGAATCCAGTGAGAGAATTAGTCGCACACCTTTTTACCAGTGAATAAGTTACCAGCAGATCAAACATGACATGTTTTGACATATTTTTAGGAATATTTTGTCCAACATGGCACGCTTTAACTCAATAGTAACAGTACACGTTTCGGGTCTTTGGTACAGTGGTAGAGGGCTAAATCATGAAGGTCGTGATCCAGTGACAATTATGTCGCCAAACCTATTACAGTCAAGACGTTACAGTAGATTCAAAAGGTAGTGACATGTTTTGACTATTTTGGAGGTATTTTGGGACAAAATGGCTACTTTACCTCAAATATTTTCTCCAATATTTCTACTGTAAAAAGTGTACTGCAGTCTTTGGTACCAGTGGTAGAAGGCATGTTGGAGGTCTGAAATCCAAATGAGAAATCAGCTTGCTACCTTTTTACAGTGAAACGTTACAGTTGAACAAAAGTGAGCATGTTTTGACCAATTTTAGGCTATTTTGGACCAAAAAATGGCTACTGTAAATCAATACTTTCTCAATATTTCTACAGTCAGTGTTATGGTCTCTTGTGCATTGGTAGAGGACAATCTTGAGGTTATGAACTCCATGAAATTGTTCGCACACTTTTTACAGTAAAAAAGTACAGTAGAACCAAAAGTGAATGTGTTTTGATATTTGGAGGTATTTTTGAGGACCAAAATGGCTACTTTACCGCTCAATATTTCTCAATATTTCTACTGTTAAGTTTCTGGTCTTTGGTACAGTGGCAGAGGGCAATAATAAGGTCATGAGTCAAGCTGTAATTTTAGTCGCACACTTATTCCAGTAAATCGTTACAATACTTCGAAAATTTGCACTAGCGGAACCCAAATTGTGTACTTTATACTTGTAAACATTAGAGTGGCTATCCTCCTGACGGACTCACCATCTGCCGGAGGAATCGTGGGGGCTGGTGGTGCTATGTGTGCCGCGGTGGCAACTCTATAGGTTTTATATCACAATAACGTGTCTCTGACCCCAGCGCGCTTTCTGTTCGATAAAAAAATGGGTGACTTCCGAAAGGACGTTCCGCTGTTTTTACCGATAAGTTCCTTCAAAACCAAACGCGCAACGGTTTTCCCGAAGGGGGCCGCCAATTTTTCATAGAGCTGAAAGAAGCGGGCCCTGTTAACGCAGGTAAATGACAATAGACACAGCTGCTTACAGCCGATGATCGTGATGGCGACGGAGACACGCGGTATGTGCTACGAAGGGGGAGGGGGCTGGGTGTGTGTAGGTCTCCGTAGTGTAGGGAGCGACGCGTAGCTTGAGTGAGAGTTACGAAGGACCGCCACATTTTAAACCCCCCGTCCCCTCTGTCAAAATTGACCGCTTGCGGCTGGCACTAGACGCTTCATGTTCAAATAGCCTGTATCAAAAAACTAGTCTATATAATATACGAAACGTTTGGATGTGGTGGGGGGTCTCGACTCTGTGTCGGTGCGCACGATTAGTTATGTGAGGGACAACACTGACACGTCTGCTTGCAACAACAGTCTGCACACAACACATCTGCCTGCAACTCCCGTCTGCTGCAACAACACTGTTTGCACACAACACCATCTGCTCTGCAAACAACAAGTCTGCTGCAACAACACGTCTGCTGCAACAAACAACGTCCTGGCTGCAACAACAACATGCTGTTACAACACGTCTGCAACCAAGTCTGCTGCAACAACAATGTCTGCAGCAACAACAGCTGACTGCAACACCCGTCTGCTCAACAACACAGCTTGCTGCACAACAACCCCACGTCTGCAGCAACACACCGTTCTGCTGCAAACAAACCGTTTGCAAACAACACGCCTGCTTGCAAAACACGCCTGCTCCAAACAACACGCCTGCTTGCAACAACACGTCTGCTTGACAACAACCACGTCTGCAGCAACAAACCAGCATGCTGCACAGCACGCCTGCTGCAAACACAACGTCTGCACGCGAAAACACGTCTGCTGCAACTCAACTCGTTCCTTTTGCGACCAAACACACCTGCTGCGACAACACGCATGCTGCAACCCGCCTGCTCCAACAACACGCCGCTGCAACAAACGTCTGCCGCAAACACAACGCCAGCTGCGAAACACGGCTGCCCGCAAACAACCAACGTCTGCTTCTGGCCAACACGTCTGCAGCAAAACCAAGCGGTCTGCTGCGAAAACCGACTGCTGCGACAACCGTCTGCTCAACAACAGCTGCAACAAACGTCTGCTGCGGACAACCCGTCTGCTTGCAAACAACACGTTGCTGCAACAACACGTCTGCTGCAACAAACGTCTGCTGCCAACTAAAACGTCTGCTGCAACAAACACGTCTGCAGCAACACCACTGTCTGCTGCAACCAACACCTGACTGCAAAAACACATGCTGTGACAACACCCAGTCTGCACACAACACATCTTCTTTTCCTGCAACAACACACGTCTGCCACAACACGTCTGCTGCCAGACAACACGAGTTTTGCAACAAACACATCTGTTCAACAACAAGTCTGCAGCAACATACAGTCTGCTGCAACAAGAACGTCTGCTGCAAAAAACACGTCTGCCTGCAACAACACCGTCTGCAAACAACACATCTGCTGGTCGCATGCAACAACACGTTGCAACCAACACATCTCTGCAACCAACGTTACGTACTGTGCGACAACAGTCTGCTGCGACAACGGATCTGCTGGGGACAAACAGTCTGCTGCACAACGCGTCTGAACAACCACGTTTGCTGCGACAACACCTGTCTGCTGCTAACAACACGTCTGCTGCAACAACACGTCTGCTTGCAACAACACGTCTGCCTGCAACAAACACGTCTGCATAGCAACAAAACACGTCTGCAAAAACCACATCTGCTGCAACACCACGTCTGTTTCCTTTACAACCACACACTCCTGCTTGCAACCAACACGTCTGCAACAACACGTTCTGCTGCAACAACACCGTTTGCACAAAAAACATCTGCAGACAACAACAAGTTCTGCTGCATCAAACCGTCTGCTGCAACCACACACGTCTGCTGCAAAAAAACACGTCTGCTGCAACACCACGTCTGCACCTACACATCTGCTGCAACAACACTTTTGCAACAACACATCTGCTGCACACACGTCTGCTGCCAACAACACGTTTGCTAGCGAACAACACGGTCTGCAGAACAACATTCTGCTGCAACAGCTCGCCTTCTGCCACAACACGATCTGCGCATCCAACAGCCTGCTGCAACAACTACGCCGCCTGCAACACACATACTGCAACAAACACGTCTGCTGCACACAACACGTCTGCTGCACAACACGTCTGCTGCAACAACACGTTTGCGAACAACACATCTGCGGCAACACCACAGTTCTGCTGCAACAACACGTCCTCGCAGCCACAACCACGCCTGCTCCAACAACAGCTTGCGCCACGACAGGTCTGCTGCAACACCACGCCTGACTGCACACAACACGTCTGGCTGCAACAACACGTCTGCTGCAACAACACGTTTGCAAAAAACCACATCTGCTGCAACAACACGTCTGCAGCCTACACCACGCTCTCAACAACACGCTTGCTGCCAACAAACACACGTCTGTGCAAAAAACACGCCTGCTGACAAACACGCTTGCTCAACAACACAGCTTCTGCAACAACACCCGTCTGCAGCAAAAACACGTCTTCCTTTACTTTCTGCAACAAAGTCTGCTGCAACAAAACGTCTAGCAGACAAACACTGTCTGCAGCAAGCAACAACCGCTGCTGACAAACAGCAACGCCTGCAGCACAACACGTCTTGCAGCGGACAAACGTCTGCTGCGACAAACACGTTTGCTGCGACAACACGCCTGCCTGCAACAAACAGCCTGCTGCACCAACCCGCCTGCTCAAACAACACGCTGCTGCAACAAATACGTCTGCAACAATAACCCGCTGCTGCGACCAACACCGTCTGTCTGCAAGCCACAACACGTCTGCGTCAAAAACACGTCTGCTGCGACAACACGTCTGCTCGAAAACACGTCCGCTGCAACAACACTGTGCCGCTTGCAATACCACGCCTGCTGAGCGACACACGTCTGCTGCGACCAATACGTCTGCTGCACAACACGTTGCGTTGCAACAAACAAGTTGCTGCAACAAAACGTCTGCCTGCCAACAAACGTCTTGTACCAACATCGTCTGCTGACAACAACACGTCTGCTGCAACACCCCTGCTGTCAACACAGCTGCAGCAACAACACGTCTGCTGCACAACATCGAGTCTGCAGCAACACCACGTTCTGCCGTAACAACACGCCTGCTGCCAAACAGCCACGCACTGCAGCAACAACAACGCTCTGCAGCGACAAACACGTCTGCTGCGACAAACCACGTCTGCTGCGCCACACGTCTGCAGCAAACAAACACGTTGCTGCGACAACACGTCTGCTGCGACAACACATCTGCTGCGACAACACGTCCGCCGGCAACCAACACGTCCGGCTGCAAACAAACGCCTGCTGCGACAAACACGTCTGCTGCGACAATACGTCTTGCTGCAACAAACACCGGCTGCCTGCAACCACATTAGTTTGCTGCAAGCAACCCGTCTGCTGCAAACACACGTCTGATAACAACACGTCTGCTGACAAACCCGTCTGCAGTACCACCAGCCTGCTGCCAACAGCACGCCTGCAGCAACTACACGTATGAGCGACAAACACGTCTGCTGCGACAAACGTCTGCTGCGACACCCCGGCCTGCTGAGCCAACACGCCTGCTCCAACACACTGCCTGCTGGCAACACCACGTCTGCTAGCAACAACTACGCTCCTCTGCGTGCAAACAACCACGTCTGCTTCGCAACAACACGTCTGCTGCAACAACACGTCTGCAAGCAACAACCGCTGCTGCAACAACAACGCTGCTGCAAGACAACCACAGTCTGCTGCGACAACACGGGTCTGCTGCAACAGACACGTACTGCATGCAAACAACACGGTCAGCAACAACACGTCTGTGCAACAACACGTCTGCTGCTTAAAACACGTCATGCTGCAACAAACTTCTGAACAACACATACTCTGCTGCAACCACAGTCTGCAACAACATCTGCTGCAACACAGTCACGCAACAACACATCTGCTGCAACAACACGTCTGCAACAAACAAGTCTGCTGCAACAACACGTTTGCACACAACACATCTGCTGCAACAACAAGTCTCGCAGCAAAACACGTCTCGCTGCACCAACCCCCGTCGGCTGCAAACAACGCACGTCTGCAACAACAACATCTGCGCGACAACACGTCTGCAACAACACATCTGCCCGCAACTACACGTCTGCCTGCAACACGCCTGCTTTGCACACAGGCACGTCTGCTTGCAACACGTCTGCGCAAAAAACACGTCTGCTGCCGACAACACCGTCTGCAACAAACATATGCATGCGACAACAGTCTGCTGCAACAACACACGGTCTGCGTCAAAACACGCTGCTGAACAAGCCACGTCGGCTGCAACAGCAAGTTTGCTGCAACACGCCAGCTGCATAAATCACGTTCTGCTGCCAAAAACAGTCTGCTGCAACAACCACGCTCTGCTGCACAACACATCTGCTGCAACAAATCGCCTGCTGCAAACAACAAGTCTGCAAACAACACTGTCCTGTAACAACACGTCTGTAAACAACCGTCTGCTGCAGCACAACACGCCTCTGCAACAACGCGCCTGCTGCAACAACGCGCCTGCAGCAACAAAACGCATGCTGCAGGCAAAAACGTCGGCTGCATACAATCACATCTGCTGCAACAAACACGCTGCTTCAACAAACACGTCTGCAACAACACGTCTGTAACAAAACGTCCTGCACTGCGCCAACACGCCGTGCGCAACAACACGCCTGCTGCAACAACACGCCTGCTGCGAAAACGTCTGCTGCAACAACACGCCTGCTTGCAACAACACGTCTACAACAACACGTCTGTAACAAACACGTCTGTAACAAAAAAAAAACACGTCTGCTGCTGACAACGCTGCTGCAACAACACGCCTGATGCGACAAAACGCTGCGTTGCAACAACACGTCTTGCTGCAACAACTCACGAGCCTGCTGCAACAAACAAGTCTGCAACAACACGTCTGCATGCAACCAAACAGTCTGCAACCACACGTTTGCTGCGACCAATACGTCTTCTTAAACAACACGCTTGCATGCAACAACACGTCGGCAACAACACGTCCGACATGAAACAACACGTTCTTGCTTGCTTAAAAAACCACGGGACCTTTTTTGCATGGGGGGGCAAAACACGTTAGGTTTATGTTTGGGTCACTCACCGCTGATGTTCAGAATTCTTTGTTCAGTTTTCATGCAGTTCCAGAGAGTTCTAGTTTGGAAGTTGCCAGCCTAACTGTTGCTAGCATAGCCACAATTGTCAAAGCCACACTGCCTGCCCGCGGTTGCCGAGCAACGGGAAAACTTTTTGGGACTACTTTATTTGTTGTCATTAAATTTTGGCATTCATAAAAGTGATCTGAAGTTTATTTTGTGTGTTAAGTTGGTACAAAGCAGTATAATAAGCGGGATAATGTATAGCATACAGGTCATTATCGGAAAAAAAGTACCGACAGGGCTTATATACATTATATATGCTATACATTATCCCTTACATGTACTGTCGGGGCGACAGTAGCTCAGTTGGTAGAGCATTGGCCTTAAGGCCAGAAGGTCGTGGGTTCAATTCCCACCTCTGCACCTTCTCCACCGACTCCCACTGATGACTGCTGTCGTTGTGTCCTTGGGCAACACACTTAACCCCACTTTGCCCAAAGCCCCCACTGAAAGATCAAGGCTATGCTCACAGTCAGAGAGCAGCCGTCCTCCTGTGGACTCACCACCTGCAGAGGGTCAGTGACTGCCACCCCCCTGACCCAGAAATGGATTAAAGGGTAGAAAATGGATGGATGGATGGATATTATATGTATCTGATTTTTCTGTAAATAGTTTATAGTGTCTGCTAATAGGGCTCTATCTATTCATGTTTTTTTTTTTTCAGATCACGTGTTTCATTGAGTCAGGTATTTCCCATCGCTATAGTTTCAATAAAGTTACTTTTTCTTATAGTGCGAGCACGCTGCCACTAATGGTGTGTTGGCGCGGTGCGGCCACTAGAGGGAGCCAAAAGCAAGCAAATAACTCCCAGATCTCTCACCTCTTTTCACCTGTTAGTGCCTTAAATATTTGTAAATAGTTATTTGTATAATTTTAAGCTCGCTTTTTGTTATTGTTTTGCTTTCTTATGTTTGTGAATATTGTAAGTACTTTTTTCCACCATCATGTAAATATTATAAAATGTTTGAAAATATGTCAAAACTTTTTGTCATCAATGGACTTAGGTCCGGACGCCGAGAACCTTTTCTCTGGACCTGCGTGGTTTTTTTTTTTGTCAAATACATTATTACAATTAGGTGTCAAATTATCACCAAAAGCGATTTATAAACAGGTAGGCGCGAGGGCGGCTATGTGGGGAGCGGGTCCTTCCATGGAGCAATCAAAATAACTTTTGCAGTGTCGGAATCAGAGTGAGAATCAGAGACGTGAAAGCAACGGGAATGAGCGCTGTGAACGGAGACGGAGGAGGAGGAGGACAGAGGTCAGAGTGTGTGGAGGAGGAGGTCAGAGTGTGTGGAGGAGGAGGTCAGAGTGTTTGGAGGAGGAGGAGGTCAGAGTGTTTGGAGGAGGAGGAGGTCAGAGTGTGTGGAGGAGGAGGAGGAGGAGGAGGAGGTCAGAGTGTGTGGAGGAGGTCAGAGTGTGTGGAGGAGGAGGAGGTCAGAGTGTGTGGAGGAGGAGGAGGTCAGAGTGTGAGGAGGAGGAGGAGGTCAGAGTGTGTGGAGGAGGAGGAGGTCAGAGTGTGTGGAGGAGGAGGTCAGAGTGTTTGGAGGAGGAGGAGGTCAGAGTGTTTGGAGGAGGAGGAGGTCAGAGTGTGTGGAGGAGGAGGAGGAGGAGGAGGAGGTCAGAGTGTGTGGAGGAGGTCAGAGTGTGTGGAGGAGGAGGAGGTCAGAGTGTGTGGAGGAGGAGGAGGTCAGAGTGTGAGGAGGAGGAGGTCAGAGTGTGTGGAGGAGGAGGAGCTCAGAGTGTTTGGAGGAGGAGGAGGTCAGAGTGTGTGGAGGAGGAGGAGGTCAGAGTGTGTGGAGGAGGAGGAGGTCAGAGTGGTGGAGGAGGAGGAGGAGGAGGAGGAGGTCAGAGTGTGTCTAGGAGGAGGAGGAGGTCAGAGTGTGTCTAGGAGGAGGAGGAGGTCAGAGTGTGTGGAGGAGGAGGACGAGGTCAGAGTGTGTGGAGGAGGAGGTCAGAGTGTGTGGAGGAGGAGGAGGTCAGAGTGTGTGGAGGAGGAGGAGGTCAGAGTGTGTGGAGGAGGAGGAGGTCAGAGTGTGTGGAGGAGGAGGAGGAGGTCAGAGTGTGTGGAGGAGGAGGAGGTTAGAGTGTGTGGAGGAGGTCAGAGTGTGTGGAGGAGGAGGAGGTCAGAGTGTGTGGAGGAGGTCAGAGTGTGGAGGAGGAGGAGGTCAGAGTGTGTCTAGGAGGAGGAGGAGGTCAGAGTGTGTGGAGGAGGAGGACGAGGTCAGAGTGTGTGGAGGAGGAGGACGAGGTCAGAGTGTGTCTAGGAGGAGGAGGAGGTCAGAGTGTGTGGAGGAGGAGGACGAGGTCAGAGTGTGTGGAGGAGGAGGAGGTCAGAGTGTGTGGAGGAGGAGGAGGTCAGAGTGTGTGTGGAGGAGGAGGAGGTCAGAGTGTGTGGAGGAGGAGGAGGTCAGAGTGTGTGGAGGAGGAGGAGGTCAGAGTGTGTAAAGGAGGTCAGAGTGTGTGGAGGAGGAGGAGGTCAGAGTGTGTGGAGGAGGTCAGAGTGTGGAGGAGGAGGAGGTCAGAGTGTGTGGAGGAGGAGGAGGTCAGAGTGTGTGGAGGAGGAGGAGGTCAGAGTGTGTGGAGGAGGAGGAGGTCAGAGTGTGTGGAGGAGGTCAGAGTGTGTGGAGGAGGAGGAGGTCAGAGTGTGTGGAGGAGGTCAGAGTGTGGAGGAGGAGGAGGTCAGAGTGTGTGGAGGAGGAGGAGGTCAGAGTGTGTGGAGGAGGAGGAGGAGGTCAGAGTGTGAGGAGGAGGGAGGAGGTCAGAGTGTGTGGAGGAGGAGGAGGTCAGAGTGTGTGGAGGAGGAGGAGGTCAGAGTGTGTGGAGGAGGAGGAGGAGGTCAGAGTGTGAGGAGGAGGAGGAGGTCAGAGTGTGTGGAGGAGGAGGAGGTCAGAGTGTGTGGAGGAGGAGGAGGAGGAGGAGGAGGTCAGAGTGTGAGGAGGAGGAGGAGGTCAGAGTGTGTGGAGGAGGAGGAGGTCAGAGTGTGTGGAGGAGGAGGAGGTCAGAGTGTGTGGAGGAGGAGGAGGTCAGAGTGTGTGGAGGAGGAGGAGGTCAGAGTGTGTGGAGGAGGTCAGAGTGTGTGGAGGAGGAGGAGGTCAGAGTGTGTGGAGGAGGTCAGAGTGTGGAGGAGGAGGAGGTCAGAGTGTGTGGAGGAGGAGGAGGTCAGAGTGTGTGGAGGAGGAGGAGGAGGTCAGAGTGTGAGGAGGAGGAGGAGGTCAGAGTGTGTGGAGGAGGAGGAGGTCAGAGTGTGTGGAGGAGGAGGAGGTCAGAGTGTGTGGAGGAGGAGGAGGTCAGAGTGTGTGGAGGAGGAGGAGGTCAGAGTGTGTGGAGGAGGAGGAGGAGGTCAGAGTGTGAGGAGGAGGAGGAGGTCAGAGTGTGTGGAGGAGGAGGAGGAGGTCAGAGTGTGTGGAGGAGGTCAGAGTGTGTGGAGGAGGAGGAGGTCAGAGTGTGTGGAGGAGGAGGAGGAGGAGGAGGTCAGAGTGTTTGGAGGAGGAGGAGGTCAGAGTGTGTGGAGGAGGAGGAGGTCAGAGTGTGTGGAGGAGGAGGAGGTCAGAGTGTTTGGAGGAGGAGGAGGTCAGAGTGTGTGGAGGAGGAGGAGGAGGAGGAGGAGGTCAAAACTTTATTTGATAGAAAAAAGCTCAGTTCAAAAACGATACCCTTATCCTCCGCAATTAACATGTGTTCCACACTCTGTTCCACACTCTGTTCCACACTCTGTTCCACACTCTGTTCCACACTCTGTTCCACACTCTGTTCCACACTCTGTTCCACACTCTGCTCCACACTCTGCTCCACACTCTGTTCCACACTCTGTTCCACACTCTGTTCCACACTCTGTTCCACACTCTGTTCCACACTCTGTTCCACACTCTGTTCCACACTCTGTTCCACACTCTGTTCCACACTCCTCCACACTCTGCTCCACACTCTGTTCCACACTCTGTTCCACACTCTGTTCCACACTCTGCTCCACACTCTGCTCCACACTCTGTTCCACACTCTGCTCCACACTCTGTTCCACACTCTGTTCCACACTCTGTTCCACACTCTGTTCCACACTCTGTTCCACACTCTGCTCCACACTCTGCTCCACACTCTGTTCCACACTCTGTTCCACACTCTGTTCCACACTCTGTTCCACACTCTGTTCCACACTCTGTTCCACACTCTGTCTCTGCTCCACACTCTGTTCCACACTCTGTTCCACACTCTGTTCCACACTCTGTTCCACACTCTGTTCCACACTCTGTTCCACACTCTGTTCCACACTCTGCTCCACACTCTGCTCCACACTCTGTTCCACACTCTGTTCCACACTCTGTTCCACACTCTGTTCCACACTCTGTTCCACACTCTGCTCCACACTCTGCTCCACACTCTGTTCCACACTCTGTTCCACACTCTGTCTCTGCTCCACACTCTGTTCCACACTCTGTTCCACACTCTGTTCCACACTCTGCTCCACACTCTGCTCCACACTCTGTTCCACACTCGTCTGTTCCACACTCTGTTCCACACTCTGTCCACACTCTTGTCCACACTCTGTTCCACACTCTGTTCCACACTCTGTTCCCCACACTCTGTTCCACACTCTGCTCCACACACACTCTGTTCCACACTCTGTTCCACACTGCTGCTCACACTCCCACACTCTGTTCCACACTCTGTTCCACACTCTGCTCCACACTCTGTCCACACTCTCCACACTCTGTTCCACACTCTGTTCCACACTCTGTTCCACACTCTGTTCCACACTCTGCTCCACACTCTGTTCCACACTCTGTTCCACACTCTGTTCCACACTCTGTTCCACACTCTGCTCCACACTCTGCTCCACACTCTGTTCCACACTCTGTTCCACACTCTGTTCCACACTCTGTTCCACACTCTGCTCCACACTCTGTTCCACACTCTGTCTCTGTTCCACACTCTGCTCCACACTCTGTTCCACACTCTGTTCCACACTCTGTTCCACACTCTGTTCCACACTCTGTTCCACACTCTGCTCTGAGAGTTTGGGAGAGGTTTGTGGTGTGTTGTGTTTCATTGAGTCAGGTATTTCCCATCGCTATAGTTTCAATAAAGTTACTTTTTCTTATAGTGCGAGCACGCTGCCACTAATGGTGTGTTGGCGCGGTGCGGCCACTAGAGGGAGCCAAAAGCAAGCAAATAACTCCCAGATCTCTCACCTCTTTTCACCTGTTAGTGCCTTAAATATTTGTAAATAGTTATTTGTATAATTTTAAGCTCGCTTTTTGTTATTGTTTTGCTTTCTTATGTTTGTGAATATTGTAAGTACTTTTTTCCACCATCATGTAAATATTATAAAATGTTTGAAAATATGTCAAAACTTTTTGTCATCAATGGACTTAGGTCCGGACGCCGAGAACCTTTTCTCTGGACCTGCGTGGTTTTTTTTTTGTCAAATACATTATTACAATTAGGTGTCAAATTATCACCAAAAGCGATTTATAAACAGGTAGGCGCGAGGGCGGCTATGTGGGGAGCGGGTCCTTCCATGGAGCAATCAAAATAACTTTTGCAGTGTCGGAATCAGAGTGAGAATCAGAGACGTGAAAGCAACGGGAATGAGCGCTGTGAACGGAGACGGAGGAGGAGGAGGACAGAGGTCAGAGTGTGTGGAGGAGGAGGAGGTCAGAGTGTTTGGAGGAGGAGGAGGTCAGAGTGTGTGGAGGAGGAGGAGGTCAGAGTGTTTGGAGGAGGAGGTCAGAGTGTGTGGAGGAGGAGGTCAGAGTGTTTGGAGGAGGAGGAGGTCAGAGTGTTTGGAGGAGGAGGAGGTCAGAGTGTGTGGAGGAGGAGGTCAGAGTGTGTGGAGGAGGAGGTCAGAGTGTTTGGAGGAGGAGGAGGTCAGAGTGTTTGGAGGAGGAGGAGGTCAGAGTGTGTGGAGGAGGAGGAGGTCAGAGTGTGTGGAGGAGGAGGAGGTCAGAGTGTGTGGAGGAGGAGGAGGAGGAGGAGGAGGTCAGAGTGTGAGGAGGAGGTCAGAGTGTGTGGAGGAGGAGGAGGTCAGAGTGTGTGGAGGAGGAGGAGGTCAGAGTGTGAGGAGGAGGAGGAGGTCAGAGTGTGTGGAGGAGGAGGAGGTCAGAGTGTGTGGAGGAGGAGGTCAGAGTGTTTGGAGGAAGAGGAGGTCAGAGTGTTTGGAGGAGGAGGAGGTCAGAGTGTTTGGAGGAGGAGGAGGTCAGAGTGTGTGGAGGAGGAGGAGGAGGAGGAGAGGTCAGAGTGTGGAGGAGGTCAGAGTGTGTGGAGGAGGAGGAGGTCAGAGTGTGTGGAGGAGGAGGAGCTCAGAGTGTTAGGAGGAGGAGGTCAGAGTGTGTGGAGGAGGAGGAGGTCAGAGTGTGTGGAGGAGGAGGAGGAGCTCAGAGTGTGTGGAGGAGGAGGAGGTCAGAGTGTTTGGAGGAGGAGGAGCTCAGAGTGTTTGGAGGAGGAGGAGCTCAGAGTGTTTGGAGGAGGAGGAGGTCAGAGTGTGAGGAGGAGGAGGAGGAGCTCAGAGTGTGTGGAGGAGGAGGAGGTCAGAGTGTTTGGAGGAGGAGGAGGTCAGAGTGTGTGGAGGAGGAGGAGGAGGAGGAGGAGGAGGAGGTCAAAACTTTATTTGATAGAAAGAAGCTCAGTTCAAAAACGATACCCTTATCCTCCGCAATTAACATGTGTTCCACACTCTGTTCCACACTCTGTTCCACACTCTGTTCCACACTCTGTTCCACACTCTGTCTCTGTTCCACACTCTGTTCCACACTCTGTTCCACACTCTGTTCCACACTCTGTTCCACACTCTGCTCCACACTCTGTTCCACACTCTGCTCCACACTCTGTTCCACACTCTGTTCCACACTCTGCTCCACACTCTGTTCCACACTCTGCTCCACACTCTGTTCCACACTCTGTTCCACACTCTGTCTCTGCTCCACACTCTGTCTCTGTTCCACACTCTGTTCCACACTCTGTTCCACACTCTGTTCCACACTCTGTTCCACACTCTGCTCTGAGAGTTTGGGAGAGGTTTGTGGTGTGTTGTGTAGAAATAAACAAAGTAGATTAATGTTGAATTATTATCAATGAATTGAAATATACACACCTATCTTTAGATTTTGTTTACAAATAGTTCTTACTACTGTAGTCGTTGTTGTTTAAGGTTTCAAATAATTTAATATGGAAGAAATAGCTTGAACGGATGTCTATTAAATAAATATTTGTATGATGTCCGGACCCTAATCTATTGTGGACCTCGTGCCAACTTATTTATAGGTTAATAGTGTCTGATAATATGGCTCTATCTATTCATTCTTTTTCTGATCACGTTTCACTGAGTTATGTATCATCGTTTTCCATCGCTATAGTTTCAATAAAGTTACTTTTTCTTATAGTGCGAGCACGCTGCCACTAATGGTGTGTTGGCGCGGCGCGGCCACTAGAGGGAGCCAAAAGCAAGCAAATAACTCCCAGATCTCTCACCTCGTTCTTCTCACCTGTTAGTGCCTTAAATATTTTTAAATAGTTATTTGTATAATTTTGGGCTCGCTGTTTGTTTTTGTTTTTATTTTCTTATATTTGTGAATATTGTAAGTACTTTTTTCCACCATCATGTAAATACTATATCATATAACATTTTTGAAAATATGTCAAAACATTTTGTCTCCAATAGACTTCAAATGACCTAAAACGCGCTCATTTCATGATTCTGACAACACTTTTTTGCCCAAAACACAAAGGGTCATAACATTAAGGTCAATTTTCGCCTTTCTCGCTGTCCCATTCATTTTGATGCAGAACTTAAAATGTGTATAACTCCTGAACCAAAGGTCCTAGAGACTTGGAACCTAGATCCGTCTGACAAAATGGGTTAGTAAACACGTCAGTCTTGGTCCCGAGTCTCTACAACTTTCGGTTCCGGAGATACACAAAAATCAAAGATTTTTTTTGTAAATATTGCGAGAATGAAAAGTCCCACAATATAATGGGTGGCACCAATTGAAAGCCAACCTCATGGCATGGGGGGGTACATCTTGGTTGCAATGTTCTACGACGTTCCATTTCTGAGATATGAGCCCTCAAACTTCTATACAGGTATATATAGGTGAGTTTGTGTAAGCCCTCAATCGTACAGGGATTAGTCAAAGCAAAGGAAGGTTTCTCACCCATCATCTGTACTTCTTAGCAAGTTTTCCTGACGTTTCGTCCTCAAACTAGCGGACTTCTTCAGGGATTCAGGGATTCCCTGAAGAACTAGCGGACTTCTTCAGGGAATCCCTGAATCCCTGAAGAAGTCCGCTAGTTTGAGGACGAAACGTCAGGAAAACTTGCTAAGAAGTACAGATGATGGGTGAGAAACCTTCCTTTACTTCGTATATATAGGTGGTTTTTTACCCCCTATTCTAACCCTAACCTCCTAACCCCCTAACCCTAACCCTAAATTTTAATTGCTTGTCATGAATCAACAACAAGTGGGACACAATTGTGAAGTGGAACAAAAATTATTGGATAATTTAAACTTTTTTAACAAATAAAAAACTGAAAAGTGGGGCGTGCAATATTATTCGGCCCCTTTACTTTCAGTGCAGCAAACTCACTCCAGAAGTTCAGTGAGGATCTTTGAATGATCCAATGTTGTCCTAAATGACTGATGATGATAAATAGAATGCTCCTGTGTGTAATCAAGTCTCCGTATAAATGCACCTGCTCTTTGATAGTCTCAGGGTTCTGTTTAAAGCACAGAGAGAACCATGAAGACAAAGGAACACACCAGGCAGGTCCGAGATACTGTTGTGGAGAAGTTTAAAGCCGGATTTGGATACAAAAAGATTTCCCAAGCTTTAAACATCTCAAGGAGCACTGTGCAAGTAATTATATTGAAATGGAAGGAGTATCAGACCACTGCAAATCTACCAAGACCCGGCCGTCCCTCCAAACTTTCATCTCAAACAAGGGGATCTGATCAGAGATGCAGCCAAGAGGCCCATGATCACTCTGGATGAACTGCAGATAACTACAGCTGAGGTGGGAGAGTCTGTCCATAGGACAACAATCAGTCGTGCACTGCACAAATCTGGCCTTTATGGAAGAGTGGCAAGAAGAAAGCCATTTCAATTTGGAGAGACGAGAAAACAAGAAGCTTTTGAGTATTTTATTGGGAGGAGGTTTGGCGCCCTAGGCCCCGGTGCGGCCTTCAGATCGGAGAGGCTCCTGCGATGGAGCGCGCCAATCCCCCAGGACCTAGGCACTGGTGGCGGCATTTGGCTTGAAGGCAGATTGGAGGCAGGGTGAAGAGGAGGAGGAGGGGAGGCGGTGGTTGCGAGGCTTCGGGAGGCCGTGAAGTGGGAGTTTCTCCGCTTTTAAGCGGCTGCCTGGCCGGTACGGGTGATTGGAAGGGGGCGTTTGCTGTGCGATAGGCTGGGGATGTGAACCGGCCTGGAGGGGGTAACTTTGGCTGACGTCTACCAAATTGAATTTCCGCGGGCTGCATTTCTCAAAGATATCCATAAAAAGTCTGGTTTAAAGTTTGCCACAAGCCACCTGGGAGACACACCAAACATGTGGAAGAAGGTGCTCTGGTCAGATGAAACCAAAATCAAACTTTTTGTCCACAATGCAAAACGATATGTTTGGCGTAAAAGCAACACAGCTTATCACCCTGAACACACCATCCCCACTGTCAAACATGGTGGTGGCAGCATCATGCTTTGGGCCTGCTTTTCTTCAGCAGGGACAGGGAAGATGGCTAAAATTGATGGGAAGATGGATGGAGCCAAATACAGGACCATTCTGGAAGAAAACTTGTTGGAGTCTGCAAAAGACCTGAGACTGGGACGGAGATTTATCTTCCAACAGGACAATGATCCAAAACATAAAGCCAAATCTACAATGGAATGGTTCACAAATAGACGTATCCAGGTGTTAGAACGGCCAAGTCAAAGTCCAGACCTGAATCCAATCGAGAATCTGTGGAAAGAGCTGAAGACTGCTGTTCACAAACGCTCTCCATCCAACCTCACTGAGCTCCAGCTGTTTTGCAAGGAAGAATGGGCAAGAATTCCAGTCTCTCGATGTGCAAAACTGATAGAGACATACCCCAAGCGACTTGCAGCTGTAATTGCAGCAAAAGGTGGCGCTACAAAGTATTAGCGCAAGGGGCCGAATAATATTGCACGCTCCACTTTTCAGTTTATTTGTTAAAAAAGTTTAAATTATCCAATAAATTTCGTTCCACTTCACGATTGTGTCCCACTTGTTGTTGATTCTTGACAAAAATTGAACTTTTATATCTTTATGTTTGAAGCCTGAAATGTTGAAATGTTGAAAGGTTCAAGGGGGCCGAATACTTTTGCCGTATTTGTGTGGGGCCACTCACATGTTGTCAAATTGAAAACATCAACCAAATCTAAAAACTCTTGGGCCAAGGGCTTTGAATGACAGCATACAATACAATACAATACAATGTATTCTTGTATAGCCCTAGGTCACAACAGAAGTCATCTCAGAGACTTAACAAAACCATTGAAATCACCAACACAGGTCAGAGAATCAACAGTTAAAACACATGAAGAATATAAAGCACACACAGAAGAAAATGTCCATACATGTTGTAGAATGCTAAAGTGTCCTGATCATCACCAATCCTTTCTGTTGGACACTAACTGTCCAACAAGACCCTCCTGCATCGACAAGGAAAAACTCTTAAAAAACCCAGTGGGAAAAAGTGAGAAACCTTGGGGAGAACTAGGGAAACCCACAGGGAGGGAGACCCATTACACACCAACCCCAACCAGTAACATCTTGTCATCACGTGTTGACATAAGAGCCATAAAATAAGAGAAGTCCTTGATGAAGTCCTTGATGAAGTCCTTGATGAAGTCCTTGATGAAGTCCTTGATGAAGTCCTTGATGAAGTCCTTGATGAAGTCCTTGTTGTATTTTGGTGGTCTGTACACAACAGCACACAACACAGGCTCAGTCTGACGCAGCTCAGAACAGCTCAGTTCAAACGAAGAAACAGGCTCCGGAGATAAAATCTTATGGTAGAGAGAGTTCTTAAACACAGAAGCTATGCCACCACCACGGCTGGTGGCTCTTGGAACATTAATAAACGTACAGTCGGGGGTAAAAGCTCGGAGAAGGCAGCTGACTCACAGCTGTTGACCCACGTCTCAACCAGAAACAGTAAATCCATAGACTGCAACGTGAAAAAGTCTTGCAGAATAAATGTCTTGCTCACTTGAATTGATCTAGCGTTCAGGAGTGTGCATTTCATAGCAGCCGTAGACCCGCAAGCCGCTGGATCTGCCCGGCTCAGTGGGCGAAGGTTTCCTGGAGTAACACCGCTAGTAACCCGGGTAGAGTGACCGGGGCGCAGCGTACAGACATCCTCCTCCTGCTGTTCAAGCACGGGAACCAACCAGGAGCCGATGGACACATAACGCTGAAAGCAGCTGCCATAGTCTGCTGGGACTGAATGGAACTTCGCCGAGCCCGGAGAAGACGCCAACCAAGCCTTTAGCTTTACAAGCCGGCCGGCCCACACTCTACGGTGGCTTTTACACTTCCTCGGCAGGGGCGCATTCACGTATCGGAGACACTCGGGCAAATCCGCCGGGTAGAATGAATCCGACTGGTTTGCATCATGAATCGTGCAGGTATTCACTCTTAATCCTATAGTTAACAGCTCACAGCGATTGTACACACTCAGTGAGTCTATGGTCCTTGTGAAATGTGTTAAAAACAATATAAAGCTGATCAAACAGAGAGGAGTCAAGCAGCGAACCAGACACCCCGGCGCCATCTTTCCCCCTACCCATGTCTGTGAACCTCCTGATGGTTTATGTCGGTGTTACTGTGTTTTATGTCTGTCTTTTGTGTATTTTCAATGTAACAGCTGTGAGTCCAAGACACCTTTCCCTACGGGACATAATAAATACTCTTGAATCTTGAAAACCAGACTAGATCAGACTCAAGGGACTGGAAAGGATCCAGACTACGTATTTGGAGGCATGTTGTATGTCACGGGTCCCATAACTTTTCCCTTCCTCGATGGGGCCGGGTCAGTTTGTAACAGAAAAAGTGTGATGATTTCAGCGTTGAAATAGTTACTAACTACTAGTTAATAATGAAAAAAGTTCATAACTAAGGAACTTTTTATTGCAAAAGTCCAACTTTATTATCAAATACACACATGAGTGAGTTCACAGTAAAGTGTCAATTAAAGTATCTGGACTTTAAAAGGTTATAACTCTAAAACTAAAATTACTGTCATAGATTAGAAAAAAGATTTCAAGCACAGACAGATCAGAGATAGTGTGGATAAAATCAAAGGAAATATTGACAAATATATTTTTGGCGACATTTTAAACGACCAAATCATCCTCTGATTGGACCATTCCACTGTGACGCCGGTTACATAAAAAATAAAATGTCATCAGTCTGGAAAAGCAGCAGTTAAAATCCCACAATACTTACATAATTAACTCAACATCAGAAAATCACTTGATATAAAAAGGAATTGTTAAAAACATAAATGACCCTTGAAAAATGTTTAACGGACGTGATGGTTTCCGTCCATTTTTCTCTAACAATTAAACTTGAGAAAAAAAAAAATCTGGTCTGGTTTCACGTTTAATTGGGTCATTATATGAAATTATCACTTTGTTTCTACTTATATTCTAAATATAGAATCTCTGAATCAAATGTGGACATCTAAAAATAAGTAACAAACTTCCAAAGCTCATTCCGTCAAATCATCATCGTCCGTTACATAAAATAAACAGGGCCGCTGTAGGAAACTTGTCTAATGTATAAAACAGTTTTGTTCTAGAGACTTCTAATGGACAGAGGAGGTGTTTGGAAACATGAAAAACATTAAATATCTTAGGATTATTAAAATCAAATGTTTTTTCTTTTGTCACACTTTTGTGCCCTTTAGTGTGAACAAGCCCATATGAAAATACTCTCTGGTATTGTTCAGGGGGCCGGAGCAAATGAAGAGGGGGGGCCAGGTCCGGCCCGCGGGCCGCAGTTTGGGGACCACTGTTGTATATGATCTGTATTGGTTCTATTCACATCCAACAGGAATGTTGCCCAGGCCACAAAAAGCAGGCTTGCTTTTTATTTTAAGAGTCTAGGATCATAGGTCAGATGGACATACAGTAGTTATCATAACAATCATAGTTTGGGCGACAGTAGCTCAGTTGGTAGAGCATTGGCCTTTGAACCAGAAGGTCGTGGGTTCAAGCCAACCTCAAGACTTTCACCTTTCACTCCCGCTAGAGGGCTAGAAAGTCTGCTCCGAGAAGCACTTCCAGTTCATTGCTCTGATACAAACAAACCGTCAGCTGTTGGAAGAGGTTGTTTTCTGCTGTAATCATCACAGTTTACACGACACATGCTCATTTTGTAGTTTTCCCAAAGACCAAATGAAGCTGTGGGAAAAGCTGTGCAGTTCTGATAAAACATTTGGTCTGATTTTACAGACTGTTAACTTGAATATGCATTCAAGCTAACTTGTAGCTAATGCTAACCTGTAAATAGTGCGCGGTCGAGGCTTTCATTGTGGCTTGTATTTCAAGATAAGATAAGATAGACTTTATTGATCTCACACAGGAGACATTTATTTATTTATTTGAGATAAAGGAGGAACAATGCATATTAAATAACATTTAACAAATGTTCAAATATAACAGAAAACGGACAATCATTAATATTAAAGGAATAGGTCACCCAACTACATCATGTTATTTTTGACAGACAGCAAAAAGGCTGGATGTGAAGCTGCAGTGAGTGTGAAGTGGAGAAGGAGCTGATGAACAGATGAAACTGATCATTCATAAACATTGGCTTAGAACCAAAGCAGCAAAGACAACTGTAAGGGGCATCCATTTATTTGCATGGGAATAGTGTTTCCATATGTTCTTTCTGATGTATAAGTGGATTAAAAAACAGTTAATTCGAACACGGCCCTGCACCTTTCTCATCTCCCCTTCATATAGAAACTTCAGGACATGGCCAGAGTTCACAGCTAACTCCGACCGCTCACTCCGTTTTTTTTTGTCTCAGAGACGAAATGTGTCCAAAACAACACAGGAAGGTCCATGAAGGAGGAAGAAGTCGGCGATCTCAGCATCACACAACTGGCACGTGTGGTCTGTTTGTATCTGCAGGTGGAAATCTCGCACTTCTGCTTTCCAGCCCTATTGACCCCGTGAATGTGACGTCCCGGCCACGCCCACTGTCCATGACAGACGGTGTAAATCTAACTGGAGCCTACGGACACCTGACCAAAACAACCTGTTTCAGCGCATTACAGCCAAAACTGTGACATTTTGCAGTGCGGTTGATTATACTAACAGGCAAGGACATAAGCTTTTTTATCTGATACCTGCTCGTCATGACGACAGAAGACGACGATGGCGGCTTTCAACCAAAAGGACTGGGACCATCCAAGTTCTCCCTAATCTGCACTGAACACTTTTTACAAGATAAAGCAATCACAAGTTTGTATTTATTTTATTTCCATTAATTTGGAGGACGATGCCACAAGTCAAACGTGTCTCTTACTACTGTCCTGTCTGTGCGATGCAACATTGACATTTCCCCACTGTGTCACGAATAAAGGACCTCTTATCTTATCTTGTCAGTTGCATTTTTCACAGTTTTCCTCTCCGTCAGTACGTATCATGTTTGGCTGGAGACAGAAAAGCCACAGAAAAGTGGACTGTTGCTAACGCGCTAATGCTACCAGCAAAATGTAGATATAAATCTGCTCCAGTGTGAGGGGATGCATAATGACAAAGATCATGTGGGGTGAATTCGGGCAAAATTAGACATTTAATTTAATCGATACAATTAACTGGGGGGAGAAGGTACGGGTCAACATCCAGTTCGGCGATACTTAACTTCTCCAAATACCACTCTTTGTGAGCCCTGACCTGATGTCCTACTTCCACCAATAACGTAATCGAACATGTGCTTGAAGCAGCCACTTCTCGATTTAGGAGAGGAAGCTCCGTTTTTAAGAGTTAGGCTGAGTTTACACGGAGACAATGTGGCAGTAAAACGGTATAGTTAGATATCGGTTTCTACCAACCGTTCATACGAAGACAGTGTTCCAGGTGAAAACGTAAGTGTTCAGATCCAGCCTCAGAGTGGGACAACTCAGAAACGCTGCACAGCGGGGGCTCTTTCACACCCGCGAGAGGGAAAAGGTGTGAAATCCCCCTCTGCTCTGACCCCCACCTCCTGCTGCTCTGACCCCCACCTCCTGCTGCTCTGACCCCCACCTCCTCTGCTCTGAGCCCCACCTCCCTCTGCTCTGACCCCCACCTCCTGCTGCTCTGACCCCCACCTCCTGCTGCTCTGACCCCCACCTCCTGCTGCTCTGACCCCCACCTCCTCTGCTCTGAGCCCCACCTCCCTCTGCTCTGACCCCCACCTCCTGCTGCTCTGACCCCCACCTCCTGCTGCTCTGACCCCCACCTCCTCTGCTCTGAGCCCCACCTCCCTCTGCTCTGACCCCCACCTCCTGCTGCTCTGACCCCCACCTCCTGCTGCTCTGTGCTGCTCTGACCCCCACCTCCTGCTGCTCTGACCCCCACCTCCTGCTGCTCTGACCCCCACCTCCTGCTGCTCCCACACGTACATTTGGACATGCGCAGTAGCGGAGAACAAACATAAACAACAATGGCGGCGGTCGCATTAACTAGCTTCGTGGGCTTCCAGCGCTGCACAGAGGATAATTCTACTCCTTCGTTCGTCCAAACGAGACCACGCGAAGCTCTAGGTTCAGTTTCCATGTTCACAGCTGCTGTTAAAATGCAGAATGATGTTGGTGCGTCCTGAGGGTCTGGCACAGGAAGTGAGTACACTGCCGAGAGGGGGGCTGGGCACAGGGCTGGGGGTTGTGTGAGTGTTGTAAAGTTTCTCTGCCCCCTACTGGCCGGGCACTAGAACTACATCGTTTTTCAACCTCATGTGAACGCAGAGAAATTTGCATTAGGAGCCAGGTCGTTTCTGTTATGGTGTGGATTTTATTTTTGTATTTTTGTTTTATTTTGACGTCTGTTACCGGTGAATTAGTTTTAGTTTGACTTCCTGTCCTGTTTCCCCTCTTGATTGTCTGCCCCGCCCTGATGTGGTTCACCTGTGTCTGTTTGTACCTGTGCTCCTCTCCCCTTGTGCTGGTCCATTGTCTTGTCAACGTCCTGTCTTGTCTTGTTCATGTCTCTGTCTGTTTCCGTCCTGTTCCTGGTCCTGTTTTGGTTTTGGATTTTGAGTTGGTTTCATCTGGACTTTTTTTAATCATTAAACCCTTATTTTTGGCATTCCTGCAATTTTGGGTCTTCATTCACTTCCTCACATGACAGTTTCTGTTAATAGCCTGGAAACGTCTGCGCAGCGTCTCAGTATAAACAGGGCCTTATAGTCCGTTTTAAGTAATGTAATGTTTATTTATATACCGCCTTTCACAGACCAGAGTCACAAAGCGGTTTATAATTGTTATTTTTTGGGCACTTGTCCTCTCACTCCACACAGAAATGGGAGCAGGGTCGCCGAACAGGAGGCGCATGCCAGACCTACTGTACATATTTTTAGTGGTAGGGGAAACCGGAGTACCCGGAGGAAACCTACGCAGACGTTTTGCTCTCTCCGCAATGCTACTGCTAGTTTCCACTACCTCCGCCGTAAGCTCATTCACAATCACTGGATGACGTCGATGCATCTGGTCATTTGTTGTGTCCTTGGGCAAGACACTTAACCTGTGGGAACAGCTGGTGCCACAGTGGGGCGGCTGCGGCTTTAAAGTAAAAGTTGCTTAAACACTTTTAAGCAACTTTTGTTAAAGTTAAACTCATCATTCTATCAATGTGCAGAAGCCTGTACTTTTCCATTTGATGTTTTGTCTATCTGAAGGCCAAGCTACATGGCACCGTGGCAGCTGCTGATTGGAGGACTTCATTCTCCCATGGTATATTATAGTGCTTTGTTCGTGCTGTCTCTACCATTGACAATAAAACATGTCTTCTGTCTAAATGAAAGACGCAATCCCAGACTATGTCATCTTCTTCAACACTTCACCCCCAATGCCTGGAATGAGTCTGGTGTGTGTGGCTACAGTAGTTTATCACCACTGTGTTTGGAGTGAATGAATAATGTAAAGCGTCTGTATAAAATATACAGTCTATGTATAAAATATACAGTCTATGTATAAAATATACAGTCTATGTATAAAATATACAGTCTATGTATAAAATATACAGTCTATGTATAAAATATACAGTCTATGTATAAAATATACAGTCTATGTATAAAATATACAGTCTATGTATAAAATATACAGTCTATGTATAAAATATACAGTCTATGTATAAAATATACAGTCTATGTATAAAACCAATGCATTATTATTATTAATGATTTCACCCTTTTAATCGTGTTTTCGGACTTGACTAAACGCACGGGCACGCACACGGGAACACTCACAGGCACGCGCACGGAAACACGCACAGGCACGCGCACTGGCATGAGTACGGTAACACGCACGGGCATGGGCACGCGGGCACGTGCACACAAGACATCAACGTTGCCAGCGTGGAACGTGAAGGCAACGTCACGTTAACCAAACCCGGAAGTGCTCATCCGGCTTCACGTCAACCCTCCATCTGACACCATAACAGCCAGCACCATAACAGCCAGGACCATAACAGCCAGGACCATAACAGCCAGGACCATAACAGCCAGGACCATAACAGCCAGGACCATAACAGCCATAACAGCCAGGACCATAACAGCCAGGACCATAACAGCCAGCACCATAACAGCCAGGACCATAACAGCCAGGACCATAACAGCCAGGACCATAACAGCCAGGACCATAACAGCCAGGACCATAACAGCCAGGACCATAACAGCCAGGACCATAACAGCCAGGACTCAGGACACCTCACCCGCAGAGCAGACTCTCCAGGCGGCTCTCCAGGCGGCTCTCCAGGCGGCTCTCCAGGCGGCTCTCCAGGCGGCTCTCCAGGCGGCTCTCCAGGCGGCTCTCCAGGCGGCTCTCCAGGCGGCTCTCCAGGCGGCTCTCCAGCTCCCTCTCTCCCCAGGTAAGAAAGCCTCCATCCCCGGGGTCGGGCCAGTGCACAGACCCGAGAGACAGCAGCGGTGGGCGGGTAGCTCCGGTCACAGTTGTTGAAGCAGCTCCGGACCCGGACCTAGACCTGGACCCGGACCCAGACCTAGATCTAAACCCGGACCTAGATCTAGACCCGGACTCGGACCTGGACCCGGACCCAGACCTAGATCTAAACCCGGACCTAGATCTAAACCCGGACTCGGACCTGGACCCGGACCCAGACCCGGGCATGGACTCGGACCTAGATCTAGACCCGGACTCGGACCTGGACCCGGACCTGGGTGGCTGTGGTGGTTAATTCCTGTTACTTTCGACAATAACAGGGCTTTGTGAACTAATGACTTTATTTAAATAAGTGTATTTACATGACTTTATTTAAATAAGTGTATTTACATGACTTTATTTAAATAAGTGTATTTACATGACTTTATTTAAATAAGTGTATTTACATGACTTTATTTAAATAAGTGTATTTACATGACTTTATTTAAATAAGTGTATTTACATGACTTTATTTAAATAAGTGTATTTACATGACTTTATTTAAATAAGTGTATTTACATGACTTTATTTAAATAAGTGTATTTACATGACTTTATTTAAATAAGTGTATTTACATGACTTTATTTAAATAAGTGTATTTACATGACTTTATTTAAATAAGTGTATTTACATGACTTTATTTAAATAAGTGTATTTACATGACTTTATTTAAATAAGTGTATTTACATGACTTTATTTAAATAAGTGTATTTACATGACTTTATTTAAATAAGTGTATTTACATGACTTTATTTAAATAAGTGTATTTACATGACTTTATTTAAATAAGTGTATTTACATGACTTTATTTAAATAAGTGTATTTACATGACTTTATTTAAATAAGTGTATTTACATGACTTTATTTAAATAAGTGTATTTACATGACTTTATTTAAATAAGTGTATTTACATGACTTTATTTAAATAAGTGTATTTACATGACTTTATTTAAATAAGTGTATTTACATGACTTTATTTAAATAAGTGTATTTACATGACTTTATTTAAATAAGTGTATTAACATGACTTTATTTAAATAAGTGTATTTACATGACTTTATTTAAATAAGTGTATTTACATGACTTTATTTAAATAAGTGTATTTACATGACTTTATTTAAATAAGTGTATTTACATGACTTTATTTAAATAAGTGTATTTACATGACTTTATTTAAATAAGTGTATTTACATGACTTTATTTAAATAAGTGTATTTACATGACTTTATTTAAATAAGTGTATTTACATGACTTTATTTAAATAAGTGTATTAACATGACTTTATTTAAATAAGTGTATTTACATGACTTTATTTAAATAAGTGTATTTACATGACTTTATTTAAATAAGTGTATTTACATGACTTTATTTAAATAAGTGTATTTACAGGACTTTATTTAAATAAGTGTATTTACATGACTTTATTTAAATAAGTGTATTTACATGACTTTATTTAAATAAGTGTATTTACATGACTTTATTTAAATAAGTGTATTTACATGACTTTATTTAAATAAGTGTATTTACATGACTTTATTTAAATAAGTGTATTTACATGACTTTATTTAAATAAGTGTATTTACATGACTTTATTTAAATAAGTGTATTTACATGACTTTATTTAAATAAGTGTTTATTTACATGACTTTATTTAAATAAGTGTATTTACATGACTTTATTTAAATAAGTGTATTTACATGACTTTATTTAAATAAGTGTATTTACATGACTTTATTTAAATAAGTGTATTTACATGACTTTATTTAAATAAGTGTATTTACATGACTTTATTTAAATAAGTGTATTTACATGACTTTATTTAAATAAGTGTATTTACATGACTTTATTTAAATAAGTGTATTTACATGACTTTATTTAAATAAGTGTATTTACATGACTTTATTTAAATAAGTGTATTTACATGACTTTATTTAAATAAGTGTATTTACATGACTTTATTTAAATAAGTGTATTTACATGACTTTATTTAAATAAGTGTATTTACATGACTTTATTTAAATAAGTGTATTTACATGACTTTATTTAAATAAGTGTATTTACATGACTTTATTTAAATAAGTGTATTTACATGACTTTATTTAAATAAGTGTATTTACATGACTTTATTTAAATAAGTGTATTTACATGACTTTATTTAAATAAGTGTATTTACATGACTTTATTTAAATAAGTGTATTTACATGACTTTATTTAAATAAGTGTATTTACATGACTTTATTTAAATAAGTGTATTTACATGACTTTATTTAAATAAGTGTAAGTTATTTAAATGACTTTATTTAAAAGTGTGTATTTACATGACTTTATTTAAATAAGTGTATTAACATGACTTTATTTAAATAAGTGTATTTACAGGACTTTATTTAAATAAGTGTATTTACATGACTTTATTTAAATAAGTGTATTTACATGACTTTATTTAAATAAGTGTATTTACATGACTTTATTTAAATAAGTGTATTTACATGACTTTATTTAAATAAGTGTATTAACATGACTTTATTTAAATAAGTGTATTTACATGACTTTATTTAAATAAGTGTATTAACATGACTTTATTTAAATAAGTGTATTAACATGACTTTATTTAAATAAGTGTATTTACATGACTTTATTTAAATAAGTGTATTTACATGACTTTATTTAAATAAGTGTATTTACATGACTTTATTTAAATAAGTGTATTTACATGACTTTATTTAAATAAGTGTATTAACATGACTTTATTTAAATAAGTGTATTTACATGACTTTATTTAAATAAGTGTATTAACATGACTTTATTTAAATAAGTGTATTTACATGACTATTTAAATAAGTGTATTTACATGACTTTATTTAAATAAGTGTATTAACATGACTTTATTTAAATAAGTGTATTTACATGACTTTATTTAAATAAGTGTATTAACATGACTTTATTTAAATAAGTGTATTTACATGACTTTATTTAAATAAGTGTATTTACATGACTTTATTTAAATAAGTGTATTTACATGACTTTATTTAAATAAGTGTATTTACATGACTTTATTTAAATAAGTGTATTTACATGACTTTATTTAAATAAGTGTATTTACATGACTTTATTTAAATAAGTGTATTTACATGACTTTATTTAAATAAGTGTATTTACATGACTTTATTTAAATAAGTGTGCTGGTCGGCCGGCAAAAATTAACAATGACATCGTTAATTGGTCAAAATACAGCTTTATTGGACTGATCAAAATATCAAACATTATTCACACGCTGTATATTACACTATAAATACTGTTAACGCTGTATAAACCTACTTGTTGCAAAAAATAACATTATTCACACGCTGTATAAACACTATATTACACTATAAATACTGTTAACGCTGTATAAACCTACTTGTTGCAAAGTTTGCATGTTTTATCAGAGCACCTGATTTTTCGGGGCTGGCGAAAAAAAGATTTTAATGCCATATCATAAGGGAAGTCCTCAGGACAGGGTCCATTGATGGAGATCCTCAAGCAAGCTGCCAGGTGTTCTCCTTGCAGTTTGTTCCTGAGGTCTGTTTTCACCTGGAGATAAAGCAAAATGATAAATTATTATCAATGCAAAATGCACCAATATAAAGACAATGGGAATTTTTTATTGCTATTACCCTGTTCATTGCAGAGAAATCCCGTTCACAGTTCACAGAGGAAACAGGGATAACCAAAGCAATGCTTGCCAGAAGGCACATCCCTTTAAAAGACATCATAATTAATGAAATTAGCTAAATAGTCAGACATTCCACAGTCACACTGTTAAAAAAATCATAAATGGAAAAGAATAATAAATAAGAAAAAGTTTTAATATATGTAAAGGATAGCATATTATGCAGACATTAAGCTTACCATGCGGTGTGTTGTATGACCATGACTTGAACTGAGGCATGTTCAACCACTCCCTGTTGAATCCCGTGGCCCTGTGTCTGGTGCTTTTGGATGTTGCCAAAGTACTATCTAAACAGAACAATAGAAACGAGTTCCCTTGAACTGATACCTGCTTTCTTACCTGCCTGTTTCTGTATCCGTTTGTCCACCTCACCTGTTGCTTCAGCTGACTCTGTCACAGCAGCATGTTGGATGCCGTCCTCCTCTACTCTTTCTTCAATCAATTCTATCTCGTTCTCTCCCTGACCCTGTCTTTCTGCTTGAGCAGCACTGGTTGAAGCCTGAAAATATTGTAAACAACTTATATAGCTAATTACACTGCGGACTGTTTCAGACCGATACCTCTGGATCAGGCTGATCCTCATCCTCAACGCGTGTCTTTTTCAATCGCGGAAAATATTGTTCAATACTCATCTGGATTGAAGCAGCAAACATTCAGTGTAAGAGTAAAAAAATGACATAACGTTACTTATAACTTTATTTCTTGCTACAGCTGCTACATAGTGTTTTGACCCCGACAACCCAACTACATACCGCAAACTTGCGACTAATTAACTTTATAAAGAAAGCGTCATCGCTTGTTAAGGGAGTCGGGACGGAAATTCAACATTGACACTGAACATTCAGCACTTTTTAATGTGTGATTTACGAGATCACGGGATACCAACCTTTAGTGAACTTCACCAGCCGTCTTCTCTGCACCAAAATTAATAGACACAGCTGCTTACAGCGATGATCGCTGATGGAGACGGAGACACGCGGTGTGCACGAAGGGGAGTGGCTGTGTGTGTGTAGGTCTCTGTATGTGGGAGAGACGCGTAGCTTGAGTGAGAGTTACGAAGGGCCGCCACATTTTAAACCCCCCTCCCCGCTGTCAAATTGACCGCTGCGGCGGCACTAGACGATGCATGTTTTAAATAACGTAACAAAAAAAAATATATATATAATAATACAAAACGCAATTTGTGGCGGGCGGTCTCTAATCTGTGGCGGTGCGCCACAGATTAGTCTATGGGAAACACTGTTGTCTGAGTTTAAAAACATCTCCATAAAGGGTTTCTCTCCTCAGTGACAGTCATAACTTAATCATAAGGAAGGGTGAGGAAGGGTGAGGCAGGGTGAGGAAGAGTGAGGAAGGGTGAGGAAGGGTGAGGAAGGGTGAGGCAGGGTGAGGAAGAGTGAGGAAGGGTGAGGAAGGGTGAGGAAGGGTGAGGAAGGGTGAGGCAGGGTGAGGAAGGGTGAGGAAGAGTGAGGAAGGGTGAGGAAGAGTGAGGAAGGGTGAGGAAGGGTGAGGAAGAGTGAGGAAGGGTGAGGAAGGGTGAGGAAGAGTGAGGAAGGGTGAGGAAGGGTGAGGCAGGGTGAGGAAGGGTGAGGAAGAGTGAGGAAGGGTGAGGAAGAGTGAGGAAGGGTGAGGAAGAGTGAGGAAGGGTGAGGAAGGGTGAGGAAGGGTGAGGCAGGGTGAGGAAGAGTGAGGAAGGGTGAGGAAGAGTGAGGAAGGGTGAGGAAAGGTGAGGCAGGGTGAGGAAGGGTGAGGAAGAGTGAGGAAGGGTGAGGAAGAGTGAGGAAGGGTGAGGAAGGGTGAGGAAGAGTGAGGAAGGGTGAGGAAGGGTGAGGCAGAGTGAGGAAGGGTGAGGAAGGGTGAGGAAGGGTGAGGCAGAGTGAGGAAGAGTGAGGCAGGGTGAGGACGAGTGAGGAAGGGTGAGGAAGAGTGAGGAAGGGTGAGGAAGGGTGAGGCAGAGTGAGGAAGAGTGAGGCAGGGTGAGGACGAGTGAGGCAGGGTGAGGAAGAGTGAGGAAGGGTGAGGAAGGGTGAGGAAGAGTGAGGAAGGGTGAGGAAGGGTGAGGAAGGGTGAGGCAGAGTGAGGAAGGGTGAGGAAGGGTGAGGAAGGGTGAGGCAGAGTGAGGAAGAGTGAGGCAGAGTGAGGAAGGACGAGGAAGGGTGAGGCAGAGTGAGGAAGGGTGAGGAAGAGTGAGGAAGGGTGAGGAAGGGTGAGGAAGAGTGAGGAAGGGTGAGGAAGAGTGAGGAAGGGTGAGGAAGGGTGAGGAAGGGTGAGGAAGAGTGAGGAAGGGTGAGGAAGGGTGAGGAAGAGTGAGGAAGGGTGAGGCAGAGTGAGGAAGAGTGAGGAAGAGTGAGGAAGGGTGAGGAAGGGTGAGGAAGGGTGAGGCAGAGTGAGGAAGGGTGAGGGTTAGGGGGGGGTTAGGACCATGTGGTATGGTATTGGACCATACCACATGGTTTTGGACCATAGGGAGAGACCACATGGTATTGGACCATAGAGAGAGACCACATGGTATTGGACCATAGAGAGAGACCACATGGTGTTGGACCATAGAGAGAGACCACATGGTGTTGAACCATAGAGAGAGACCACATGGTGTTGAACCATAGAGAGAGACCACATGGTGTTGAACCATAGAGAGAGACCACATGGTATTGGACCATAGAGAGAGACCACATGGTATTGGACCATAGAGAGAGACCACATGGTGTTGAACCATAGAGAGAGACCACATGGTGTTGAACTATAGAGAGAGACCACATGGTGTTGAACCATAGAGAGAGACCACATGGTATTGGACCATAGAGAGAGACCACATGGTATTGGACCATAGAGAGAGACCACATGGTGTTGGACCATGGAGCTATTATTGTTTCAATAATATTTGTGTGTGCGTAAACAGATTTGTGTGTGCGTCACCAGATTTGTGTGTACGTAAAAAGATTTGTGCGTGCGTAACCAGATTTGTGTGTGCGTAAAATAAATATTTGTGTGTGTGTAAATAGATTTGTATGTACGTATCAAGATTTGTGTGTGCGTCAAAAGATTTGTGTGTGTGTAAAGAAAAAAAAAAGTACGTTTTACACACAAATCTTTTGACGCAGTCCTGCCTTCGCAGATTCGCAAGTGTAACTTGGACTGTGTGCGTCTGTACCCAGATTTGTGTGTGTGTAATTTGACATTTGTATCTGTAGCAGAACAATCTGTGTGTAAATAACCACGTTGTACAAAGAGAAGAACGGACAAAAGCCTAGAGCTACGCACAGGCTCTGTTTTACACACATCTCTTTGTGACACACCTCTGCCGCCAAGAGTGTGTCAAAAAGATTCATAAGTGTAATGTGGTTGTTCTAGCAGTACACCAGCAGGTGGTGCTGTTGTAGCTGGTTATTACCTACACGCAAGCAAACGAGCAGAGTTTGTGGCACTAAAGTGTAGATAGAGAAAACCGAAGGATTTAAGAAGAAGAAAAGTTCAGGATAACAAGGAACACTAAAATTCCCACAAAATCCGACCTTTATGAAAGCTGTAGGTTCTCTGTCAGGTTCTCTGTCAGGTTCTCTGTCAGCTGTTTTAGTTTACCTTGAGTTCTATGGGGAAAATGTCTGTGTAGCCCACGTGAATTTAGTCTGCAGTACGAGAATCCCTCAGCTCCAAGCTAGTACCACCCAAACCAGTTATTATAATAGATCCATGTGTCATACAGTGGTGTGAATTACAGGATTTTAAAAAAAAACATCATAAACAGCTGCGGTAGTGTGTCTTGTCGAGGCAGTAGGATTTGGTTTGTTTGCGTGTAGGTAATAACCAGCTACAACAGCACCACCTGCTGGTGTACTGCTAGAACAACCACATTACACTTATGAATCTTTTTGACACACTCTTGGCGGCAGAGGTGTGTCACAAAGAGATGTGTGTAAAACAGAGCCTGTGCGTAGCTCTAGGCTTTTGTCCGTTCTTCTCTTTGTACAACGTGGTTATTTACACACAGATTGTTCTGCTACACACACACAAATCTGTTTACGCACACACACAGTCCAAGTTACACTTGCGAATCTGCGAAGGCAGGACTGCGTCAAAAGATTTGTGTGTAAAAAAAAAAACGTGTGTGTAAAACGTACTTTTTTTTTCTTTACACACACACACAAATCTTTTTACGCACACACAAATCTTGATACGTACATACAAATCTTTTTACACACACACAAATATTTCTTTTACACACACGCAAATCTGGTTACGCACGCACAAATCTTTTTACGTACACACAAATCTGGTTACGCACACACAAATCTGGTTACGCACGCACAAATATTATTGAAACAATAATAGCTCCATATTGGACCATAGAGAGAGACCACATGGTGTTGGACCATAGAGAGAGACCACATGGTGTTGGACCATAGAGAGAGAACACATGGTGTTGGACCATAGAGAGAGAACACATGGTGTTGGACCATAGAGAGAGACCACATGGATGTTGATGTGGGCCTCCCTGAGGTTTCTCACTGGGTTTTTTATGAGTGGTTCCTTGCTGATACAGGAGGGTCTAAGGACCTTATGACGGGTTTTTTTAAAAAAAATAGTGGATATCAAAATTGCATGACAATGTCAATTTGAAAGAGATTCCGGCAAAAAAATCCTATATTTTATAAAAAGAAGGTGTTTTTCATGAATTTAAGTTGTCTATGCTCTAACCTGTGTGTGACGTCATAGCGGGTAGCGCCCATGCATTGAAAACCATGGATCTATGCCACAGGACTGCCTTTTCTCTCTTCTCTCCACTGATGCCCAACACAATACTGCCCTCTACAGGTGACAATTGCTCACTACACATAAATTGCCGTTTTGAGTGTGAAAAAGAGTCCGGGGTGGGATTTGAACCCAAGTATCTGGATTGGCAGTCCATCGACACAACCACTGGACTATCTCAGTGACAACAAAATGTTACATTCTAATAGTTATGTCAGACTCGCTGTACACGGCCTTGTCATCTTGAATATCCACGAAAAAAGAACGAATACCAAATTGTAAACAACTTACAGCGTTGAAACGTACCCACTCTGACATCACCAAGGGCTGTGAAGTTTTTTCGTTTCTAAGGGCGTTGCTATGGGGTTATTTCGATTTGGGGGGATCAAACAAAAAAAACAAGAACTGATTTTGAAACCTTTAGTAGTTCTCTTCTAATATAAAATGGTATTAAAACTGTATTTCTAAATAAATCAAACCCGTCATAAGGTCTTTAAGGACCGCTAAGGACCTCTAAGGACCTTTAAGAATACATTGTATTGTATTGTATAGTACCCTTTCTGGACAGTGGTTCTCTTATGTAGCAGTAGCTTCTCTGTTCGAGTCTCATCCACAGTCCTGTAAAGGCCTTTGAGACTGTTGTGATTCAGGGCGAGACAATAATGCATTTCATTATTGTGTGGTTTTGTGTTACACCCGTCATCCTGAGTCCAGCCGGAAAAACCTGCTCTGGGACTTTAATTATACTTACTATTTCACTCCAGGTCAGGGGACTCTAGGTCAGAGGACTCCAGGTCAGGGGACTCCAGGTCAGAGGACTCCAGGTCAGGGGACTCCAGGTCAGGGGACTCCAGGTCAGAGGACTCCAGGTCAGAGGACTCCAGATCAGAGGACTCCAGGTCAGGGGACTCCAGGTCACGGGACTCCAGGTCAGAGGACTCCAGGTCAGAGGACTCCAGGTCAGGGGACTCCAGGTCAGAGGACTCCAGGTCAGAGGACTCCAGGTCAGGGGACTCCAGGTCACGGGACTCCAGGTCAGAGGACTCCAGGTCAGAGGACTCCAGGTCAGGGGACTCCAGGTCAGAGGACTCCAGGTCAGGGAACTCCAGGTCCCGGCGACTCCAGGCCAGGGGACTCCAGGTTAGAGGACTCCAGGTCAGAGGACTCCAGGTCAGGGGACTCCAGGTCAGGGGACTCCAGGTCAGAGGACTCCAGGTCAGAGGACTCCAGGTCAGGGGACATCAGGTCAGAGGACTCCAGGTCAGAGGACTCCAGGTCAGGGGACTCCAGATCAGAGGACTCCAGGTCAGGGGACTCCAGGTCAGGGGACTCCAGGTCAGGGGACTCCAGGTTAGAGGACTCCAGGTTAGAGGACTCCAGGTCAGGGGACTCCAGGTCAGGGGACTCCAGGTCAGAGGACTCCAGGTCAGGGGACTCCAGGTCAGGGGACTCCAGGTCAGGGGACTCCAAGTCAGAGGATTCTAGGTCAGAGGACTCCAGGTCAGGGGACTCCAGGTCAGAGGACTCCAGGTCAGGGGACTCCAGGTCACGGGACTCCAGGTCAGAGGACTCCAGGTCAGGGGACTCCAGGTCAGAGGACTCCAGGTCAGGGGACTCCAGGTTAGAGGACTCCAGGTTAGAGGACTCCAGGTCAGGGGACTCCAGGTCAGAGGACTCCAGGTCAGAGGACTCCAGGTCAGAGGACTCCAGGTCAGGGGACTCCAGGTCAGAGGACTCCAGGTCAGGGGACTCCAGGTCAGGGGACTCCAGGTCAGAGGACTCCAGGTCAGAGGACTCCAGGTCAGAGGACTCCAGGTCAGGGGACTCCAGGTCACGGGACTCCAGATCAGAGGACTCCAGGTCAGAGGACTCCAGGTCAGGGGACTCCAGGTCAGAGGACTCCAGGTCAGAGGACTCCAGGTCAGAGGACTCCAGGTCAGGGGACTCCAGGTCAGGGGACTCCAGGTCAGGGGACTCCAGGTCACGGGACTCCAGGTCAGAGGACTCCAGGTCAGAGGACTCCAGGTCAGAGGACTCCAGGTCAGAGGACTCCAGGTCAGAGGACTCCAGGTCAGAGGACTCCAGGTCAGGGGACTCCAGGTCAGAGGACTCCAGGTCAGGGGACTCCAGGTCAGGGGACTCCAGGTCAGAGGACTCCAGGTCAGAGGACTCCAGGTCAGAGGACTCCAGGTCAGGGGACTCCAGGTCACGGGACTCCAGGTCAGAGGACTCCAGGTCAGAGGACTCCAGGTCAGGGGACTCCAGGTCAGAGGACTCCAGGTCAGATGACTCCAGGTCAGGGGACTCCAGGTCACGGGACTCCAGGTCAGAGGACTCCAGGTCAGAGGACTCCAGGTCAGGGGACTCCAGGTCAGAGGACTCCAGGTCAGGGAACTCCAGGTCCCGGCGACTCCAGGCCAGGGGACTCCAGGTTAGAGGACTCCAGGTCAGAGGACTCCAGGTCAGGGGACTCCAGGTCAGGGGACTCCAGGTCAGAGGACTCCAGGTCAGAGGACTCCAGGTCAGGGGACATCAGGTCAGAGGACTCCAGGTCAGAGGACTCCAGGTCAGGGGACTCCAGATCAGAGGACTCCAGGTCAGGGGACTCCAGGTCAGGGGACTCCAGGTCAGGGGACTCCAGGTTAGAGGACTCCAGGTTAGAGGACTCCAGGTCAGGGGACTCCAGGTCAGGGGACTCCAGGTCAGGGGACTCCAGGTCAGAGGACTCCAGGTCAGGGGACTCCAGGTCAGGGGACTCCAGGTCAGGGGACTCCAAGTCAGAGGATTCTAGGTCAGAGGACTCCAGGTCAGGGGACTCCAGGTCAGAGGACTCCAGGTCAGGGGACTCCAGGTCACGGGACTCCAGGTCAGAGGACTCCAGGTCAGGGGACTCCAGGTCAGAGGACTCCAGGTCAGGGAACTCCAGGTCCCGGCAACTCCAGGCCGGGGGACTCCAGGTCAGAGGACTCCAGGTCAGAGGACTCCAGGTCAGGGGACTCCAGGTCAGGGGACTCCAGGTCAGAGGACTCCAGGTCAGGGGACTCCAGGTCAGGGGACTCCAGGTCAGAGGACTCCAGGTCAGAGGACTCCAGGTCAGAGGACTCTAGGTCAGAGGACTCTAGGTCAGAGGACTCCAGGTCAGAGGACTCCAGGTCAGGGAACTCCAGGTCCCGGCGACTCCAGGCCAGGGGACTCCAGATCAGAGGACTCCAGGTCAGGGGACTCCAGATCAGAGGACTCCAGGTCAGAGGACTCTAGGTCAGAGGACTCCAGGTCAGGGGACTCCAGGTCAGAGGACTCCAGGTCAGAGGACTCCAGGTCAGGGGACTCCAGGTCCCGGCGACTCCAGGCCAGGGGACTCCAGGTCAGAGGACTCCAGGTCAGAGGACTCCAGGTCAGGTGAGAAGACTCCAGGTCAGAGGACTCCAGGTCAGAGGACTCCAGGTCAGGGGACTCCAGATCAGAGGACTCCAGGTCAGGGGACTCCAGGTCAGAGGACTCCAGGTCAGGGGACTCCAGGTCAGGGGGACTCCAGGTCAGAGGACTCCAGGTCAGGTCAGGGGACTCCAGGTCAGAGGACTCCAGGTCAGGGGACTCCAGGTCAGAGGACTCCAGGTCAGGGGACTCCAGGTCAGAGGACTCCAGGTCAGAGGACTCCAGGTAAGAGGACTCCAGGTCAGAGGACTCCAGGTCAGGGGACTCCAGGTCAGAGGACTCCAGGTCAGGGGACTCCAGGTCAGAGGACTCCAGGTCAGAGGACTCCAGGTCAGGGGACTCCAGGTCAGAGGACTCCAGGTCAGGGGACTCCAGGTCAGGGGAATCCAAGTCAGAGGACTCCAGGTCAAAGGACTGCAGAGTGACCGCAGAGTGACCGCAGAGCAACGACAGTGACCGCAGAGCGACGACAGTGTCCGCAGAGTGACGACAGTGACCGCAGAGTGACGACAGTGACCGCAGAGTGACGACAGTGACCGCAGAGTGACCGCAGAGTGACCGCAGAGTAACGACAGAGTGACCGCAGAGTGACCGCAGAGTGACGACAGAGTGACCGCAGAGTAACGACAGAGTGACCGCAGAGTGACCGTAGAGTAACGGCAGAGTGACCGCAGAGTAACGGCAGAGTGACCGCAGAGTAACGACAGTGACCGCAGAGTAACGACAGAGTGACCGCAGAGTGACCGTAGAGTAACGACAGAGTGACCGCAGAGTAACGGCAGAGTGACCGCAGAGCAACGACAGAGTGACCGCAGAGTAACGACAGAGTGACCGCAGAGCAACAACAGAGTGACCGCAGAGCAACGACAGAGTGACCGCAAAGTAACAACAGAGTGACCGCAGAGTGACTGCAGAGTAATGACAGAGTGGCCTCAGAGTGGCCTCAGAGTGGCCTCAGAGTGGCCGCAGAGTGACTACAGAAGTAACCAGATCTTGGACTGAGGCTGTAGACCCAGCAACCCAGTGGTGAGGGTTGATGGTGGTTGATGTTGGTTGATGGTGGTTTATTGTAGATGGTGGTTGGTAGTGGTTGGTGGTTGATGATGGTGGTTGATGACTGATGATAACTGGTGGGGGTTGATGGTGGTTGGTGGTGGTTGTTGGATGATGGATGGTGGTTGGTGGTTGATGACTGATAACTGATGGTGGTTGTTGGATGATGGTTGATGGTGGTTGTTGGTGGTTGATGGTGGTGGGTGGTGGTTGATGATGGTTGGTGGTGGATGATGGTTGATGGTGGTGAATGGTGGTTGATGGTTGATGGTGGTTGGTGGTGGGTGGTGGTTGGTGGTTGATGATGGTTGGTGGTGGATGATGGTTGATGGTGGTTGGTGGTGGGTGGTGGTTGGTGGTGGATGGTGGTTGATGATGGTTGATGGTGGATGATGGTTGATGGTGGTTGGTGGTTGATGATGGTTGATGGTGGATGATGGTTGATGGTGGTTGGTGGTTGATGATGGTTGATGGTGGATGATGGTTGATGGTGGTGGATGGTGGTTGGTGGTTGATGATGGTTGATGGTGGATGATGGTTGATGGTGGTTGGTGGTGGGTGGTGGTTGGTGGTGGGTGGTGGGTGGTGGGTGGTGGTTGGTGGTGGATGGTGGTTGGTGGTTGATGATGGTTGGTGGTGGATGATGGTTGATGGTTGATGATGGTTGGTGGTGGATGATGGTTGATGGTGGTTGGTGGTGGGTGGTGGGTGTTGGTTGGTGGTGGATGGTGGTTGATGGTTGATGATGGTTGGTGGTGGATGATGGCTGATGGTGGTTGGTGGTGGGTGGTGGGTGTTGGTTGGTGGTGGATGGTGGTTGGTGGTTGATGATGGTTGATGGTAGTGTGTCTCTCTGTTCCAGCGGCCCACACAGAGCGAACAGATGGTGGACCACACGCTGGCTCAGGTGGAACACAACCTGAGCCAGGCCATGCAGATTCTGGACTCCAGGTGCTCACCATGGTCCATGACCGTCTCATTCTCTGGAGGGTTGATGAGATACAGCTGTATGTGCGTCTGTGTATTTAACACAGCTGTATGTATACAGCTGTGTTAAATACACACACTCAGGGGTTACTTAGCCTGTGTATTTAACACAGCTGTATGTATACAGCTGTGTTAAATACACAGGCTGTGGAAGAGCCATGAGGCTGTGGGCTGGATCAGCCTACACCTGGTATTTGAAACTATAGAAATGCTTATTGTGTGTGTGTGTGTGTGTCTGTCTGTGTGTGTGTTTGTGTCTCTCTGTGTGTGTGTGTCTGTGTGTGTGTATTTGTGTCTCTCTGTGTGTGTGTGTGTTTGTGTCTCTCTGTGTGTGTGTGTCTGTGTGTGTCTCTCTGTGTGTGTGTTTGTGTGTGTGTGTCTCTCTGTGTGTGTGTGTGTGTGTTTGTGTGTCTCTCTGTGTGTGTGTCTGTTTGTGTGTTGCAGGGACATGGGGCCCACACACAGGCGCCACAGTCGCAGCAGTATCCCAGGACCTCTGCAGGGAGAGTATGGACTTTTATCACACAATATGTTATAAGGAAAAGGCAGAATGGAGAGTTTTGTTAATATTTATTTCTTTGTTGGTTCCCACAACAGATGAAAGAGCTAAGTGAGAAGAATCTAAATAGATATATTTGAATTTCCTCCTTCCTGATTCTGCAAAGACAGAATCGATTAACTTATGTATAAGTATATACTTGTATACAAATATATACTTATATGAACTAGTGTTGGCCTAATAAAACACCTGCCTGCTAAGTAACCCCCGAGTGTGATGTCATCATCTACAGTCATAAATACTGGTCATACTAGGAGTGCCCCTAGTGGTCAACTGACTGTCCGTTTTCTTCCGCTTCATCCGTTGCCGGGTCGCGGGGGCAGCAGTCTAAGCAGAGACGCCCAGACTTCCCTATCCACACACACTTCCTCCAGCTCGTCCGGGGGGACCCCAAGGCGTTCCCAGGCCAGCTGAGAGACATAGTCCCTCCAGCGTGTCCTGGGTCTTCCCCGGGGCCTCCTCCCGGTGGGACGTGCCCGGAACACATCCCCAGGGAAGCGTCCAGGAGGCGTCCGGAACAGATTTCCGAGCCACCTCAACTGGTTCCTCTCGACGTGGAGTAGCAGCGGCTCTACTCCGAGCTCCTCCCGTGTGACTGAGCTCCTCACCCTATCTCTAAGGGAGCAGCGGCTCTACTCCGAGCTCCTCCCGTGTGACTGAGCTCCTCACCTTATCTCTAAGGGAGCAGCCACTCTGCGGAGGAAGCTCATTTCGACCGCTTGTATCCGCGATCTCGTTCTTTCGGTCATTACCCAAAGCTCATGACCATAGGTGAGGGAGGGAACGAAGATTGACCGGTAAATCGAGAGCTTTGCCTTTCGGCTCAGCTCCCTCTTTACCACAACGGTCCGATACAGCTCTGACTGCAGACGCTGCTCCCTCTTCACCACAACGGTCCGATACAGCTCTGACTGCAGACGCTGCTCCCTCTTCACCACAACGGTCCGATACAGCTCTGACTGCAGACGCTGCTCCCTCTTTACCACAACGGTCCGATACAGCGACCGCATCACTGCGCACGCTGCACCGATCCACCTGTCAATCTCACGCTCCATCCTTCCCTCACTCGTGAACAAGACCCCGAGATAGTTGAACTCCTCCACTTGAGGAAGGACCTCTCCACCCACCTGCAGAGGGCAAGGCACCTTTTTCCGGTCGAGCACCATGGCCTCGGATTTGGAGGTGCTGATTCTCATCCCAGCCGCTTCACACTCGGCTGCAAACCGCCCCAGTGCATGCTGCAGGTCCTGGTTCGTTGGAGCCAACAGGACAACATCGTCCGCAAACAGCAGAGATGAAATCCTGTGGTTCCCAAACCGGACCCCTTCCGACCCCTGGCTGCGCCTAGAAATTCTGTCCATAAACACAGTGAACAGAACCGGTGACAAAAGGCAGCCTTGGCGGAGGCCAACATGCACCGGGAACAGGTCTGACTTACTGCCGGCAATGCGAACACAGCTCTGGCTCCGGTCATACAGGGACCGGACGGCCCTCAGCAGAGGACCCCGGACCCTGTACTCCCGGAGAACCCCCCAAAGAACACCCCGGGGAACACGGTCAAACGGCTTCTCCAAATCCACAAAGCACATGTGGACAGGTTGGGCGAACTCCGATTTAGGCTAAAAAGTCATCGTAATTTAGTTGAGTCAGTATGAGTCTAAACACGCACAGGTTTAGCCTTTTATTTCGGCTAGAATTACAATGACCCTTTTCTAGCATGGTCTGTTCAGAGCTAGTGCTACAGGAAGTGACTGTATGTGTGTCTCTTTGTGTGTTTGTGTGTGTGTGTCTCTACAGTGGTCAGAATGTGGCCTCCATCCTGGAGCTGGTTCACCATCTCATCTATGAAGAGGAGGAAGAGGAGCGCGCACACACACAGTCAGTCATATACAGACTTGGCCCCTCCCCCGGCTGACATCTGGCCCCTCCCCCAGCCGACACCTGGCCCCTCCCCCAGCCAACACCTGGCCCCTCCCCCCAGCCAACACCTGGCTCCTCCCTGTGTTGACCTCCTGGTCAATTTATGTTAAATATTGATATAAAATAAGTCATTTTATGACCCCCTGCAGCCTCATTCTGTGTTCACATGGTCCTGTGTGTGTTCACATGGTCCTGTGTGCGTTCACATGGTTCTGTGTGCGTTCACATGGTTCTGTGTGCGTTCACGTGGTCCTGTGTGTGTTCACATAGTCCTGTGTGTTCACATGGTCCCGTGCGTTTGCATAGTCTTGTGTGCGTTCACATGGTTCTGTGTGCGTTCACGTGGTCCCGTGTGTGTTCACATAGTCCTGTGCGTTCACATGGTCCCTTGCGTTTGCATAGTCTTGTGTGCGTTCACATGGTTCCGTGTGTGTTCACAAGGTCCCGTGTGCGTTCACATGGTCTTGTGTGCGTTAACATGGTCCTGTGTGTGTTCACATGGTCTCGTGTGCATTCACATGGTTCTGTGTGTTCACATGGTCTCGTGTGCGTTCACATGGTCCCGTGTGCGTTCACATGGTCCCGTGTGCGTTCACATGGTCACGTGTGTGTTCACGTGGTCCTGTGTGTGTTCACGTGGTCCCGTGTGTGTTCACGTGGTCCTGTGTGTGTTCACGTGGTCCTGTGTGTGTTCACATGGTCCCGTGTGCATTCACATGGTTCTGTGTGTTCACATGGTCTCGTGTGCGTTCACATGGTCCCGTGTGCGTTCACGTGGTCCCGTGTGTGTTCACGTGGTCCCGTGTGTGTTCACGTGGTCCCGTGTGTGTTCACGTGGTCCTGTGTGCGTTCACATGGTCCCGTGTGCGTTCACATGGTCCCGTGTGTGTTCACGTGGTCCTGTGTGTTCACATGGTCTCGTGTGTGTTCACATGGTCTTGTGTGCGTTCACATGGTCCTGTGTGCGTTCACATGGTCCCGTGTGCGTTCACATGGTCCCGTGTGCGTTCACATGGTCCCGTGTGCGTTCACATGGTCCCGTGTGCGTTCACATGGTCCCGTGTGTGTTCACATGGTTCTGTGTGTGTTCGCATGGTCCCGTGTGCGTTCACATGGTCCCGCGTGCGTTCACATGGTCCTGCGTGTGTTCACATGGTCCTGCGTGTGTTCACATGGTCCCGCGTGTGTTCACATGATCCTGTGTGTGTTCACATGGTCCTGTGTGTGTTCACATGGTCCTGCGTGTGTTCACATGGTCCTGTGCTTGTTCACATGGTCCTGTCCACATGGTGTGTGCAGGGGCCTGGCGGTGGGGGAGCAGGCCCACATGGCTCTGCTGGGGCACAGTCTGGCTGCCTACATCTCAGTCCTGCCCCGGGACAGAGTGCGCAGCATTTCCACCCGCGTCCTCTCAGACTGCACTCTGTGGTTGTGCCGGCTCTTCAGGTGATCCTCTGCACCATGTGATCCTCTGCACCTCTATACCTCTGTACCACTGTACCTCTGTACCACTGTACCATGTGTACCTCTGTACCACTGTACCTCTGTACCACTGTACCATGTGTACCTCTGTATCACTGTACCTCTGGACCTCTGTACCATGTGATCCTCTGCACCATGTGATCCTCTGCACCTCTATACCTCTGTACCACTGTACCTCTGTACCACTGTACCATGTGTACCTCTGTACCACTGTACCTCTGTACCACTGTACCATGTGTACCTCTGTATCACTGTACCTCTGGACCTCTGTACCATGTGATCCTCTGCACCATGTGATCCTCTGCACCTCTATACCTCTGTACCACTGTACCTCTGTACCACTGTACCTCTGTACCACTGTACCATGTGTACCTCTGTATCACTGTACCTCTGTACCATGTGTACCTCTGTACCACTGTACCTCTGTACCACTGTACCATGTGTACCTCTGGACCTCTGTACCATGTGTACCTCTGTACCACTGTACCTCTGTACCATGTGTACCTCTGTACCACTGTACCTCTGTACCACTGTACCATGTGTACCTCTGTACCACTGTACCTCTGTACCATGTGTACCACTGCACCTCTGTACCACTGTACCTCTGCACCTCTGTACCTCTGTACCACTGTACCACTGTACCTCTGTACCATGTGTACCTCTGTACCACTGTACCTCTGTACCACTGTACCATGTGTACCTCTGTACCTCTGTACCATGTGTACCACTGCACCTCTGTACCACTGTACCACTGCACCTCTGTACCACTGTACCTCTGTACCATGTGTACCACTGTACCTCTGTACCACTGTACCACTGTACCTCTGTACCTCTGTACCTCTGTACCTCTGTACCTCTGTACCACTGTACCTCTGTACCTCTGTACCTCTGTACCACTGTACCTCTGCACCTCTGTACCTCTGTACCTCTGTACCACTGTACCACTGTACCTCTGTACCACTGTACCTCTGTACCATGTGTACCACTGCACCTCTGTACCACTGTACCTCTGCACCTCTGTACCTCTGTACCACTGTACCACTGTACCACTGTACCATGTGTACCTCTGTACCACTGTACCTCTGTACCATGTGTACCACTGCACCTCTGTACCACTGTACCACTGCACCTCTGTACCACTGTACCACTGTACCTCTGTACCACTGTACCACTGTACCTCTGTACCTCTGTACCACTGTACCTCTGTACCTCTGTACCTCTGTACCTCTGTACCACTGTACCTCTGTACCTCTGTACCTCTGTACCTCTGTACATCTGCACCTCTGCACCTCTGCACCTCTGCACCTCTGCACCTCTGCACCTCTGTACCTCTGCACCTCTGTACCTCTGTACCTCTGCACCTCTGTACCACTGTACCACTGTACCTCTGTACCACTGTACCACTGTACCTCTGTACCACTGTACATCTGTACCACTGTACCTCTGTACCACTGCACCTCTGCACCTCTGCACCTCTGCACCTCTGCACCTCTGCACCTCTGTACCTCTGCACCTCTGCACCTCTGCACCTCTGCACCTCTGTACCTCTGCACCTCTGCACCTCTGCACCTCTGCACCTCTGCACCTCTGCACCTCTGTACCTCTGTACCACTGTACCTCTGCACCTCTGCACCTCTGCACCTCTGCACCTCTGCACCTCTGCACCTCTGTACCTCTGCACCTCTGCACCTCTGCACCTCTGTACCTCTGTACCTCTGCACCTCTGCACCTCTGCACCTCTGCACCTCTGCACCTCTGCACCTCTGTACCTCTGCACCTCTGCACCTCTGCACCTCTGTACCTCTGTACCTCTGCACCTCTGTACCACTGTACCATGTGTACCTCTGTACCACTGTACCTCTGTACCATGTGTACCTCTGTACCATGTGTACCTCTGTACCATGTGTACCTCTGTACCATGTGTACCTCTGTACCACTGTACCTCTGCACCTCTGTACCCCTGTACCACTGTACTTCTGTACCATGTGTACCTCTGTACCATGTGTACCACTGCACCTCTGTACCACTGTACCACTGCACCTCTGTACCACTATACCTCTGTACCATGTGTACCACTGTACCTCTGTACCACTGTACCACTGTACCTCTGTACCTCTGTACCTCTGTACCTCTGTACCTCTGTACCACTGTACCTCTGCACCTCTGTACCTCTGTACCTCTGTACCACTGTACCACTGTACCTCTGTACCACTGTACCTCTGTACCATGTGTACCACTGCACCTCTGTACCTCTGTACCATGTGTACCACTGCACCTCTGTACCACTGTACCTCTGCACCTCTGTACCTCTGTACCACTGTACCACTGTACCACTGTACCATGTGTACCTCTGTACCACTGTACCTCTGTACCATGTGTACCACTGCACCTCTGTACCACTGTACCACTGCACCTCTGTACCACTGTACCACTGTACCTCTGTACCACTGTACCACTGTACCTCTGTACCTCTGTACCACTGTACCTCTGTACCACTGTACCTCTGTACCTCTGTACCACTGTACCTCTGTACCTCTGTACCTCTGTACCTCTGTACCACTGTACCACTGTACCTCTGTACCTCTGTACCTCTGTACCTCTGCACCTCTGCACCTCTGCACCTCTGCACCTCTGCACCTCTGCACCTCTGTACCTCTGCACCTCTGTACCTCTGTACCTCTGCACCTCTGTACCACTGTACCATGTGTACCTCTGTACCACTGTACCTCTGTACCATGTGTACCTCTGTACCATGTGTACCTCTGTACCATGTGTACCTCTGTACCATGTGTACCTCTGTACCACTGTACCTCTGCACCTCTGTACCCCTGTACCACTGTACTTCTGTACCATGTGTACCTCTGTACCATGTGTACCACTGCACCTCTGTACCACTGTACCACTGCACCTCTGTACCACTGTACCTCTGTACCATGTGTACCACTGTACCTCTGTACCACTGTACCACTGTACCTCTGTACCTCTGTACCTCTGTACCTCTGTACCACTGTACCTCTGCACCTCTGTACCTCTGTACCTCTGTACCACTGTACCACTGTACCTCTGTACCACTGTACCTCTGTACCATGTGTACCACTGCACCTCTGTACCACTGTACCTCTGCACCTCTGTACCTCTGTACCACTGTACCACTGTACCACTGTACCATGTGTACCTCTGTACCACTGTACCTCTGTACCATGTGTACCACTGCACCTCTGTACCACTGTACCACTGCACCTCTGTACCACTGTACCACTGTACCTCTGTACCACTGTACCACTGTACCTCTGTACCTCTGTACCACTGTACCTCTGTACCTCTGTACCTCTGTACCTCTGTACCACTGTACCTCTGTACCTCTGTACCTCTGTACCTCTGTACCTCTGCACCTCTGCACCTCTGCACCTCTGCACCTCTGCACCTCTGTACCTCTGTACCTCTGCACCTCTGTACCACTGTACCTCTGTACCACTGTACCACTGTACCTCTGTACCTCTGTACCACTGTACCTCTGTACCTCTGTACCTCTGTACCACTGTACCTCTGTACCTCTGTACCTCTGTACCTCTGTACCTCTGTACCTCTGCACCTCTGCACCTCTGCACCTCTGCACCTCTGCACCTCTGTACCTCTGCACCTCTGTACCACTGCACCTCTGCACCTCTGCACCTCTGCACCTCTGCACCTCTGTACCTCTGCACCTCTGTACCTCTGCACCTCTGCACCTCTGCACCTCTGCACCTCTGTACCTCTGCACCTCTGCACCTCTGCACCTCTGCACCTCTGCACCTCTGTACCTCTGTACCACTGTACCACTGTACCTCTGCACCTCTGCACCTCTGCACCTCTGCACCTCTGCACCTCTGTACCTCTGTACCTCTGCACCTCTGTACCTCTGCACCTCTGCACCTCTGCACCTCTGTACCTCTGTACCTCTGCACCTCTGCACCTCTGCACCTCTGCACCTCTGCACTTCTGCACCTCTGTACCTCTGCACCTCTGCACCTCTGCACCTCTGTACCTCTGCACCTCTGTACCACTGTACCATGTGTACCTCTGTACCACTGTACCTCTGTACCATGTGTACCTCTGTACCATGTGTACCTCTGTACCATGTGTACCTCTGTACCATGTGTACCTCTGTACCACTGTACCTCTGCACCTCTGTACCCCTGTACCACTGTACTTCTGTACCATGTGTACCTCTGTACCATGTGTACCACTGTACCTCTGTAAATACAGACAATGTGTGATCTAAAGTGTAGAAGCAATAATAATTAATATGTGTGTGTCTCTGTGTGTGTGTGTGTGTGTGTGTGTCTCTGTGTGTGTGTGTGTATGTGTGTGTGTCTCTGTGTGTATGTGTGTGTATGTCTCTCTGTGTGTGTGTGTGCCTCTGCGTGTGTGTGTCTCTGTGTGTGTGTGTGTCTCTCTGTGTGTGTTTGCCTCTCTGTGTGTGTGTGTGTGTGTGTGTCTCTCTCTGTGTCTGTGTGTGTGTGTCTGTTTGTCTCTGTGTGTGTGTGTGTGTGTTGTCTGTCTCTCTCTGTGTCTGTGTGTTTTGTGTGTGTGTTTGTCTCTGTGTGTGTGTCTCTCTGTGTGTGTGTGTCTGTGTCTCTCGGTGTTGTGTGTGTGTGTGTCTCTGTGTGTGTCTGTGTCTCTCTGTGTGTTGTGTGTGTGTCTCTCTGTGTGTGTGTCTGTGTCTCTCTGTGTGTGTGTGTGTGCGTGTGTCTCTCTGTGTGTTGTGTGTGTGTGTCTCTGTGTGTGTCAGGTATGAGAATGCTTGTGCGTACTTCCATGAGGATGACAGGGACGGCCTGGTGCGTGTGTGTCGCCTGGTGCTGCATGTTCGTTATGAGGAGTTTCCCTCCGAGGGCTACGGGGCACTCTCCATCACTCAGCCAGTCATCTACCTGAGCGCCTCCTGTAGGCCGGGCCTGGGACAGCACCTGTGCAGCCAGGTACTACAAACTACACCTGTATCAGGCCTAATACTGCACCTGTATCAGGCCAAATACTACACCTGTATCAGGCCAAATACTATACCTGTATCAGTTCATACTACACCTCCATCCATCCATCCATTTTCTTCCGCTTCATCCGTTGCTGGGTCGCGGGGGGACTTCCCTATCCACACACACTTCCTCCAGCTCGTCTGTGGGGACCCCAAGGCGTTCCCAGGCCAGCTGAGAGACATAGTCCCTCAGGCGTGTCCTGGGTCTTCCGCGGGGCCTCCTCCCGGTGGGACGTGCCCGGAACACCTCCCCAGGGAGGCGTCCAGGAGGCATCCGGAGCAGATGCCCGAGCCACCTCAACTGGTTCCTCTCGACGTGGAGAAGCAGCGGCTCTACTCCGAGCTCCTCCCGTGTGACTGAGCTCCTCACCCTATCTCTAAGGGAGCAGCCACTCTGCGGAGGAAGCTCATTTCGACCGCTTGTATCCGCGATCTCGTTCTTTCGGTCATTACCCAAAGCTCATGACCATAGGTGAGGGAGGGAACGAAGATTGACCGGTAAATCGAGAGCTTTGCCTTTCGGCTCAGCTCCCTCTTTACCACAACGGTCTGATAGAGCTCTGACTGCAGACGCTGCTCCCTCTTTACCACAACGGTCCGATACAGCTCTGACTGTAGACGCTGCTCCCTCTTTACCACAACGGTCCGATACAGCGACCGCATCACTGCGCACGCTGCACCGATCCGCCTGTCAATCTAACGCTCCATCCTTCCCTCACTCATGAACAAGACCCCGAGATACTTTAACTCCTCCACTTGAGGGAGGACCTCTCCACCCACCTGCAGAGGGCAAGGCACCTTTTTCCGGTCGAGCACCATGGCCTCAGATTTGGAGGTGCTGATTCTCATCCCAGCCGCTTCACACTCGGCTGCAAACCGTCCCAGTGCATGCTGCAGGTCCTGGTTCGTTGGAGCCAACAGGACGACATTGTCCGCAAACAGCAGAGATGAAATCTTGTGGTCCCTGAACCGGACCCCTTCCAGCCCCTGGCTGCGCCTAGAAATTCTGTCCATAAAGACAGTGAACAGAACCGGTGACAAAGGGCAGCCTTGGCGGAGGCCAACATGCACCGGGAACAGGTCTGACTTACTGCTGATGCAAACACAGCTTTGGCTCCGGTCATACAGGGACCGAACAGCCCTCAGCAGAGGACCTCGGACCCCGTACTCCCGGAGAACTCCTCAAAGGACACCCCGGGGAACACGGTCGAACGCCTTCTCCAAATCCACAAAGCACATGTGGACAGGTTGGGCGAACTCCCATGAACCCTCGAGTATCCGATGGAGAGTATAGAGCTGGTCCAGTGTTCCGCGGCCGGGACGAAAACCACACTGCTCCTCCTGAATCCGAGATTCGACCATCGGTCTTAGCCTCCTCTCCAGTACCTTGGAGTAGACCTTACCAGGGAGGCTAAGAAGTGTGATCCCACGATAATTGGAACACACCCTCCGGTCCCCCTTTTTGTAGAGAGGGACCACCACCCCGGTCTGCCACCCCATTGCCACCGCCCCCGATCGCCACGCGATGTTGCAGAGACGTGTCAACCAAGACAGTCCTACAACATCCAGAGACTTTAGAGTCAGGACGGATCTCATCCACTTCCGGGGCCTTGCCACCATGGAGGCTGCCAACCACCTTGGTGACCTCAGCCAGGGAGATGGAAGTATCCGCCCCAAGATCCTCAGCCTCTGCCTCCGAGACGGATGACGTGACGGGGGGATTGAGGAGAACCTCGAAGTATTCCTTCCACCGCCCGACAATATCCCCAGTCAAGGTCAGCAGCTCTCCACCCGCACCGTACACGGTGTTGGCAAAGAACTGCTTCCCCCTCCTGAGGCGCCGGACGGTTTGCCAGAACCTCTTCAAGGCCGACCGATAGTCATGCTCCATGGACTCTCCGAACTCCTCCGAGTCCCGGGTTTTTGCCTCTGCAACAGCCCGGGCCGTGGCACGCTTGGCCTGTCGGTACTGGACAGCTGCCTCAAGAGTCCCCCAAACCATCATGGCTCGATAGGACTCCTTCTTCAGCCTGACGGCATCCCTTACTACCGGTGTCCACCACCGGGTTCTGGGATTGCCGCCGGGACTAGCACCAGAGACCTTGAGACCACAGCTACGAGCCGCCGCATTGGCGATAGAGGAAGAGAACATGGTCCACTCGGACTCCATGTCCCCCTCCTCCGCCGGGACCTGGGAGAAACTCTCCCGGAGGTGTGAGTTGAAAGTCTGTCTGACAGGGGGCTCAGCGAGACGTTCCCAGCAGACCCTCACTACACGCTTGGGTCTGCCAGGTCTGACCGGCTTCTTCCCCTGCCAGCGGATCCAACTCACGACCAGGTGGTGATCGGTTGACAGCCCCGCCCCTCTCTTCACCCGAGTGTCCGAGACACGCGGTCAAAGGTCAGATGATACGACAACAAAGTCGATCATCGACCTCCGGCCTCAGGTCCTGGTGCCACGTGCACTGGTGGACACCCTTGTGCTCGAACATAAGATAAGATAAGAATTCCTTTATTCGTCCCACAGTGGGGAAATTTCGATGTTGCAGCGCACAGACAGGACAGTAGTAAGAGCACACAGGGAGCACACACAATATATACAAATAAGTATTAGCTATGTTTCTTAGCTAACATAACTAGCTGTAGATGCTGAAAAAGCTTCAATACCAGTCAAAATATATATGTAGTAGTAGTGCAGTTATATACTGTACAGTTAAATAGTGTAGGATAATAAGTATATAAGTAAAGTGACATAAGGTAAAGTGACATAAGGTAAAGAGACATAAGGTAAAGAGACATAAGGTAAAGAGACATAAGGTAAAGAGACATAAGGTAAAGAGACATGAGGTAAAGAGACATGAGGTAAAGAGACATGAGGTAAAGAGACATGAGGTAAAGTGACATGAGGTAAAGAGACATGAGGTAAAGAGACATGAGGTAAAGAGACATGAGGTAAAGAGACATGAGGTAAAGAGACATGAGGTAAAGAGACATGAGGTAAAGTGACATGAGGTAAAGAGACATGAGGTAAAGAGACATGAGGTAAAGAGACATGAGGTAAAGAGACATGAGGTAAAGTGACATGAGGTAAAGAGACATGAGGTAAAGAGACATAAGGTAAAGAGACATGAGGTAAAGAGACATGAGGTAAAGAGACATGAGGTAAAGTGACATGAGGTAAAGTGACATGAGGTAAAGAGACATAAGGTAAAGAGACATAAGGTAAAGAGACATAAGGTAAAGTGACATAAGGTAAAGAGACATAAGGTAAAGAGACATGAGGTAAAGAGACATGAGGTAAAGAGACATAAGGTAAAGAGACATGAGGTAAAGTGACATGAGGTAAAGAGACATGAGGTAAAGAGACATGAGGTAAAGAGACATGAGGTAAAGAGACATAAGGTAAAGAGACATGAGGTAAAGAGACATGAGGTAAAGAGACATGAGGTAAAGTGACATGAGGTAAAGAGACATGAGGTAAAGAGACATGAGGTAAAGAGACATGAGGTAAAGAGACATAAGGTAAAGAGACATGAGGTAAAGTGACATGAGGTAAAGAGACATAAGGTAAAGAGACATAAGGTAAAGAGACATAAGGTAAAGAGACATGAGGTAAAGTGACATGAGGTAAAGAGACATTGTTCAGTGGATATGCTGAAGTTGCAGTATTGCACATTGCACATGATTTAAGAATTTACCTAATTACAGATGAATGACATTTACAGGCTCAGCAGTTCTTATTGTACAGTCTGACAGCAGCAGGAAGGAAAGACCTACAGAACCTCTCCTTCACACAGCGAGGGTGAATTAGTCTGTCACTGAAGCTGCTCTCCAGAGCAGAGAGAGTGTCCTGCAGGGGGTGACAGTCATGGTCCAGCATAGATGTTAGTTTGCTCAGGACCCTCCTGTCCCCCACCTGCTGCACTGTGTCCAGGGAACAGCCCAGGACTGAGCTGGACTTCCTGATGACCTTGTCCAGCTTCTTCCTGTCCCTCTCTGTGATGCTGCTGCTCCAGCAGACCACACCGTACAAGATGGCTGATGCCACCACAGAGTCATAGAAGGTCTTCAGGAGTGGCCCCTGCACTCCAAAAGACCTGAGCCTCCTCAGTAGGTAGAGGCGACTCTGGCCCTTCTTGAAGAGGGCGTCTGAGTTATGAGTCCAGTCCAGTTTGTGGTTCAGATGAACACCCAGGTACTTGTGAGAGTCCACTCTCGATGTCCTTTCCCTGGATGTTCACTGGAGCTGGAGCGGCAGAGTGACGTCTGCGGAAATCCACCACCATCTCCTTGGTCTTCTCCGCGTTGATGAGGAGGTGGTTCCGCTGACACCAGTCCACAAAGTCCTGTATAACTCCTCTGTACTCTGTGTCATCGTCCTCGGAGCTGAGTCCGATGATGGCAGAGTCGTCGGAGAACTTCTGGAGGACACAACCGTCCGTGTTGTGTCTGAAGTCCGCAGTGTAGAGGGTGAAGAGGAACGGCACGAGGACTGTCGCCTGGGGGGCCCCCACACTGCAGCTCAGGACCTCAGACACGTAGTCCCTGGTTCTCACAAAATGGGGTCTGTCTGTGAGGTAGTCCAGGATCCACTGGGACAGGTCGTAGTCCACACCAGCTGTCTCCAGCTTGTCCTGAGAAGCCGCAGCTGGATGGGTTAGTATGGTGTTCGTGATGGACAAACTGTGACTGGCACAGAAGTCCAACAACTGAACACCGCTCGGGTTCAGATCAGGGGGGCCGTTCTTCCCGATCACCCCTTTCCAAGTGTCACTAGCATTTCCCACATGGGCGTTGAAGTCCCCCAGGAGAATAACGGAGTCCCCGGGCGGTGCACCGTCCACTACCCCTCCCAAGGACTCCAAGAAGGCCGAGTACTCTGCACTGCTGTTAGGCCCGTAGGCCGTCACAACAATGAGAGACTTGTCCCCCACCCGAAGGCGGAAGGACGCGACCCTCTCATTCACCGGGGAGAACTCCAACACGTGGCGGCTGAGATGGGGGGCAATGAGTATGGCCACCCCAGCTCGCCGCCTCTCCCCGCGGGAAACACCAGAAAAGTGGAGCGTCCAACCCCTCTTAAGGAGTTGGGTTCCAGAGCCTAAGCTGTGTGTGGAGGTGAGGCCGACTATCTCTAGTCGGTATCGCTCAACCTCCCCCACAAGCTCGGGCTCCTTCCCCCCCAGTGAGGTGACGTTCCACGTCCCAAGAGCCAGATGTTGGGTGCGTGGACTGGGTCGTCGAGGTCTCCGCCTTCGACTGCTGCCCAGTCCTCTCTGCACCTCCACGGACCCCTCTGCAGGTGGTGGGCCCACAGGAGGGACTGCCCACGTCGTCCAATCGGGCTAAGCCCGGGCCCCGTGGGCTAAGGCCCGGCCACCAGGCGCTACCTTTCAAGCCCCGACCCCAGGCCTGGCTCCAGGGTGGGGCCCCGGCTACGCCATGCCGGGCGACGTCACTGTTTTCATTATAATGCTGTCCATGTTGGCTTCGGACTGCTCTTTGTCTGACTCGTCACCTGAGACCTGTCTGCCATGGGAGACCCTACCAGGGGCATGAAGCCCCAGACAGCATAGCTCCCAGGATCATCCGAGTACTCAAACTCCCCCACCACGTTAAGGTGGCAGTCCAAGGGGGAGTACTACATACATACAACACCTATCAGGCCAAATACTACACCTGTATCAGGCCAAATACTACACCTGTATCAGGCCAAATACTACACCTGTATCAGGCCAAATACTACACCTGTATCAGGCCAAATACTACACCTGTATCAGGCCAAATACTACATCTGTATCAGTTCAAATACTGCACCTGTATCAGTTAAAATACTACACCTGTATCAGTTCATACTACACCTGTATCAGTTCAAATACTACACCTGTATCAGTTCATACTACACCTGTATCAGTTCAAATACTACACCTGTATCAGGCCAAATACTACACCTGTATCAGTTCAAATACTACACCTGTATCAGTTCAAATACTACACCTGTATCAGTTCATACTACACCTGTATCAGTTCAAATACTAGACCTTTATCATTTCAAATACTACACCTGTATCAGTTCAAATACTACACCTGTATCAGTTCATACTACACCTGTATCAGTTCAAATACTACACCTGTATTAGTTCAAATACTACACCTATATCAGTTCAAATACTACACTTATATCAGTTCAAATACTACACCTGTATCAGGCCAAATACTACACCTGTATCAGGCCAAATACTACACCTGTATCAGTTCAAATACTACTCCTGTATCAGGCCAAATACTACACCTGTATCAGTTCAAATACTACACCTGTATCAGTTCAAATACTACACCTGTATCAGGCCAAATACTACACCTGTATCAGGCCAAATACTACACCTGTATCAGGCCAAATACTACACCTGTATCAGTTCAAATACTGCACCTGTATCAGTTCAAATACTACACCTGTATCAGGCCAAATACTACATCTGTATTAGTTCAAATACTACACCTGTATCAGTTCAAATACTACACCTGTATCAGTTCAAATACTACACCTGTATCAGTTCATACTACACCTGTATCAGGCCAAATACTACACCTGTATCAGGGCAAATACTACACCTGTATCAGTTCAAATACTGCACCTGTATCAGTTCAAATACTACACCTCTATCACGCCAAATACTACACCTGTATTAGTTCAAATACTACAACTGTATCAGTTCAAACACTACACCTGTATCAGGCCAAATACTACACCTGTACCAGTTCAAATACTACACCTGTATCAGGCCAAATACTACACCTATATCAGTTCAAATACTACACCTGTATCAGTTCATACTACACCTGTATCAGTTCAAATACTACACCTGTATCAGTTCATACTACACCTGTATCAGTTCAAATACTACACCTGTATCAGGGCAAATACTACACCTGTATCGGTTCAAATACTGCACCTGTATCAGTTCAAATACTACACCTCTATCACGCCAAATACTACACCTGTATTAGTTCAAATACTACAACTGTATCAGTTCAAATACTACACCTGTATCAGGCCAAATACTACACCTGTACCAGTTCAAATACTACACCTGTATCAGGCCAAATACTACACCTATATCAGTTCAAATACTACACCTGTATCAGTTCATACTACACCTGTATCGGTTCAAATACTACACCTGTATCAGTTCATACTACACCTGTATCAGTTCAAATACTACACCTGTATCAGGCCAAATACTACACCTGTATCAGTTCAAATACTACACCTGTATCAGTTCAAATACTACACCTGTATCAGTTCATACTACACCTGTATCAGTTCAAATACTAGACCTTTATCATTTCAAATACTACACCTGTATCAGTTCAAATACTACACCTGTATCAGTTCATACTACACCTGTATCAGTTCAAATACTACACCTGTATTAGTTCAAATACTACACCTATATCAGTTCAAATACTACACCTATATCAGTTCAAATACTACACCTGTATCAGGCCAAATACTACACCTGTATCAGGCCAAATACTACACCTGTATCAGTTCAAATACTACTCCTGTATCAGGCCAAATACTACACCTGTATCAGTTCAAATACTACACCTGTATCAGTTCAAATACTACACCTGTATCAGGCCAAATACTACACCTGTATCAGGCCAAATACTACACCTGTATCAGTTCAAATACTACACCTGTATCAGTTCAAATACTACACCTGTATCAGTTCAAATACTACACCTGTATCAGTTCAAATACTACACCTGTATCAGGCCAAATACTACATCTGTATTAGTTCAAATACTACACCTTTATCAGTTCAAATACAACACCTGTATCAGTTCAAATACTACACCTGTATCAGTTCATACTACACCTGTATCAGTTCATACTACACCTGTATCAGGGCAAATACTACACCTGTATCAGGCCAACTACTACACCTGTATCAGTTCAAATACTAGACCTTTATCATTTCAAATACTACACCTTTATCATTTCAAATACTACACCTGTATCAGGCCAAATACTACACCTGTATCAGTTCAAATACTACACCTGTATCAGGCCAAATACTACACTTGTATCAGTTCAAATACTGCACCTGTATCAGTTCAAATACTACACCTGTATCAGTTAAAATACTACACCTGTATCAGTTCAAATACTACACCTGTATCAGTTCATACTACACCTGTATCAGGCCAAATACTACACCTGTATCAGTTCAAATACTACACCTGTATCAGTTCAAATACTACACCTGTATCAGTTCAAATACTACACCTGTATCAGTTCAAATACTACACCTGTATCAGGCCAAATACTACATCTGTATTAGTTCAAATACTACACCTGTATCAGTTCAAATACTACACCTGTATCAGTTCAAATACTACACCTGTATCAGGCCAAATACTACATCTGTATTAGTTCAAATACTACACCTGTATCAGTTCAAATACTACACCTGTATCAGTTCAAATACTACACCTGTATCAGGCCAAAT